ACCCAGAGGCAGATATATCCAACACAGTCAATGCAGGTCTATATTATCTGGCAAGTCTAGATTACGGCACTTTATTAAAAATTAATAAAGAAAGTCTTTGGGATCCTGTTTATTATTTTTTCGTAAGATAATTTGTTCATTTCAGAAACTGGATGCCAATCTTTCTCTAAATGTTATCAGTGAGCTTAAAAGAGTGACGGGGAGTTGATGATGTTGAGAGGTTGGGGCCATGTGTGTGCTGGAACCAGGCCGGGGTTCAGTGTTGTAAGAATATTGTGATTTTGTTTTGCTGTTGTCCTTCGATTTTTGTTACATTAGCAATAATGAAGATCTGACTCAGTTATGTAGGACATGACATTGAATGTAGGAATGTAGGAATGTAGGACATGACATTGAATGTAGGAATGTAGGGTGCCCCCGATAAAACAAGAAATACTGTATTCTTATTACATAAAAATATGTTTATCTTCAAAATATAAATTGCTAAATTGCAAAGCCTGGGCAGTCAAGATATGCCAGATCATTCTAGACTTTACTTTGATTCAAAAGAATACATAACGTATGTCTGCAATATAGACAATGAAGTCAAAATGCTTTATTTCAGAGCTCAGGCAATCTGGACTTGCCAGTTATTCTCGATTTGGTTTGGATTCATTTCTGATTATATTCTCTTGGGTCTGGGGTGATTTGTTCCAAAGAACAAGAGGGAATCAGAAAACAAACAAACAAACGAATCAATGCGATAACCAGTGTTACTGTTTGGTTATCAGTATCACCATAAGATAACCAGTGTTATTGTTTGGTTGCCAGTATCACTATGAGATAACCAGTGTTATTGTTTGGCTACTAGTATCACTATGAGATAACCAGTTACTATTTGATAACCATGCAGTGTTACTCTTTGATGACCAAAGTTTCTGATTGGTAACCAGTGTAACTATATACGAGACAACCTGTGTGTTCATGTGATAACCGCTGCGTATCACTATCAGGTGAGATATAACAATTGTTACTGTGAGATACTAGTAATCAGTGTCACCATGAGATAAGCAGTGTTACAACGATAGAGCTGATGTTCCTTTAACAGAGTAAAGGAGTGCAACAACAGGTGAGCGGTGTGAGTGAGTTTAGTTTAACGCTGCTTTTAGCAATATTCCAGCAAAATCAGGGCTGGGGACACCAGAAATGGGCTTGACACATTGTACCCATGTGGGGAATCGAACCCGGGTCTTCGGCGTGACGAGCGAACGCTTTAACCACTGGGCTACCAGGAATGAGTGAGTGAGTTTAGTTTAATACCGCGCTCAGCAATATTCCAGCTATATGGCGGCAGTCTGTTAATAATCGAGTCTCGACAGACAACCCAGTGATCAACAGCTGAGCATCGGAGCTACCAGGAGAGGGGGCACCCTGAAACTACCCCGGTGGGTGTATAGTCAACAGCTTATAAGAGGATTTCCTGGGATTTTTATTTGTACGTGGATATCAGTCTACCTACAGCTGCAAACCCCGATTCTTTTTCATCAGAACTACCATCCTTGACATATATTAGTAAAATATGTATTTTTGTAGGCTGTTATTACATTTCTTTGCCCACATGGGTACAATGTGTGAAGCCCATTTCTGGTGTCCCCCGCCGTGATGTTGCTGGAATATTGCTAAAAGCGGCGTAAAACCAAACTCAGTCAGTCAGTCAGTCAGTCATTTCTTTGCTTTTCAACGATTGCACATGTTTTATAAAGGGAGGTCGTTGGGTAGCCTAGCGGTTGAAGCGTTTTCTCGTCAGAAGATTGTGTATTGCTAAAAGCGGCGTAAAACCATATTCACATACTCACTTTTTCAAAGCTTCCCACTCTAGAATATAGAATGGACTATAACTACGAATCTTCAGATAACTTTTGTTTTTTGTTGTGCAAAGACATCCAGCAATCTATATTTGTTTGCTTGTTGTTTCACGCCACGCTCAACAACATTTCAGGTATGTGACGGCGGTCTGTAAATAATCGCGTCTGGACCAGACAATCCAGTGATTGGCCTAAATGAGCATGGAACTACAAAACTAGGATACAATGACATGCATCAACCAAGTCATCAAGCCTGACCACCCGATCCTGTTAGTGGCCTCTTACGACAAGCATGGGTTGTTTTAAGACCGGTTCTAATCCGGACCAGTTCTTCACGGGTCCAGCCGACATTAAACTCCTAGAGTACATTGAACACTAACAATAGAAACGTATGCAAGAAGTAGAACCTTGCCTCCAAACACTACTCGGGGCGGTGGGATAGCCTAATGGTTAAAGCGTTCGCTCGTCACGCCCGGGTTCGATTCCCCAACATGAGTACAATGTGTGAAGCCGATTTCTGTCCGCCGCCGTGATGTTGCTAAAAGCGATGTAAAAGTAAATTCACTCCAAACATAGGTCAAATGTCTGTTGCAGTGTTCTGTTAAATCTCTCCCTACAACTGCAGTGACACCTGACCCGCTAATCAAACTTTACAACCGAACTACATGACAGTTCTAGACATGTGCGCAGACAGGACGTCGGCAGCAACGTCAGACTACAGCAACACATCCGACGTCTACACATCAGTAATATACTGACATATACCCACGAGAAGTGGATACGGAAACCTTGTTTCAGTAGGTCGACCGGGTTTGGGGTGTTTTGTTGGGTTTTTTTGCTGTTTTTTGTAGTCCATGCCGCTTTAGCCTTTCAAATGTCAAAAGTATTTAGTCTTCGTGCTTCATCTTAACATCCTCCTGTGGTTATTTAGATTTGCAGAACAAACGTGTGTCAGATTTACTGTACATCAAAGTAACGGCAGTTGAATGCCAGTCAGCTTCAGTTTCCTTATCTATTGTCATTATTCTCGAACACTAAAGCCTTTGTAATAATTCTTTCAATATGCTTGCACTTGTCTGACAAAAGGAACGATAGTGTTACAACAGCTTAAAGCAACTTCCACGGACTGCACCAGATTGATGTACGTTTCTTCATCTTACGTTCACCGTTTGACTGCACCAGACTGATGTTTGTTGTCAAACAAGATTAAATGTATGCAGTTATATCCTATACGCAGCCTCGTCAAACTCCCGGTACTGCCTGTGTAGTGAGTGAGTTTAGTTTTACGCCGCGCTCAGCAATATTCCAGCTATATGGCGGCGGTCTGTAAATCATCGAGTCTGGGCCAGACAATCCAGTGATCAACAGCATTAGCATCGATCTACCCAATTGGGAACCGATGACATGTGTCAACCAAGTCTGCGAGCCTGACCACCGGATCCTGTAAGTCGCCTCTTACGATAAGCATGGGTTACTGAAGAGCAGTTCTAACCCGGATCTCCACGGGTTGCAGTACAAGGTGAAGACTACGAACTGGTTCCAGACACAGAAAACGTGTGTGGGAATCAAACCAATAACTCCAGCACAACTGGCAAACTCAGTACCCGCTTTGCCACCCCACATCCCCAAATAAAGACAAGAGTCATTCAGTCGTAATGAAAAATGGTTGAGTGTGTATTGGTTGGATATTTCATTTAATGAAATAAGATTGATAAAATTCTCGAAAACACAATTGCACCAAGAATCAGTTAAATCTGTGCTACAACAAACTTCTCACAGGCGTGTACAAGGCTACTACCCACACAGAAACTAAGGACAAAGTAACAAATGGTAGAATTTGACAAAATATACAAATGGAATAAATAGGCGTTATACGTATTTCAACAAATCCTTCTACACTAATAAATATAGATGCATTATCACATACTCCACTGCTCGATCCGGGAGTCAATATACAAAATATACGGCTCGAACCAGCAGTCAATATACAATATATACACCACGGACATATCTTCCTCTACTTATGTACACACTCTCTTCACGCACTCCTTCCTCACACGGACAAGTCCAACGTGTATTTAGTGTATCAGTTTCCATGCGTTGACCTATCAGGATTTATTGCACACATACCGTGACAACGTAAACCACTGATGATAGTCACAAATACACTACTGAAAGGTTCAGGCTAACCGTTGATTTCATATTACTGTAGTCTCTTCATTCTACAAGTTTATTGGTCTTGCATGACACAAGGGTAATATCAAAGAACGGGTTGGTCCTCAACCTCTTAAAGTAGTGTAGGACCTTGTGACAAGATGTGGTTGTTCATGAAGACGAGTATGAACACACGTGATCGGTCCCGGCGCATCTATACTGGCATAAGATCGTGAAGTTTTGATCACATCGTCTGGAAGCTTCTGAACATCAGAGGTCGTGTTCTAGCTTTGGTGCAGTGCAGTAGAGCCTGCACGGCCACACATGGATCTTTATCTCTCGTCCATCCCTGTCACCAACTGGTCAAGATGCCCGGTACGTCAATCTTCTATTAACATTCAATGCTTATACCATCCCCATGTGTACTACTTCTATATCCTATGTCCATCCTTGATTACCCAGTGTATCACATATCCATATTATTTTAAGTGAGTATGGTTTTACGCCGATTTTAGCAATATTCCAGCAATATCACGGCGGGGGGACACCTTAAATGGGCTTCATGTGGGGAATCACATTTTACCCATTTTAACCATGTGGGGAATCGATCGTTTCAGAGTGAGTGAGTGAGGGTCTTCGGCGTGACGAGCAAACGCTTTAACCATGTGAGGAATTAGGCTACCCCACCGCTTTAACCCCTTCCACCCCATCGTTTCAGCAGAGACCATACATACGGTTTCAGTTTTGAAAATGATGCCACGATCGACTTGCCTTATCGGTAACTTTACACAGCTTTTCCGTCGGTCTTGAGTGCAATCTGTTTGGACGACTTCTGTAAGTGGGGAATATTTTGAATCGGGACTGTAAACAAGTGTATGGTGTCAAAGGGTTCAAGGTATTTACTGAAATGGAATGTAGATAATTCTCACTGGATTATCAAGGAGGCAGTCTGCAGGTCCAACAATGGTTAATGCATTTATCTTATTCAAAAAACATAAAATGTTTGAATTAATCTTCCTGTGTATTGTTCCGGGTTTTGACGCCACATCAGAGTCAGGATTGAAACACATGTTTGAAGCTTTCTCACCACGTGTATCGGTTTGAATACATGAAAATATTATCTGAATAAGTCTAACAATACTGTACAATTGTTTCCATATACACACTTTAACATTTACAATCACACAATATACATAACATACCATGTACAATCATACAGAATATACCACGTACATGGACATACAACACCTTTCACCAACTCTGTCGTGAAGTATATACACACACAAGGTGATGTCTCACTATTAACTGATGGCACAAGAACATCAAACTCATTCTCAATCGTCCTCATCTTCCACACAGCTCCAATGAACAAGCCGAGCAGCAGGGACGTACATAGTCATAAATCAATACAAAATAGGTGTCTTTAGTATACTCCTTAAACTGTAATTCAGCGAATCATCAAAATGCATGGTAATAAATTCGTTCGATTGTCCACTGGTTATCACACAAAACTTGTAGATCTCTAGCTTAAATGCAGCCAAACTGGAACAGAACTTCTTCTCAAAATGCTTTCAGCTTGGCGTGACGTATCCCGAAGGCACATCGACATCTGATTATACTGTTAATGTACTGATTACAAGTACTATAAACTAAGTTAGAAGTTAATGAAACCTCGTAAACCTTGCTTCCAAATAGTATCACGAATTGCAAGAGCCAACAGCAGAAACATGGAGCAGAAAAAGACTTATATTCCCGGTCCATTTCTATCTCATTCTGGGTCACAAGAATCGTTTCAGTCTTCCATCAGATGCAGCACATTCTTAAACCAAATGAACACCGCTTCCCTGGTCTACTTGCAACAGTATCGACAGAGCGCAAATTAACACCCAGATCAAAGCATTTTTTAAAGACAAATACAGAAAGGATTACCAAACAGAACAACCACCTTGCTTATTAATTTTTCAACGTTAATGCCCTAGATGTGGTTGTTTCTCAGGTGTAAATTCCTGCATTGAGTCATTGGAGTCATCACTGGGCAAACAGCCCACTGACACAAAGACAACACAGATGACCATCTTACTTACATACTTTCACACTGGGCGTCCACAGAGTCAGGTCCTCTAAATGTAAGTACTACTGTACATATCCCCAGATCTTATCACCAGAGATCGTCAAGACAACAACGGCACAAACATTCCGAATCAGATCAAGATTCAACGGTAACAAGAGCAGATAACTCTTTAAACCCTTACATTGCACGTGGTTAATGCTATGGCGTGGGTGCCGGTTACACACAAGAACGTGATCGTCATAGATGGTTGTCCTGTACACAGACATCTTGTAATCAGCGTGTGAATTGGTTCGTCCCCTGTCTCTAACTAGTATCATAAACCTTCTGCCCACAATGATGCTTTTTGGAAAGCTGGGTGTATATTATGATTGGCATTACGTTACCCTGTAACGAATGAGTTAGTGCTAGTGTTGCTATATTTGTTCAAGTTCAGCATATCCAATCAGCTAAACACTTTTCCAATGTAGAAATATTAAGTACACTTTTAACAAGCACCCTGCAGTATGAATTAGTGAAGTTACTAGTTGGTGGTTGACGTTGAGGGTTTGTGACTGCTCAGATGATCTTGATCTGAGCAGTGTCATGGGGATCTTGATCTTGCTCATGGGGAACTATTTCACACACTGAGATGCTGTCTATCAGGAGCTTCTGGAACATATGGTTGTTGCCTGAGACAGCTGTCGTGGATTCTTATGTAATGACGACGTCCTTGGAATGGGCAGCAGTCGACTAGATATAGGTTGCAAGGTGTCAATTGTTATGATGGGACTAAGTAATGCTAGTCCGAGATCAGTTCTTTTTTGGTGAATTATAACATGAATGAGACTTACCCCTCAGAGTCATAATCAGACTTTAGCTGTAGTGTTGGGAACATGGTTACAATGGCTGAAAACATGAGGTGGGGGGGGCATGTGGGGCTAGAATATGACTGGGAACAATAACATACCTTCACCAGGAAGTGACAAAACTAGAAGTGACCTGCAACAGGAAGTGGTCAAGAACATCCACCATTCTCCATTCCGTCCATTTTTTTGGCGAAAGTGAACTAATACGGTTATGGTTGTTTAAATGATACATGTAGGAACAGGATGGGTTTTTTTCTAATCTTACAATTGATAGAACCATGAGCAGTGTGGAGTCAAGGTTGCAGGAAGATACAACTTATATCCCCCTATCACTGCACAATTGTTGAAGCACTCACTCCATACCTCCTCAATCAAAGGTAGTCTTTGGGCATTGTTTAAGTGTTTTCGGCACTGATGTTTAAACAAAGTTTAATGGTTTGGTAGTGTTTAAGTGTTTCCTTGAGTCCTATGTCTTCTTGGGGTACTGTCTCCGCTGACCGTACCGAGGTCCGTTGGTTGCTGCAGCAGGCTGTTGAACCTGGGGCTGGGCACCCTGAAACTGGGCGGGGTTGAACAGGATTGGGTTGGCAGTGGAACCCGGAGCAGAGTCCGTCTGAAACATACACAGGGTGACATTGACAGGCATTGCAGAAATGGTACACATATATTGCTGTAGCACTTGTTTATCTCCACACCAGGCTAGCTATTCTCGAAACTTCTTAAGCCCTACGAACTTCTTAAGCCGATTCTTAACACATTGGCTACGATCAAAGTTAAGAATTACACGAGAATAATGTACACAATGTACAATGAGGGAAGGAATAGGGAGGGAGATAGTGACAGGCATAATATAAATATAATACATAGGAGCAGCAGTTGGTTTGTTGTTTAGCAATATTACAGCTATATGGCAGCGGTCTGTAAATAATCGAGTCTGGACCAGACAATCCAGTGATCAATAGCATGAGCATCAATCTACGCAATTTGGATGCGATGACATGTGTCAACCAAGTCAGAGTCTCTGACAACCCGATCCCGTTAGTTGCTTCTTTGACAAGCGGTTTCTGAAGACTAATTCTAACCCAGTTCTTCACAGGTTCTTTTCAGTCATTACAGTTTTCACTAGTTGGAGGCACTGTGAGACTCATCTCACTTCTAGAAGTACACAAGTCAATGTATAACTGTTCAACAAAACTGATAAACCTAATCTTGAACTAAAATAACAAGACTAACAAAGCCTGTCAAATGCAGGTAAATGCAAAAATTAACACACTCCCAGGTCATGTAACTAGATGAACCTTGCCAGGCAGACAAGGATCACAGAAATCACCAGAGAATGGAGACCTTAAACAACACAAATCATGAAATACATGGAGAAGCCCTCATAAAATCCATGTTTGGCTGTTACAAGAACCTCTAAGCTACTTTAGTGTCCTCTCAGGGATGTCCAAAAGGCTTTTTCCTTTTATCCTACCGTTGATTCAGGATGACATAAACCCTGTATCCACATCTTCTACAGCCCAGAGTGCCACACCTTCATTTATCATGCTCTGTTTCCCAGGATCCATTTGTCCCCTTAGATTAATTTCAAACAGTTTCAATTGCACAATGCCAGATTTAGACGTAAAATAATGACAGTCAGGATTTGCAACACATCCATCTGACCAGGACTCCTTGTAAAATACAACCAGAAAGTTGAGCTAAAAACAAGTTACTAACACAACAATCATTCGTCTATTCGAATCCAGGGATCAAGACTCAATTTTCAATGAAAATTAGTGCTGAAGAGGCACTTTGATTGATGAGTTCAAGTTTATGAGCAGGATAACTTCAGTGCTCTTGTTGATATGAGAGACTGCATTGGTGAGGTCATTCCAATAATGAAACAGTGCTGGCATATGAGTCCTGGGCCTAGATTTTCGAAGCTCTCTTAGCGCTAAGATAGTCGTAAGTTAATGTTAATGCATGGCACTTACGACTATCTTAGCGCTAAGAGAGATTCGAAAATCTAGGCCCAGGGTAACACACAAGAGATATTATACCCTGAAAAAACGAAGATATGTTGTCCTGTCAGCTCTGGGCTTTGCACAAACACCAGGATGGAATACAAGTGGATCATAATACAGCATAATAGTAAACATATATGTCATGTTTTACACCAGAATACAGAAAATATGATAGAGATGAGGAACATGATAGTGATGATAATGATGTCAATGTGGATGAAGATGACAATGATGTTGCTGTTGACTGTGACGGTGAAGCATGCTTCTACTGCAGCTACAAAAAACCTGTGTGTCAACAGCCATGCCAACATGCTACCATGCTCCATGAACAACCATATGATCGTTAAAATGCCACACTGAGAGATCTGTACGTAATACAATAAAGAAAGCATGTCACTGGATGGGTAGCATGTCACTTCAACCACCCAATGTTCAGGAGTATACAAACTAGTCTAAAAAATAGCATTCAACATAAATGCATAGAACACTGGTCACCAACATCGATGCCAATCAGCCTGGAGACTGTAGATAAGCTACCAACTATAACTAATGCTATAATTAACTAAGTCTGGACCAGATAATCAAGTGATTGATATTGTGAGCAAGCTATCAAGGTATAATGGCCTGCAGTAAATCAAGTCACTGAACCAGCCCTACCCCTCAATCAATTTGCTCACCTCGTACGACAAGCATAGGTTGCTTTGAACATAACCAAAGGTTGCCAGGAATCCCCTCATGCTTAATGTGGTTTACAAAGGATATATTGATCAATATAGATGCCAACACAGGGTTCGAAATACCCCATATATTAGTGTGCCATGGCACAGTAAATATTGAAATGACACGGCTAAAAAATGCTCTCGGTGCCCTTTTGACACGCCTAATTTATTAGAAACATAACTCACATTTAGTCATTTAAGCCCCCAAACAATTATTTTTTTTCCAAACTGAATAATACCATACATATTTGAATGCTCATAAACCCATTTCTTTATTTAACAATAAATTTCAAATAATCATCATCATTGTCATTTATTCTAAAAACATGTGGGCATACTCAATTTCTGAAAGGCACACCTAAAATATTTGTCTGGTGCCCTAAGGCACACTTAGAAAAAAAAGTATTTCTATCCCTGCAACAAAAATCTTCAGCAATGTAAATTAAATAGTGAAATACATTATGAGATCTGTCATGCTGGGTCCATGACAATATGTAGGATAAGTTGACATAAATGATGAGTGAGTAATTGTGGTTTTTACGACGCTTTTAGCAATATTCCAGCAATATCATGGCGGGGGGACAATAGAAATGGGCTTCACACGTACCTATGTGGGGGATCGAATCCGGGCCTTCGCATGAAGAGCGAACGCTTTAACCACTAGGCTACCCCACCGCCCCCATACATGATGAAAACTGTTAGATGCAACTCAATTCATGAGAAGGTATAATACTGGTAAACACAAGCACACGTGTGAGAGGTGATGACAGTGACAGCAAACCACAGCATGCTGGACATGCAACTACAACTACCACACAAACATCCTCCCAGTCGGAGTCAGGTGTTAGTGATTACACATGTAGAGACACAGACAGGTATACTATAGATGCTATACCAGGTACAGAGACAGGTAACAAGATACAGTGCTGGATGCTCAATACAATGATGCTCCGTTGTCTGGACATTAGGGGTGTCACGATACGCGAATGAATGTATCGATGCATCGATACATTTTTACTGATCATTTTTACACGATACGATACGCGATACATGCTTGCGTGTATCGATTCCTATTTTAAAACTTTATCGATTCAAATTTTTATGCTATATCCATCTCCTTCAAAGTCTTGATAGTAATATTATACGAGACCGCTCCGATAAATAGATATAGCTAGCTTTACTTAAAAAATAGGTTGGAAACTAACAGCTTTTGTGATTGGCTAGACTATTTTGATGGACCAATCAGCGAGCGCATACGTTGCCGGAAAGGTAATGCTATGAAAAGGCACGAAAATTATGTATCGCGATACGTATCGTATCGTGACCTTAAAATCATGATACGTATCGTATCGTGAGATTGGTGTATCGTGACACCCCTACTGGACATCATCCTTGAACACAACACAGGCTTTTGTACCGTACAAGATGTACACACCTAACATTTTCAATGCACTTCATGCTTCCTTTTCTACTGTGGCTCAAGTATCATACCTCAATCAAATGATCAGTGTGCTCGCAAGCCTCATTCTTAGTTCCCCTCGGAATATACAACCCACATGTCATGTGATTACTACCGTATATTACCAGAGATGAGTCGATCTCATTGATAAGCAGACCCCCTAACTTGACAACTTAAAATCAGTATAAAAATGGTATGTTTCGTATATAAGCCGACCCCCTGCGATGGGTACCTAATCACGGCCAACTCAGACCACAAGACAACGAGCAGTTACCGATAATTATAACTTCGGTCTGCATTAATCACAATCATATTGCGTCTACTCACACAAAATCGACTTACCTACGATAGTATACGGTAATAATCACAAGACTGGGATTGTCAAGCATTAAATTATTTATAAGAATTTTATTTTTTCTTTGAAGGAAATAAATTCCAAAAAATTATTGAACTTAAGCAATTGACTTAATAGTGTATAACTCTTTGAAAACTTAGAAGTTAGAGAAATAACTTCCCTGTATATAAACAGAATTTCAGCATGTCCGACTTCATACTATCCAACACAAAATACTGCCTCAGTTTAGAATCTACAGTGTATATACTTAATAGCAGGGGAACTTCAGTTGGTAACAAAAGCCTGTTCAATGTTAGTGTTAGACCTTGTCATGCTCAGTCCATTACAAGCTTGGCAGATCATTGAGGCCTAAAGAGTTATCTCCCTTTAGTCAACAAACCTACCATCTATTATGAGATAGCTACTAATTTTTATTTCATCTGATTGGTTGAATTGTCACTTGGACGACACAATGTTCTGTTAACCCCACTGAAACATTTCCACCATTCACAGCTTGTACATCTTTAGGCACTGCATATTGTCTAATTTTCCAAATGATTTATTAAATTTTGGAATTGTTATTTTCTCTCAGGCCAGACCAATTTTATTTCTTGTTTTACGGATCCGCCAGTCGTACTTTTTTCAGGAAAAAGAAAAAAATAATAATAACTTTCTCTGCTCAAAAAATAAAATCATCATTATGTTTTATTGGCCAAAAATATAAACTTACAAGACATTTTTAGATTGTTTTTTTCCGCCATATACACTTCATAAATTGCCAAAAGTATAAAATACTTTTAGCATATAAAAGGAGTATTACTTTGACTGGTGATTCTTTAAATATTTTTTTTAACTCCTGCCTTTAGGTTTTCTGGGGTAAAAAATCCGTAAAACAAGAAATAAATTGGTCTGGCCTAATGAAAAAATACAAAAACAATTACACTATCAAATATCCTGATATCAACTTATTTCCATTGGAGGAGCCAAGTACTGTTACATAGTTATACACAGAAGCAGTATACAAGACGCTATTGACCGGTCAGTAGAAGAGTGGTACAAGTTGTTAGTAACCAGTGTCTACAGATGACCACTACGACACAGTGTGTGATACGAGGCGTACAACACAGTCAGCCAGTTGGCAGACATATTACCTGGGTCGTAAACTGCTGGACTTCCCGCGAGAGAGAACTCATTGAACTTGATCGCGACAACTGCAAGAAAACCTCCCAGAGTTACAAAGCACTACACTACAAATACTAATTTGAGTTCATACAGATTATCATACCAAATTCCTTACTATTTTATGGATTAATCATTCACATTTAGCATGTTTAGACTTTGGAATTCCAGTCGGGCAACGCCTACCAATAAGAACAAATTAGTGTTTTCTTTCAAAATTCCTTTCAGTGATTACAAAATGGTCTGCTCATCCATTATATTTCACCTGCCTATCCTGCCGTTTTAAAGATTATAAAACATTTGAAACACAATGCCAGAAACTCAACAACTATGAAAGCATCATCTAATCACAAAACAAATGCATGCAAACAAATGAGCAAAACAACACAGTATGAAATGAAGATGACTGAGACAATGGTGTTTGGCAGCTGTCACTTCTCGGGTGGTTGCCATGGTTCTTTCTAGGCTTGGAACCATTCATTCTAAGTTATGACCAAATATATCCCAAGAATTATCCTGAAGGCTTGGTACTACATCCAGTCAAAACCTCTTGTGGCAACAAGTACTTCAGTGCCTAACAATGGGATGTGGCTGGTACCAGTATTAGGTCTGTCTGGTAAGTCTGTCTTTGGTAAGTCAAGGAACTCCAAGATTTACAAGGCATCATCAACCAGTCACAGAATAGTTATACATCAGCCTGATGTGTTATAAACCAATGATTATAAGGAAAATCTGCACAGCAATTAGAACACCATATATATTTCATTGATGTATCCCCATTACACACATAGACCTCCCTGATGTTCCTTGGATACACAATGATCTCAATGATGTGCCCCAATACATACTGATCTCAATGATGTGCCCCAATACATACTGATCTCATTTATGTGCCCCAATACATACTGATATGAATGTGCCCGAATACACATTGATCTCAATTATGAGCGCAATACACAATGATCTCAATGATGTGCCCCAATACATAATGATCTCAATGTGTCCCAATACACAATGATCTCAATTATGTGCCCCAATACATACTGATCTCAATTATGTGCCCCAATACATACTGATCTCAATGTGCCCCAATGCATACTGATCTCAATTATATGCCCCAATACATAATGATCTCAATGATGTGCCCCAATACATACTGATATCAATGATGTGCCCAATACACAATGATCTCAATTATGTGCCCTTATACACACTGATCTCAATTATGTGCCCCAATACACAATTATCTTAATGATGTGCCCCAATACACACTGATCTCAATTATGACCCAATAATACATACTGATCTCAATGATGCCCCAATACACAACTGATCTCAATGATGTGCCCCAATACACAATGATCTCAATGATGTGCCCCAATACACAATGATCTCAATGATGCCCCAATACACACTGATCTCAATGATGTGCCCCAATACACAATGATCTCAATGATGTGCCCCAATACACACTGATCTCAATGATGTACCCAATACACACTGATCTCAATGATGTGCCCCAATACACACTGATCTCAATGATGTGCCCCCAATACACAATTATCTCAATGATGTACCCAATACACACTGATCTCAATGATGTGCCCCAATACATACTGATCTCAATTATGTGCCCCAATACAATGATCTCAATGATGTGCCCAATGATGTGCAGCCCCAATACACCAATGATCTCAATGTGCCCCAATACATACTGACCTCAATTATGTGCCCAATACACACTGATCTCAATGATGTACCCAATATACACTGATCTCAATTATGTACCCAATACACACTGATCTCAATGACGTACCCAATACACACTGATCTTATTACATAACAATGATAAACAATGACATCGAGTTGTGTGAGGTGACAGCTGCCAGATGCACCTTCTTAGCTGATGAAACCCACACAAGTAAAAAACACAACACAAGATGAAAATGGATGAAAATGAAAATGACAATGACATCTACCTTGCTCTTACGTACAGAATAAAGAAACAGAGTTAAATGAACTAACTTAATGTCTATTTTGAGATAACAACAACCAATCTGAAAACTCAAACATCTAGAAACAATACCGACAAGATATTCAAGGGGCTCACGGTCACCTCACAGTGGCTTGTAAAGGATTAGGCTGGAGCTTGTAGAGCTTGTGGAGCTTGGTTTGGGGCGGGACAAGATACTGGTGCCTGTATTGTTGGGTGACTGGGGTCCGGTAATGATCAGTGTGGGGTGGAGCCTGATTGGGACCTGTAGTTTTGGGATTAGGAGACAACAACGGGTTGGGGCCTGTAGTTGTGTGATTGGGAGGAGACAACAGATTGGGGCCTGTAGTTGTGGGATTAGGATGAGACAACAGATTGGGGCCTGTAGTTGTTGGATTAGGAGGAGACAACAGATTGGGACCTGTATTTGTTGGATTAGGAGGAGACAACAGATTGGGACCTGTATTTGTTGGATTAGGAGGAGACAACAGATTGGGGCCTGTAGTTGTTGGATTAGGAGGAGACATCAGATTGAGGCCTGTAGGATTAGAGGAGACAACAGATTGAGGCCTGTAGTTGTTGGATTAGGAGGAGACAACAGATTGGGACCTGTATTTGTTGGATTAGGAGGAGACAACAGATTGGGGCCTGTAGTTGTTGGATTAGGAGGAGACAACAGATTGAGGCCTGTAGTTGTTGGATTAGGAGGAGACAACAGATTGGGGCCTGTAGTTGTTGGATTAGGAGGAGACAACAGATTGAGGCCTGTATTGCTGGTTGTTGGCTTAGGAGGAGACAACAGATTGGGGCCTGTAGTTGTGGTATTAGGATGAGACATCAGATTTGGGCCTGTAGTTCACGGTCACCTCACAGTGGCTTGTAAAGGATTAGGATTGTGGAGCTTGTGGAGCTTGGTTTGGATTAGTGGGACAAGATACTGGTGCCTGTATTGTTGGGTGACTGGGGTCAATCAGATTGAGGCCTGTAGTGTGGGGGTGGAGCCTGATTGGAACCTCTAGTTGTGGGATTAGGAGACAACAGATTGAGGCCTGGTTGTTGGATTAGGAGGAGACATCAGATTGAGGCCTGTAGTTGTGGGATTAGGAGGAGAGACATCAGATTGACAACAACAGATTGAGGCCTGTAGTTGTGGGATTAGGAGGAGACAACAGATTGAGGCCTGTCGTTGTGGGATTAGGAGGAGACAACAGATTGAGGCCTGTCGTTGTGGGATTAGGAGGAGACAACAGATTGAGGCCTGTCTTGGATTCAGGAGGAGCAACAGATTGGGACCTGTAGTGTTGGTTTCAGGAGGGGCAACAGTTTGTGACCTGTGGAGTTGGGCTTTTGGTTGGGCAACAGACTTGGCACTGCAGTGTAAAGTAAGGATTGGGTGGAACAGACCAGAACCTAAAGTGCTGGTTATGGGTTGGGGCAGCAGACTGTGCCTATATATATGCTTCGTAAGGATAGGGAAACCGAATGGGCCCTGCACTGCTGGTTTTGGAGGTTGCTGAGGTAGACAACTCACTAAAGACCATCACAGATTGGGAAAATCTAAGAAATAAAGTGTTCTACAAGGGAAAAGTCAGCAATTACTTGACTGTCGGTGACGCTATAACTGTTGTTGTATAGCTGCTGCTGTGGCTGCAGGAAGGAACAATGGAATAAGTTGCCACAATACAGAGAGAGTACTTGGAAATTGGGTTTAACGGCGTGCTTGAGAATATTTCGCTTATATGACGACGTGCATGCGCATGTGTATGTGTATGTGTGGCTGCTTGTACTAGCCCAGACTGAAGCTGGTTTTATAGTGCTAGCCCACTGAGATACCATGTCGCAGTGAAGCATGAATACCCCACTCAGACACATTATACTGACTCTGAGCCGACCAGTCCTTGTTGTACCCATTAATGCAATACAGAGAGAGTACTTGGAAACAGGGTGTGGCTGTACAAGATGTCAACATATCATAGATATGAGTGGCTGAATGATTGCAGTGTTGTGCCTCCTCAGCAATATTACAGCACTCTAAAGGCACACAGTCATATCACATATAACAGAGAATTCTACTTTTGCCAGCATGGCAATTCATCAAGACAAAGAGTACAATGTTCTGTTAATACCCATCAACCATGGCAATAAAATTCTCATGTAACATATTCGAGATAACAAAGGGTTCTGTGATCTGTTATGATTTACACTTCACAGGTGTGTCCATGTCCTTACAACCCTGAGGTGTGACAACAACCTCAACCAGTCACTGAACCCTTAGACACAGCCACTACAGGTAGGAATCACAAGTCAACAGGTGTACAACCCTGAGGTGTGAGTACAACACACTATAGGAGGAATCACAAGTCAACAGGTGTACAACCCTGAGGTGTGAGTACAACACACTATAGGAGGAATCACAAGTCAACAGGTGTACAACCCTGAGGTGTGAGTACAACACACTATAGGAGGAATCACAAGTCAACAGGTGTCCGACCCTGAGGTGTGAGTACAACACACTATAGGAGAAACCACAAGTCAACAGGTGTCCGACCCCAAGGCTGTGTTCAGTACTGTGTTCAAGGCTATGTTAAACCCAAAGGTGCATGTCCAACACTCCAGGGCCAGGAACCACACATCAGGGTTGCAGTCAAGGTTGTGTTCAAGGCTGTGGTCAGCCCTGAGGTGCATGTCCAGCAACACCAGGACCTAGACGCCAAGGTTGTAGTCCAGGTTGTGTTCAACCTTGACAAACATAACTGTAGCAGTAATACAGGCCTCAGATTCAAACATCCTGCATTGTGTCAAAGGAAACACATCCATAACACATGCAGAATCAGTTGTAACTAGAGTTAAAGAACTAACCAACAAGAAGCCAAACTGTGACAGACTTACCTCCCCTGATGGAGGCTCCAGCAGATTGTTCTGGCCACTCTCACCACCAGCTGGCGCTGCTGGTTGACTAGATTCAGTTGACCCTGGAGAAGAAACATATCATTAAAGCAGGTGAACCTGAAGCTGATGTGATATACAGTCTCCCAGTCATATCACTGGTTTTTCTAACCAGTGAATATCTGGGTAAGAATTTAATCGAGTCTGGACCAGACAATCTTCAGTAACCCATGCTTGTCGTCCCGTTAAGAGGCGACTAAAGGATCGCCTTTTATGGTCAGGTGAGGTGAGGTGAGATGAAATTATGGTTTCGAAGACGTCGGGCTTGAGAATATTTCGCCTGCTTGAGAATATTTGGCTCATATGACGACGCGTGCATGCATGTGTATATGTGTATGTGCGGTGCTTGTACTAGCCCAGACATAACCTGGTTTTATAGTGCTAGCCCACTGAGATACCATGCCGCAGTGAAGCATGAATACCCCACTCAGACACATTATACTGACTCTGAGCTGACCAGTCCTTATTGTACCCTTTAATGCCGAGTGCCAGGCAGGGACCAACAAGTACCATATTTTAACATCTTTTGGTATGACGCGGTCGGGGATCGAACCCGCGACCTTCCGCTCTCTGGGCAGAAGCTCTCACCACTACACCACGGAGGCGGTCTCGGGTGGTCAGGCTTGTTGACAAATGTCATATCCCAATTGCGTAAAACACACTTTCTAATGATGTTGTTCACTGGATTGTGTGGTCCAGACTCAAATATTTACAGATAGCCGCCGTATAGCTGGAATATTGCTGAGTGCGGCATTAAACAACAAACCAACCAATCACCATCCAAAAGTGTTTCAAACCATTTATTGATATTAGGATGGCAAAAAGAGGGAACAGTCACAACAGCAAGTAGTAAATCATAAATGTATCCCAAAAAGAACCAGAGATTAATTGCCAATACAAAAATACACAAGATACTATTATTACACACAGAAACTGATGCTTCTGCTTATAACTGTTCCACAGGAAGCAAAGCCCTCTATGATAGAAGACAAAGTTTCAAAAGACACAAAAAGTGTGTCTTAAATACATGATAAATTGGGCATTTAGATTCCTATTGGATGAAAAATCATACATGTTTCAATACTAGAATCCCCATCTTTAAACAGAATATCTAGAAACAGAGTAATATACTCATGGAAACAAATAAGGGAACACATGAAAGCAAAAGTGTTCCTATATTCTTTTCCAGGTTTCTTCACCTGCTTTGTATATTACTGTGGGCGAAAAGCTCGAAGAGCATAAAGGAACAGATCTTTCATGTGCTCCTTTATTTCTTTCCATGAGTATATGAATTCAGTGAATTCTGCACACGTCGCGAACCTCAACGTATAAACAATATCACAGTGGTTGGTTTGCATCCCCCATTTTCAACATGGGGATACCCAAAAGCTGAAACTCCCCACAATAGGCCCAGTGGACCCCTGAATACAACCCAGCCTCTGCTAAGTCCTCCTAACCAGCTGACACTTACCACTGCCCATAGGGTTGAAGATCTGTGCTGATGTGTTCGGGGCCGTCGCTGTTGGTGGCATCACATTGAACAAGGTGCTTGGTACAGATGCTGCTGGCGTCGTCTTGCTGCTCAGGACATCCACGTACTGGTTCCGGGCACCTGGAGCAGGAGGAGGTAACACATGACAACAGCTAGCTGACGTATAAAAGTGTGGTTATATTTGTGAAAATCTTGAGCTGAAATTGAGTTCTCTTTTCTTATCTGTTGTAAAAAGTACAATCAAATCATTATGAATCCATTGAAATGTTCCTTTCTGTTGTATGCAATTACTGTTTCTTGAAAACATCACCTTACATATCATACAGGTATCACGATGCATTGGTGCTTCTGTGAATCACTGCTTTATAACAAACTACACATGACAGGGAGAAGAGTGAGCAAATGCCAGCACTGTTCCAGCTACATCTCCACAGTCCACACAATAAAGTTTGGACCAGACAAACCAGTGACTGGAACCATGTGAAAGGACCCACAGCATCGGCGTATGATGACAGCAGTCAGTCAGGTCACAGTCACTGCCCGCTTAATCTAAGTATGTCACCTTCTAATACAAGCAACAGGTGATATGTTTCTCTTCTAATCAGGGTGACACAGGAGGTGAGTGAAAGGAGGCTTAACATCGCACTTAAGAATATTTCACCCATATGACGACGTGCATGCGTGTGTATGTGTATGTGCGGCTGCTTGTAATAGCCCAGACTAGAGCTGGTTTATTAGTGCTAGCCCACTGAGATGCCATGCCGCAGTGAAGCATGAATATCCCACTCAGACACATTATACTGACTCCAAGCCGACCAGTTCTTGTTTTACCCATGTAAGCCGAACGCCAGGCAGGGACCAACAAGTACCATATTTTAACCTTCATACAGAACCACATCTCCAATGAGACTTTGGAGACACCCGGCACTGGTAGGCACGGGTAAAGGAGTATGTTGTCTACAATGTTAGAGCATGTGAGTACAACAAACAGAAGAAAGGAGTAGCTATCTAGAAAGAAGTAAGAAAAATAACACCAGACCAACCCATCCAGGTCTAAACTACAGATATCAGCAAGAGAGAAGAGGCAGGACTAACACCAGGCCCACCCATCCAGGTCCTTTCTACAGAGATCAGTCAGAGAAGGAGAACTTTCACCATGCCCACCACCCCAAGTCCCATCTACACGGACCAGTAGGGTTGGATAATGTTGGACTGTAGACTAGTGAGTGTTACCCATTGACAGTAGATTCATGCCAGTAGACCACTGATAGTTTGTTGTCACTGTTCTTTTTCCACAAAAGGAACAAATTTGATATCTCTAGTAAACTATTTTGCTGTTTTAAGAACAATCTTTTAAAAATTAAGGTTGGCATTTTTTCTGAACGATCTGCAATATATGGATCTAAATTGGCCATGAACAGTGAACAAATACTCTTTGTCTTCTTATATGTTTTCATACTTACATCATGTACATTAAAGAAAAATGACCAAATGTCTTGTGAAGTTTGTGTATTTTTAAAAAACCTTTACAAATCGAGTACATGCAGAAATACTTCTATACCAGCAAATGTGCAAATGCACTAGTCCTCCAAACCCTAACTCAGCCCATAAAAACGTGATTGGACCAGCATTGTCAACATCTGGGTGTCAACTTACCTAGATCACCTGATGACAAAACAATAAGCGTAGAAGTTAGTACTGTGTTAAAGAGACAACTGTTGACTTGCCAGTATTGTTTTAAATAGATATGCCTACAGTAGGCTGTCAGTAATCTCTTAATCAGACATGCACACTGGGCTGTCAGTAATGTAAAAAGTAAATATGGCTACTGTAGCCTGTTAGTAATGTGTGAATCAGTCATGCTTTTGTTGGGCTGTCAGTACTATGTTAATGAGGCATGCCTACTCGAAGCTGTCAGTTGTAGGTAAATGAGATGTGCCTTCTGTAGGCTGTCAGTACTGTGTTAATGAGACATGCCTATAGGAAGCTGACAGTTGTGGGTTAATCAGACGTGCCTTCTGTAGGCTGTCAGCCCTGTGTTACTGAGACATGCCTATAGGAAGCTGACAGTTGTGGGTTAATCAGACATGCCTTCTGTAGGCTGTCAGCCCTGTGTTACTGAGACATGCCCATGCAAGCTGACAGTTGTGGGTTAATGAGACGTGCCTTCTGTAGGCTGTCATTACTGTGTTAACTTTGGAACTTTATAGAGCTGTCAGTTCCATTAATGAGACAGGCTTTAGTAGGGCAATCAGTGACTGTTTATCTCAGATGACACAAAACATCAAGAAGTAAGGCAATGCATACACGTGACTGATTATACCAAGTAGGCATTACGGATAGATAATGTCCAGATGTATGGTCACAGTTAGAATGCCATGGGTGATGATACATCAAAATGGCTGAATTCTTAAACCTTAAGTTTAAGCTGAAACTTTCAAATAGTAGTACAACTGCTGGCAAAACAATACAAAAAATTATATGGCAAATGTTTTCAAGGAGCATAATGTGTTAATGTGTTATTTGTGAGAATGTTCTCCTCATACTTAACAACGTAGCATTCTGGGCCACACTGTAGACAATGACAGCTCTACGAACTTATGAATGTTGTTCTGTGACAACAACAACAACAACAACAACAACACTGTAGCTATGGCAACTGATGACTGTACAATACTGTATGAGACAATACAAGGTTGAACTGTACACTGCAGCCATGGTAACTGAATGAAGTGCAACACTAGAACCATGGTTACTAAACTCTGCATAAACTACTGGCCTTACCTCGTCCTTTGTTGCGAGAGAAGCGGTTGCCAGAGGGTGGGGCACCAGCTGATGTCGACCCTGCTGCAGAGAGGGCAGTGGCAGGAGCGGCAGATGGGCCAGTAGAGTTGCCTACAGCAGAGAGACATGTGTCAGCATGGGTTTCTCCAGTGCATATACACAGTTAATAGATTCCAAATTTTGCTAGCTACTAGTCAACAAAATAATTCACTAGCCCGAAATTTGAATGTAGAAACTAAGCTGCTAATGTGATTAACATTTTATCAGGCCATAATCTTACAGGATTTAAAAGTGTACTGTAACATAACAAGTCAGAGAGAGTTATATATTTACAAAATGACCCCAAGGTACATTTTGCTACATTATTGTGTCACTGTGGAAAAGGAAAGTCTTCTTCCGTGTCTTCATGGACATACTTGGCCCATTCACACCCTCCCTATAATATGGTACCACCCATTAATTCAGAATCCCTTCGCAAATCCACACATCATCTGACCAACCCATGCCCATTCACACGCAACATGGGGCGATGGGGTAGCCTAGTGGTTAAGCATTCGCTTTTCACTCGAAGACATGGGTTTGATTCCCCACATGGGTACAATGTGTGAAGCCCATTTCTGGTGTCCCCAACTGTGATATTGCTGGAACATTGCTAAAAGTGGCATAAAACTCACTCAATCACTCACTCACTCACTCACACATAACATACCCACACATCCAACAAACAGCACATGTACCTACCCATCAACTCAGTGTCTTTGGGGGGTGGGAGAGCTGGCTTCTCTTCTTCTGCATCACCATCTGTGTTAACCCACTTCTTGTTGACCGAATCCCAAACAATCTGCGAACACACGGTCACATTTTTGTCATTGAACACAATGTCTCCAATACCTGCCTCCATACCATCTAATGGATGGGAACTTCTCTGTTGGGATGGGTGAAATGTCCTCCTATGTGCCCAACCGTTTTGACAGTAAATGCATACACTCAACCATGTGACATACACTCAACTATGTGACATACATACAATCAACCATGTGACTTTCAACCATGTGACATACACTCAACTATGTGACATAGATACACTCAACCATGTAACATACACTCAAGCATGTGACATATATACTCAACCATGTGACATATATACACTCAACCATGTGACATATATACACTCAACCATGTGACATATATACACTCAACCATGTATACACTCAACCATGTGACATACACTCAACCATGTGACATACACTCAACTATGTGACATATATACACTCAACCATGTGACATATATACACTCAACCATGTGACATATATATACACTCAACCAACATACTGTCAACATGTATATACACTCAACCATGTGACATACATAACCATGTGACATACACACTCAACCATGTGACATATATACACTCAACCATGTGACATACACTCAACCATGTGACATATATGCCATACACTCAACCATGTGAACATATACACTCAACCATGTGACATACACCCAACCATGTGACATACACCCAACCATGTGACATATATACACTCAACCATGTGACATATATACACTCAACCATGTGACATACATACACTCAACCATGTGACATATATACACTCAACCATGTGACATACATACACTCAACCATGTGACATACACTCAACCATGTGACATACATACACTCAACCATGTGACATACATACTCAATCATGTGACATACACTCAACCATGTGACATACATACACTCAACCATGTGACATACACACTCAACCATGTGACATATATACACTCAACCATGTGACATACATACACTCAACCATGTGACATACACTCAACCATGTGACATACACTCAACCATGTGACATACATACACTCCAACCATGTGACATACATACACTCAACCATGTGACATACATACACTCAACCATGTGACATACATACACTCAACCATGTGACATACACACTCAACCATGTGTGACATACATACACTCAATCATGTGACATACACTCAACCATGTGACATACACTCAACCATGTGACATACACTCAACCATGTGACATATATACACTCAACCATGTGACATACACTCAACCATGTGACATACATACACTCAACCATGTGACATATACACTCAACCATGTGACATACATACACTCAACCATGTGACATACATACACTCAACTATGTGACATACATACACTCAATCATGTGACATACATACACTCAACCATGTGACATACATACACTCAACCATGTGACATACATACACTCAATCATGTGACATACATACACTCAATCATGTGACATACATACACTCAACCATGTGACATACATACACTCAACCATGTGACATACATACACTCAATCATGTGACATACATACACTCAATCATGTGACATACATACACTCAATCATGTGACATACATACACTCAATCATGTGACATACATACACTCAACCATGTGACATACATACACTCAATCATGTGACATGCATACACTCAATCATGTGACATACATACACTCAATCATGTGACATACATACACTCAATCATGTGACATACATACACTCAACCATGTGACATACATACACTCAACCATGTGACATACATACACTCAACCATGTGACATACATACTCAATCATGTGACATACATGACATACATGCACTCAACCATGTGACATACATACACTCAACCATGTGACATACATACACTCAACCATGTGACATACATACTCTCAGCCATGTGACATTTATTCAGCCACGTGACAAACACTCAACCATGCGAGATACTCTCAACCATTTGACATAAACTCAAATATATGAGACAACTTACCGCTGGCTTGTCATCCTTCGGCAAGTGCATATCTTTATTTTTGGGTTTATTGAACCAACCACCAAACCATCCTTTGCCACTCTTTTTTGACTGTAACAGAAACATGACAATGTTTCATCTATTTAAAGACAAACAGTTCCAACCATATACATCAGTGCTCAACATATGTTCATTTGCATATTATTGTCCGTCATCTGCAGTTGATCAAGATGATGGTCATCCTACACTGTAATCATTATGCTCCTACAAATGGTGATCCTGGGTAAGACTGTACGTACCTAGCAACCTATGTTAGTTATATACAGTGAGACCCCGGATACCTGGACACATTCCTTTTTTCATCTGGATAACTGAATATCTGGATATCTGGATATCTGGATTTATGTCATCCAGGCTTTGGTGTTGAAACTGTAGCGAGCATACACTTCTGGTTTAAAATCACTTCCCAAACAGCGTGGTCATTTTGATTTGCCAATTACAATTCACTTGGTGTCAGATAGGCCTTCTAATCACCACCAATATCCTGCTGATCGGTCATTAATCTGGATTAGCAGACCTTGTCTCACATGGGACACTCTCGCTTCACTTCACATGGTCAGTGGAAGATCAAAGCGATAAGTGAGCCAATTTGGTGTTGATTTAGCCAGTTAATTTGTAAAATTTACTGTCCAGAAACGGAAACCGCATATCCGTTATAGACAGTCACTTTTATAACATAAGAGGCCTTTTTTTTATGAAAATTGACCGAAAGGCGAGGATTCCAGATATCTGGGTTTCAGGTATCCGGGGTCTCACTGTTGGACTTCCTTTTTTTTTTTCTTTTTTTTTTTTATTCATTCAAAATCAGTAGATACAAATATACAAAGTACATGATGCAACAACACTTGTACACCATAAAACAGAAATTCATATGGGTTGGCATTACACATATTGGAATCTTCAGAGATGACCATTTTCTGTCAAATTGTAATATGTTTTGATTCTTACTGGCAATAAACTTTTCTGTCTTGAAAATATCACTCAATATTTTTACAAATGTATCCAGTGATAACTTATTTTTTTTAATACTTGATATATGGATATATTTTTTACTGGCAAGAAGTATGTAATTCATAAGGTAGTTATTATTTCCGCCAATTAAGACTGTATATTTTGTCAGGGTAAAATTTTCTGATGATTTATCTTCAATATATTCTTTCAGTTTCAACCAGAACGTTTTCACACACTCACATTCCCAATAAACATGTATCAAATTTTCTGACATTAAATTACAAAATGAGTAAAGTTCATCATCTACTAATTTCATTCTCAATAATTCTTTCTTTGTGTAGACAATATTGTGGATAAATTTAAACTGGAAGTCAATCAATTTAGTATCTTTTGTACATCTTCTATATTTTCTAAAAATATCTTGCCATGGAATTGCAATATCAATATCAACTGTTGTCAGACTTGTTGACTTCTTTATTGTTTCCCAATTGCATAGATTGATGCTCATGATGTCACTCACTGGATATTCTGGTTTAGACTCATTTACTTACAGATTGCCGTTATGTAAGCAGGAATATTGCTGGCAGCAGTGTAAAACAAGAAACAAACAATAGAGTGAAGTGAGGTCTTCACATGTGACTTGACAGTATCAGTTAACTCACTTCTTCCTTCTTAGACGGCAACGTAGTGTTCTTCTTGACATTGCTGTCAGTTGCCGACTTCTTCATGGACGATGACGCTGCCTTCACACTGCCTGTACTGCTCTCAGACACTGTGCGCTGCCGGCCACCACCCGTGGAACTACTAGTCGACGTTGTGCGGAACCGTGACGGAGGAGCCACAATCTTAGTCTGGAATAGGAAGGTGATTTAATTCTTTCTTGTAAGAAATGTCACAAGACTGGGAAAACCTGGGATTAGAATCCGATTCATGGGTTTCGGGCATGACAAAGTGATGCTAATGTGGCATTAAGATGACAGTGAGGTGGTTTATTGAGAGATTCCTTGTCCCTGTTCACCAATCTAGGGACCCGTGAAGATCCGGGTTAGAATTGGTTTTCAGCAACCCATGCTTGTCATAAGAGGCGACTAACAGGATTGAGTGGTCAGGCTCACTGACTTGGTTGACAGATGTTATCTTATCCCAATTGTGTAGATTGATGCTCATGATGTTGATCACTGGCTTGTCCAGTGCAGACTCGATTAGTTACAGACCACCACCATTTAGCTGGAATACTGCTGAGCATGGCATTAAACAACAAACCTGCCAACCAGCCAACCAGCAGGCATCTAACTTAAATCACATCATGCACAGGTACAGTGGGTAGCAAGCCAGATGCTATTAATTATAGGCCTGCAGACAACAACACCTACCTGTGTGGCCGCACCGAAGTAGTCAAAGGACGAGGAGGGAGCAGCAGTCATATCCTGTCCCCCATCAGTGTGATCCCCCTCTGTGTCGACGCTGTGTGAGGAGACAACACTGCCCCGCTGTGACGCCAGGCGGTCGGACCCTGTGTAGTCCTGACCGTACCCCTGGTTATACTGCTGGTTGTAGCCCTGGCCACCGTAAACCTGGCTGGTCTGGCCATCTGCAGTCACAAAACACACCATTCTCTTTGGCTGTCTGAAATTACTTCATCACACATTGCAAGCTGAATAATGAATGGCTGTCAAAAACTACACTACACAATGCAAGTTGAATAAAGATTGGCTGGCAAAACTACACTACACATTGCAAGATGAACAAGAAGACAAAGTCATCAATATCCCCCGCAATGGCAAAATACTCTTCATGATTATGTCTATGAGTTTTGATTATGTCAAATATTTAGGTGTGTATATAGAAAAGTGGAAGGAGAGCATTGAAAGGAGCACTATCACCAATTTCAGTCTCAGTCAAACTTGTTGCCATGGAAACGCCAAAATATTTTATTCAGAATTCCAAAACTACCAAAAGGCACCAGTACACCACCAGATCAATCTATGTGCCAAGTTTGGTGAAGAAATACTAAACGGTTTTAGAGTTCTGCTCTGGAAAAGAACACAACCACCAATTTCAGTCTAAGTCAAACTTGTTGCCATGGAAACGCCAAAAATATTTTAATCAGAATTCAAAAACTACCAAAAGGCACCAGTACACTGCCATACCAATCTATGTGCCACGTTTGGTGAAGAAATAGTAAACGGTTTTAGAGTTCTGCTCTGGAAAAGAGCACAACCACCAATTTCAGTCTAAGTCAAACTTGTTGCCATGGAAACGCTAAAAATATTTTAATCAGAATTCCAAAACTACCAAAAGGCACCAGTACACCACCAGATCTATCTATGTGCCACGTTTGGTGAAGAAATATTGAATGCTTTTAGAGTTCTGCTCCGGAAAAGAGCACTACCACCAATTTCAGTCTAAGTCAAACTTGTTGCCATGGAAACGCCAAAAATATTTTATTCAGAATTCCAAAACTGCCAAAAGGCACCAGTACACCACCAGATCAATGTATGTGCCAAGTTTGGTGAAGAAATATTGAATGCTTTTAGAGTTCTGATCCGGAAAAGACAAAATGTACATTACGGACATTTTAAAACGCGTTGCGGGGGATAATTATGATTGGCTGTCCAAAACTACATTACACATTGCAAACTGGATTATTGGCTGTCCAAACCTATGGCTGTAACTACACAACACATTGTAAGCTGTAGTCTGATAGGAAGAAATATCACTCTGCAAGCCTGTTATGGCAAGGATATCCTTTATAAACTCCTAATTACAGATATCCCCTATTTGGGCATGTCAGACATCTCATCCTCAGCCCATTGGTTGATATTTCGCATAGCTAATCTGCTTCTTCCAATCATCTCACCTGTCTGTTGTACTGTGTTGTAACCAGTGGTTTGATTGGCTGTCTCAGCTCCAGTCTGTTGTACAGCATTGTAACCAGTGTTCTGATTGGCTGTATTAGCTCCAGCCTGCTGTTCCCCTGTTTGATATCCATAGTTGTAACCTGAATACAGGAACACACATACCTGTGTCACATGGGGGAGCATGTCTCTTCACTACAGAACAACACGCTGGCTAGTGAGACTGGACACAAGGAGACAAAGTCACAGTATGGTACAATTTCTGGCTGTTAGACTCAAAATGTTTTCATATATCCTGCAACATATCCATTCTGTCTTGAGAACCTCCAGATAGACGCCATATGAAGCCATATGAAACATGCTAGTATCAAACTAATAACAAATCGCTCGTACATCCTGTTATTGTGCCAAAGAGACCTCGACAGTTCCGACACTCACCATACTAGTTCTCCACTCCAGAGTTGGTCTGTTGTTCACAAAACAAGACCCCAACAGCTTCCAAACTCACCATACTAGTCATCCCACGGCTGCAGACCCTGACAATTCCCACTCACCATACAAGTCCTCCCATGGCTGAAGACCGAGTCTAATGTTAACGAAAGAGACACTAAAAGTTCCACACTCACCATACTGATTCTGCCACTGAGCTGTAGACTGGTTCTGTAGTTCTGTTGCCTGCTGCATCTGCTCCGCCGTCTGCCCATCCAGTGTTTCTGCTGTGTACGTCTGTGTATGCTGGCCCTCTGCTTGTTGCTGGGTTTGCTGGTACTCTGCCTGCTGTTGGTTCTGTCCGTACTGCTGATAGGCCTGGTCCTGGCTATACTGCTGGTAGGCTGGATCCTGGTTATACTGTTGCTGGGTGGCTGGGTACTCTCCACCCGCTGTGCCGCCGTACATGTCCCCACTCTCACTACTTGCTGTGGTACCCCCAAACATGGCTGGGGTAGCATTTCCCGACACAGGCTGGATAGAGCCATCCTACACAGCAAAGAACACAAGTAAGGGAACATCCAACCTAAAGTTTGATAATTACTTGTTGGTGATTATTTTTAATGTTACAGAAAATCTTAGCAATATCAGGGCAGGGTACAAGTGAGTGAGTGAGTGAGTATGGGTTTACACCGCTTTTAGCAATATTCCAGCAATATCACGACAGGGGACACCATAAATGGGCTTTACGCATTGTACCCATGTGGGATTGAACCCAAATCTTCGGCGTGAGGAGCGAACACTTTAACCACTAGGCTACCCCACCGCCCCCAGGGCAGGGTACAAGATAAATAGGTTCCAGCCTATCCATGCTGTGTATGAAGCCACAGTAAGACCAGGACAATGGGATTTAGAAACTTTGAACAGCCCTGTATTAACATCATATCTCAGACCCTCCCACTTCCAGAATGTATGCAATGAGCATGGTACATGTCACATCTACCAGAGAGCATGTTATGTTTGAAGTACAGACATCATATCTCAGACCCTCCCACTTCCAGAATGTATGCAATGAGCATGGTACATGTCACATCTACCAGAGAGCATGTTATGTTTGAAGTACAGACATCATATCTCAGACCCTCCCACTTCCAGAATGTATGCAATGAGCATGGTACATGTCACATCTACCAGAGAGCATGTTATGTTTGAAGTACAGACATCATATCTCAGACCCTCCCACTTCCAGAATGTATGCAATGAGCATGGTACATGTCACATCTACCAGAGAGCATGTTATGTTTGAATGTACAGACATCAAATCTCAGACCCTATAACTACTCAAGTGTACTACCGAGTGTGAAGTACGTACATCGTATCCGAGACAGACTCTCTGCAGTTGCTGCAACCAGGCCGGGTCCTCGTCTTCTCCAGTGTGGACACGCTGAGGGTCATAGAACTTCAGGCGATTGGAAAACTGCAGGGGAAAAACATTTGAAACAACTGTCAGCCAGGTAAATCTCTGTTGATCTTCCAGTGTTTTGTGTTATTATTATCCAAGAGAGGGAATTACATGAACTGTAAAACTCCCTCATGAATGAATTGAACCTTAAACTTGGGACCCAGGAAATCAGTTGACTCAGAACAGCCCAAAAATATTATATGAGTGTAGTTTGTAAACAGCTAAACTAGTGAGTGTGAGTGAGTTTAGTTTTACGCCACTTTTAGAAATATTCCAGCAATATCATGGCGGGGGACACCAGAAATGGGCTTGACACATTGTACCCATGTGGGGAATCGAACCTGGGTCTTCGGCGTGACGAGCGAATGCTTTAATCATTAGGTTACCCCACCACCCTGCTAAACTAGTAAATGCAATGTAGTTCGCATATATGGCCTGTGAACAAAGGTGTTGCACCAGGGTACATTATTTAAAGTTGTAACAAAGACAAGCTTACATCACATATACAGTGGTAGAACAAATATACCTAAGACAGGGCAAAGTTGGTGTTTATAGAACATGAGCGGTGTTGGCTGACAAAGGGGAGATCACTCACCTCATACAGCACCTTGACAAAAGCTGGCTGGAAGTATGCTGGGGCAGACTGCACTGTGGCGGAGATCACCTCACAGTAATGCAGGGCCTGCAACACAGGGGAAACAACTCCTGTTGAATGTTACCCACAGAGTGGTGCACTGGGATAAAACATACTCAGACTCTGTTAATTCGAATTCTTAAATACCAACATAATCAAGAGCACACCTTTATGTGAAAATAAAATTGCAGGTAGAATGGATGGATGGGTGGATGGATGGATGGTGAGGTGAAATGGGGTTTAAGGTCGCACTTTAGAATATTTCGCTCATATGACGACATGCATGCGTGTGTATGTGTAGGTGCGGCTGTTTGTACTAGCCCAGACTGAAGCTGGTTTTATAGTACGAGCTCACTGAGATACCATGCCGCAGTTAAGCATGAATACCCCACTCAGACACATTATACTGACTCCGAGCCGACCAGTCCTTGCTGTACCCATTAATGCCGAGTGCCAGGCAGGGACCAACAAGTACCATATTTTAATGTCTTTTGTTATGAAGCAGCCAGGAATCGAACCCGTGACCTGCTCTCAGGGCAAACGCTCTAACCACAACACACGGACACGATCCGATGGATGGATGGATGGATGGATGGATGGATGGATGGATGGATGGATGGATGGATGGATGGATGGATGGATGGATGATTGGATGGATGGATGGATGGATGGATGGATGGATGGATGGATGGATGGATGGATGGATGGATGGATGGATGGATGGATGGATAGAATTTTCAAAATAAAAGCATGATGCTCACCTCCTGCAGGAAGCCAAACTCTGCCAGTCTGCTGGCATACAGGAACTTGTACACCTGCAACAAATGACATCGTGTCAATACTTCTGTCTACACACAATACTCTTGTCAAGGATGGTGTCTACCCACGATACTCCTGTCAACACACAAGACTTCGCAAATTCGACAGAAGCCTACCTGGAAATGAGGAAGTAGGAAGGTCTGGTTGCCTAGTGACTGAGCATACTCGTAGATCTCCGTGCACTGGATGGCCTCGTTAGTGGCAAACTCCTCCCAACACCAGCTGCCAACACACAAGGCTTGTTTCAGACAAATGCTACACACATCGTCATCTTTGCTATCATATCCTGCTTCCGAACCTACCATACAACACATGAACATTTCTGTTCAGAATTTACTTAATAAATTCAATATGCAATAAAGATTTTTACTACAGCTTGTTTTGAAGTCCTCAAATAACTGACTGCACTCAGAACAGTAATACCATGTAACGGACTTCACACCGACTTCACATCATCCCTAATAAGAAGGACGCCTGTCTCAAGATGGACCCAAACCAGGGTCTTCGGCGAGACGAGCGGACGCTACCCCACTGCCCCTCCACAGGAGTAGCAAACCCTTACATGACTTGGTCAGATTATAACTTAAACAGATTTCAGACATTTACTCAAACTTTACAGCAAACATGCCACATACACAATGTAGAAAATGCAGATCATTACTTATACAATGAACAGATGTAAAGCACAACACAAGCTTGACAGCATCAGTGTTTCCACACTTACTTGTGGCTTGATCCAACAAGCACTATTTTTGATGTTTTCTTTGCGTACGTTCCGAATCCTGACTGTGCCATGATGTAACAGAAGTGGCTGGCATGAAGGCAACCCTTAGCAGCTGTAACACATGACAGAGCATATCACTGAAGTATGGCTGTAACCAGTTGTAACTCATCATGGGTCACACTGGAAACCTCTTGCTAATTTCCTCTGCTGTTTCATGATCAATGACAGGTCAAGAACAGGGTCAGGTCAAGGTCAAGAACAGGGTCAGGTCAAGGTCAAGATCAGGGTCAGATCAAGGTCAAGATCAGGGTCAGATCAAGGTCAAGATCAGGGTCAGGTCAAGGTCAAGATCAGGGTCAGGTCAAAGTTGAGGTCAGGGTCAGGTCAAGGTCAAAGTCAGGGTCAGGTCAAGGTTAAAATCAGCATCAGGATCAATGGTGAGTATAGAGTTATGGTCAGATCCTGATTTGTTGAATAAACATTAGCCTCAACATGAGTGAAAGTGATTGTTAAAGTCGGGTCAAAGTCAAGTCAAGGTAACCAATAAGGTCATGGTCAGGTCAGGTGGAGAGCAAGGTCAGGGTCACATGATCAATAAAACTTGTGTTATCGGAGTAGAGACCTACCCATGGTGTCTCCCAATGTGGCGATGCTCTTCCTGTCCAATTCTGGCTTGCTCGAGCTGTTGGACAGGATCATGGCCAGATGGGGTCGCCAGTCTCCCCACCGCTCATCCACCACACACTGCAAGAAGGGTGAGAATAAGTTCCCTCATATCCAAAGTTGCACTTTGACAAGATTCTCTGAAACTTTATAACTAATCACAATGGCTGAAATTCTCAAAAGATCTGCCTTACAACTAAAATATATAGACAATAATACTACTTGGGCAGAGATGCTACTATATGAAGAGCTACTTACAGTGACAGCTGCAGGTTGTCTGCCGGACATGAGTTGGTAGAGGGTCTGCAAGGGGTCATTTATCTTCATAGCACTGTTAGCAAATCTAAACAGAAACAACACACAACCATTATTTGAATGATACACCACCAATACTTGTTATACTAACCCATCACTAGTATACTCTATATGCCTAACTGAACAATACCTCATGATTTCAATAAACGATTTCAAAATTTGAGAGTTTGTTTAACACTAGTCAAGTTAGTGCTTGGTACCATGTCCCCTGATTTGGTTTGTTGTCTGACACTGCAACTCAGCAATATTCCAGCTATATTGGCCTGTCTGGATCAGAAAAGCCAGTGATCATAAATATACTCATAGAAACAAATAAGGGAACACACGAAAGTACAAGTGTTCCTTTATTTATTTCCAGAATTTCACTCTCAGTGCAATACATACCTTGTGAAGAATCCTGGAAAAGAATAAAGGAACACTTGTACTTTCATGTGTTCCCTTATTTGTTTCCATGAGTATATGAATCTACACAGTCAGGGTATGGTGATGGGCATGAACCAAGTCAGCGAGCTTGAACATTCGACCTGGCGAGATGATTCTTACAACAAGCATCGACTGCTGAAGATCAATTCTAACCCAGATCTTGACAGGCAGCTCAATTCAGGCACCTCATACAACCAGCAATGGGGTGTTGGGTACATATTCTGACCCATCCCCATGGAGTGCCCCTACTACAAGTCAATTATCAGTTAACACCTGGCGGCAGTACCTGATCATCACACTGGCGTGGGTCCTAGTGTCCATCTTGCTGGCCAAGAACAAGGCGTGGCCCCACAGGTTGTTCTTGGTGGCCCACTCCAGGGCATCCTGACCGGACAAGAACAAGAACATGACACAAATTCATACACATGCAATCGTATGTTCTATATTTTGAGTTGTGTTAAACATCGCATTGAACAGCGTTCCAGTTACATTACAGCATTTATATACTACTGGAAATACAATACCAATTGCTCACAACCATACTACCACGATTTATGAGGAATGTTCTACTCAGTGAGCGACATAGCCACTGGCCCGCTAGCAAGTGGCTAGTAAAAATCCAGTCAGGCCAATAAATCTCCACAGTCACTTGCCTGACTGGCTAGTGAATTTTCATGGGGTTGTTTTGTAAATGTATCACTCTCTCCGACTTGTTAAGTTATAACACACTTTTAAATCATGCAGCATTATGGCCTGATAAAAATGTTCATCATATTAGCAGCATCATGATGAAACCTGTGTCATGCCAACAATATCTTACTGTCATTTATTTTTGTAATCTTTTGCTTAGTTTCTACATTCAAATTTCGGGCTAGTGAATTATTTTTTGGGCTAGTAACTTTCAGGTATAGCTAGCCCGACTGGCTAGCAAAATTTGGGAACTATTTCGCACACTGGCTCACCTAACTTCTATGAAAGGTATTTAGAAGTTGGAGCAGTAAGGAAGGATAATAATATATGGATGAACAACCTATTTATTATTTTAGTCACAAAATTGTACGATAATATTTATGTCAAATCTTTGAAGGTCATTTAGAAGTGGAATGCATAAGAATTCTCAAGGAGAATTTCTCAAGCAGCAAGGATACACTCTGTTACATTGTGTTATTCACAATAAAGAAGTTGACATCCATAAATATTGCTATTCTTAATATTTATCCCTATTTATGATGTTTAAATATCATGGAAAGATTCTGCTCCTGCAAGAAAAACAAACATACATGACAACACTACTTACCTTTTTCCTGCCATACGACAATAGATTTCTGAATCTGTCGGTCACCTCTTCCACTGAGCGTCCACGGTTGATCTGGGTTCTGTCGGATGTAACTTTCACCCCTGCCGTCTCATCTTCTCCCACTTTGTCCAGCTCCTCGGTGCTCTGTGTGATCTTCATTCCCATCATGCTGTACTCCATCGACGTTGGTTGATGACCCTCCAGCAGCAGGTCTCGCGATGTCAGTGCCCACCACTGACTGTACAATAAGTACAACACAGTGAGTCAGTTTATGAGAGTGAGTCAATACAACACAGTCAATACAACAGTCAGACCCTACAACACTGTCGTCAGCTTATGACCCTCCAGCAACAGACCCGCGATGTCAGTGCCCACCACTGACTGTATAACACAGTACAACACAGGGAGTCAGTGTATGAGAGTGAGTCAATATAACACAGTCAATACAACAGTCAGACCCTACAGCACTGTCGTCAGCTTATGACCCTCCAGCAGCAGATCCGCAGTGTCAGTGCCTTCCATTGACTGTATAACACAGTACAACACAGTGAGTCAGTGTATGAGAGCGATACAACACAGTTGGTCACTACAACATTGTCTAATGCCCCTCCAGCAGCAAGTCAGTGAGGACAGTGTCCACCATTGACTGTAAAGCACAGTACAAGACAATGAGTCAGTCCACTACAACACTGTCATCGGCTAATGCCCCTCCAGCAGCAAGTCAGTGAGGACAGTGTCCACCATTGACTGTAAAGCACAGTACAAGACAATGAGTCAGTCCACTACAACACTGTCATCGGCTAATGCCCCTCCAGCAGCAAGTCAGTGAGGACAGTGTCCACCATTGACTGTAAAGCACAGTACAAGACAATGAGTCAGTCCACTACAACACTGTCATCGGCTAATGCCCCTCCAGCAGCAAGTCAGTGAGGACAGTGTCCACCATTGACTGTAAAGCACAGTACAAGACAATGAGTCAGTCCTCTACAACACTGTCATGCGGCTAATGCCCGGTCCAGCAGCAAGTCAGCGAGAACAGTGTCCACCATTGACTGTAAAGCACAGTACAAGACAATGAGTCAGTCCACTACAACACTGTCATCGGCTAATGCCCGTCCAGCAGCAAGTCAGTGAGAACAGTGTCCACCATTGACTGTAAAGCACAGTACAAGACAATGACTCAGTCCACTACAACACTGTCATCGGCTAATGCCCCTCCAGCAGCAAGTGAGCGAGGACACTGTCACACCATGTCAGTTATGGAAATAACTCTAAAGTGTCAGAGGTTGGTTGAGGACATCTTTTGAAGAGTGAATCAGTCAGTTTAGTTTTATGCCACACTCAGCAATATTCCAGCTATATCACAGCAGTCTGTAAACAATCGAGTCTGGACCTGACAATCCAGTCATCAACAGCATGAGCATCGATCTACGCAACCGGGATACAGTCAACCAAGTCAGCGAGTCTGACCACCCGATCCCGTTAGTCGCCTCTTACAACAAGAATGGGTTACTGAAGATCAAATCTAATCTGGATCTTTATGGGTCCTTTTAAAGAGAGAATATGTTGTTTCATATCACCACTAGGCACAAAGTATTGCTATGTATAAATGAATATCGACTGAGAATATGTATCTCTACTGATGAAGATCACAAAACTTCATGTCAGACAGGACAACACATATAACAAATCAATCCCAATTAATCTACATGACATATTGGATATTCCAATTTGGATATCAAATCTGACCATTCATCCCAACAGACATGCGACCCACCCCATTCTGTTTGATGAGTAGTTCCAGGAGCCTCCAGATGAGTACTGCAGAGTCGCGATCCACCATGCTGATGTTCTCTGCACAGCTCTGGGCCTTCCGCTGACAGAACTGCAGAACATCATTCTTGTGTGTGTCGGCTCTGGAGGAAGAAATCAATGAAAAACTGAGCGGAGCCTCAATAAAATAGCTCCATCATGGTCCGATGTCCCTGGAACCAACAAACCTACTGCACCCAGCAGGGAGCCTCCTTTCCCTCAACTCACAACAACCATGTCGCTTGTCCTTAATCCCCTGACAACACCTTCCACGGCCACAACCAGCCCCTTGATGACACCTACCTTGTGACAGGCCCCAGTCAACCCCTTGATGACACCTACCTTGAGTGTGGCACCATCCATAACAGACAAAAATTCCTACCTTGTGACAGTATCCCAAAGACACCTACCTGGTGTCAGTACCCCAAAGACACCTACCTGGTGTCAGTACCCCAAAGATACCTATGTAGTGACAGTGCCCCAAAGACACCTACAGGGTGACAGTACCCCAAAGACACCTACATGGTGACAGTACCCCAAAGACACCTACCTGGTGTCAGTACCCCAAAGATACCTACCTGGTGTCAGTACCCCAAAGATACCTACATAGTGACAGTACCCCAAAGACACTTACCTGGTGTCAGTACCCCAAAGATACCTACATAGTGACAGTGCCCCAAAGACACCTACCTTGTGACAGTGCCCCCAAAAAACCTACCTCTCGATAGTACCCAAAGACACTTACCTTGTAACAGTACCAAAAAGACACCTACCTTGTGACAGTACCTCAAAGACACCTACATGGTGACAGTGCCCCAAAGACACCTACCTTGTGGCAGTGTCCCAAAGACACCTACATGGTGACAGTGCCCCAAAGACACCTACATGGTGACAGTGCCCCAAAGACACCTACATGGTGACAGTCCCTCAAAGACACCTACATGGTGACAGTGAACCAGACACCTACCTTGTGACGCGACCCAAAGACACCTACCTTGTGACAGTGACCCAAAGACACCTACCTTGTGACTACCCAAAGACACCTACCTTGTAACAGTACCACAAAGACACCTACCTTGTGACAGTACCTCAAAGACACCTACATGGTGACAGTCCCTCAAAGACACCTACATGGTGACAGTGAACCAAAGACACCTACATGGAGACAGTGCCCCAAAGACACCAACCTTGTGACAGTGCCCCAAAGACACCTACCTTGTGACAGTGCCCCAAAGACACCTACATGGAGACAGTGCCCCAAAGACACTTACCTTGTGACAGTGAACCAAAGACACCTACCTTGAGACAGTGCCCCAAAGACACTTACCTTGTGACAGTGCCCCAAAGACACCTACATGGAGACAGTGCCCCAAAGACACCTACATGGTGACAGTTCCCAAAGCTACCTGCATACTGACAGTGCCCCAAAGACACCTACCTTGTGAGTGGTCCAGGGAATTCCCTCAGCTGCTCTCCAGAAGTGTTGTCCGACAACGTCTCCTCCAGGTTATGAACTTCAACCGTGGCCGGCTGCCCGTCACCAGGACGATTTGGCAAGACCTTTATCAGCTGACCATTGGCACCAAAACTAGCCCGGACATGTGGTATTGTGTGCTTCTGTGGCGTCATACGTCCAGGGGGTTCTGTTTCAGGTTGAAAGATAGATTAGTTAAACAAAATGAAACAATTTCAACAATGAGCAGAATAAGTGAATGTTGTCTTCTGCCACAGTCAGCAATTATTTAACCATGTCAGGTTGGCATGTATATACTCAGTACACACAACCAGGTAACACATTGTGACATCCTATCTCAGTCAGCAGTCAGAGTGAATGAGTGGGTGAGTTGGGTTTTACGCCGCTTTGAGCAATATTCCAGCAAAATCACGGTCTGAACACCAGAAATGGGCTTCACACATTGTACCCATGTGGGGAATCGAACCCGGGCCTTCTGCGTGACGAGCGAACGCTTTAACCACTAGGCTACCCCACCGCCCCAATCAGCAGTCAGAGATGTGGTTAGTGGATCAAACCATCTCAAACCAGACACTCTATCTACTACATGAAGTTGGTGGCACTTGGGATCTTATATAACACAGACTCCTCAAATTCATGGATCCGTAACAATGAAAAAAACATTTTTAAATACAACATAAATTTTGTAAATGTTGAGACAATACCATTTAAGATACTCAGTTGGTTGCTATGGATATAACAGTGGCAATCATTATTGCATGTTTGACTGACCTTGCTGATATCCATCACCATAGTAATAGCCATAGTTAGGGTCATAGTCATATCCATAGCCGTAGTTGTCATATCCATAGTCATAATCGTAGCTGTGTCGTGCATATGCCTTCTGTTCATCCTGACCTTGACGACTGGATGACCTTGACCCATTGCCCTGGTAGTACTCTCCACTGGAGATAAATCAAGTACACGACTTCAGAGTCAGTGAGTGAGTGAGTGAATGAGTGAGTTTAAGCCGCTTTTAGCAATATTCCAACAATATCAAGGCAGGAGACACCAGAATTGGGTTTCACACATTGTGCCCATGAGCTGAATCAAACCTGGATATTGGCATGACAAGCGAACGCCTTAACCACTGTGCTACCCCACCGCCCTTACAACTTCAGAATATAGGTTGGAACACAAGGAGACACAACCAAGTTAGTTGTGTCATGTTTTAATACTGTATCGATACCATGAGATTTCAAATATTACCCACTTCTATCTATGCTTGTGGTTCATGAAATGATAGCCTACTCATGAAGTTAAGGTTAAGTGAATGAGAATATGTTCCTTAACAGAGCCGTTTATAACATGGCTCATTGCATGTTAAAGTACCACTGTGAATGGATTGTTCTTCATGTTTTCAGTCACAGGTTTGTCTGGTCCAGTTTTGATTGTGTACAGGCCACCCTGATAAACCCAGAATATACTCATGGACACGACTAAAGGAACACATGAAAGTACAAGTGTTCCTTATTCTTTTCCAGGTTTCTTCACAAGGTATGTATTGCAGTGTGGGTGAAAATCTGGAAATTAATAAAGGCACACTTGTACTTTCATGTGTTCCTCTATTCGTTTCTATGAGTATATTCTGGGTTTATCAGGGTGGCCTGTACATAATCAAAACTGGACCAGACAAACCTGTGACTGAAAACATGAGGAACAATCCATTCACAGTGGTACTTTAACATGCAATGAGCCATGTTAAGAACCTGAGAACCTGATCACTAAAAAATTCAAGTCTCTTCTTACAAGTCTAAACAATATAAACAGTGACTTTCAAGCCTCGGTTCTGCCAAAGTTTGGTCTCAGCAAGTACAGTGAAGCCTTGTTAATCCGGACGGTTGCGTTTCTCAGTAAATTCGTCCGGACTGCGAATAGTCCGGACTACTGAATCAAGACCCAAGTTGCTTCCCTAAGAATTACAAAAACGACACGAATCTGGATAAAACAAATAAGCATTTAATGTAAAGCCTAATTCATCACATCAATAATTTTACCGAGTGACATCCGCATGTTGACCCGACGTGTCTGATCACGTCCTTCCTCAGCACAGGTGAGGTAATGTCTAACAAGCGATCTATTGTAGTATGCCTTGAATGTCCGAATTATTCCTGCATCCATCGGTTGAATATGAGACGTGGTATTTGGTCACATTTCGCAAAGTTAGCGAAGGACACTTGTGACTTGCAGCATTGTCGTAAAGCAAAATCACTTTTAGTCCACGTGACCGGATCTGTCTGTCAAAGTACATTAACCAATCAGAAAACAGCCAGTTATTTAAGTAAATATCGCCGGGAGGTGTTGTTACGGTTCGTGAACACGACTTACAGCGTCCGAACTGTGAAGCAATTTACTGTTTATTTTACTGATTGGTGACAGCTACTTACCGTCCGGTTCCGGAAACCGAATTTCCGGATTATCGAGGCAAATTATATAGGCATAGATTGGTAACAAGCTGAAATCGCCCGGGAGGCGAGACATCCGGATTATCGGAGTCCGGACTAACGGGGCTTCACTGTACATGGAAATGATAATGAGGTCACATAACTGAATGTACACAAATATACAATGGAGATATACTGTTGACATAAACAATATCTTTAATACTGAGAAAGCGAAACTTTGAATGCATACAAATACACTGTGTGATATAATGTAGACTCGTACAGTAAAAGGCAAAACTGAAACTGAAAAAACTTAAGTTAAAAATAAAGAAAAATGCAAAAAGTAATTCAACACTCGAAATGCATCCTATTTAAATCATGCAGCGCACATGCAGAGATGCCCAAGCCACACAGCCAAAACAAAAATGTTAGATGAACAGTCATGCAAATATGTGCAAGCCATGGAGTGTGTACAAGCCATGCGATAACTACCAGGGTGATATGTGTATATTTCCCAACCCGAGTCTGGACAGAACATGCTGATGTTACCAAAATGGATATTTCAGTCAGCCCAGTATGTGCAATACAGCAACTTGATATTGTCCAACCAAACTGTGCACACAAGTCACACTGACTACACATCCTTCCTCCTCCCCTTACACATACACACCCATCACACCCTAACAACTATATACACAAACTTTTCCATCACTGTAATCCCGCCATATCCATAGCACCCACACATCTATCTACATACAACCTATCCCACCCCTTAATTAATCCACAGACCACACCCATCAAACCCTTAACTCACTCCATTCATTACCCGTGAAGGTCCGGGTTAGAATACTGATCTTCAGTAACCCATGCTTGTTGTAACAGGCAACTAACGGGATCGGGTGGTCAGGCTCGCTGACTTGCTTGACACATGTCATCGGTTCCCAATTGCGCAGATCGATGCTCATGTTGTTGATCACTGGATTGTCTGGTCCAGACTCAATTATTTACAGACCGCCGCCATATAGCTGGAATATTGCTGAGTGCGGCGTAAAGCTAAACTCACTCACTTACTCACTCCATACATAGTTCCCTGTACACCCAACACACCTTAACTTCAGTCCTCACATCCAGTTGCGAAATCCCTGAGACAAAACACCCCAACATCCATCCACTCATCCTTCGTGATCCCCAAATCCCCTACACCAAAACACTCAAACACCTGCCCAGACAGCCTTCCTCACCCTCTTATCCATCCGCACTCATCTAATCCCAACCTTCAGTTCTCCATCCCTAAATCAATCCTGCCATATCCCATCTCAACACCCATCCTCCCATCCTGCCCCATCACCATATATATGGACTCCCGCCCACCAGAACATTCCCACCCACACACCCCTGTATGAGCAAATCAGTAGGGCTGGGAGGATACACTATGCCACAATACGATACGTATCGTGATATTTTACCTGCAATACCATACATATCACGATATATACACAGTATTAAGATTTAAAATGATTTATTTCAAGGTATTTGTGTATAACAATTACACCATTGTAATAAACAAACAAGTAACTCTGTCATACTTGAATATTTTTCTCTAAATAAGTACTTTAACATGTTTAAGATAATACTGTTTTGAAAAAAGTTGTGGATCATTTTGTATCCATAAATCAGCCAATGATACGATAGCTGTATCAAACTTAAATGCATCATCATGTATCGGTGAATCGTTCCAGCCCTACAAATCATAATGCATGCAGGCATCACAAGCAATGCTGTGAGGTATTCTTGTACTACATGCAACTGCAAATCATCAAAAAGCATATGGTAAGCAGGACTGAAATCAGAACATCACATTAAGGAAGTATCAATTGTTTGGAGGCTACAACATGAAACACAGGTGCTACCACCACATCACAACGGCAGCTACTGCATTAATGCTGCTGCTGCTGCTGCTGCTGCTGCCTCACCTCTGTGACAGCTCATCCAGAGCAGGGGTGTGTCCCCGAGACTGGCTGTGCTGACTGTAACGGTCTACCTCTGGGGCTGCCCCATACTGACCATGCTGACTGCTGTAATACTCGCTATATCTGCAAGTTAGTAGGACAACCGACAAGGTTAAGGCTACATCGTGTGGAAGAAGGACCAGTTTAATCACTGATAAATACTTGTTAGTTTTTTGTATGTTTTTTGGGGGGTGGGGGGTTGGGGTTTTGTATTGTTAAATATGAAATGTGAAGTTGGACCAGTTTCATCACTGATAAATACTTGTTAGTTAATTTCAAAAAAGACAATCTGAAACATGAAAAACGATTATTTCCTAGTGGTCTGCACCTTTTATGACTTCAGGTTTATCTCCCTTTGTTAAAGACACCATTCCACTAGAGGCTATTGAGTCTCATGTGAGGAACTAAGTTGTGTAATATCCTCACATCCCTTATTTTGGACTTATATTTGGGCAGTTTATCTGGATATTTGTAAATAAATGCAGCATAAATGAAAAGGCTGTCACTATGCATCCTATGTTAGATTAAGCAGCAAGTTAAGGTAAATGGAGGGCACGCTATCAAATGACGTACCAACACGTACAAAAACAATTTGCTCCAATAAATTTCCAGGCAAATTAAAATCCTATGGAATTAGTCCTTGATAAACATCCTGACTGTTAAAACAATGCCACTATTAGAAAATGCAGAATATTTTCCCTACTAGTATTAGACAATCCAGCCTAGGGTGTCAGGCGATGCAACATAATGTCCTGTTACACAACGCAGAACAATGTCCCTTCAATGCTGTACAACCCCCCCAAAACAAACTTTATTAGCACAATGCCATGCCATGCGACCGTCTCAGTTCTCTCCTAACTTGGACTTCTCAAGACTTTCTTAGTGTTTGCTGGGAATTCCCAAGGATTCTCACATCATATGAAGGTTTGAATTGTTTCAGAAAGGTACATCTTTTAACTTTCCAATTATGCTAAGTCAATTTTTGGGGTTCAGGTGATCAATCATGAGTGTGTGAGTGAGCATGGTTTTTACGCCACTTTTAGCAATATTCCAACAATATCACGGCAGGGGACACCAGAAATGGGCTTCACACATTGTACCCAAGTGGGGAATGAAACCAGGGTCTTCGGCATGACGAGCGAACACTTTAACCACTAGACTATCCCATCGCCCCTGATCAATTATGCCCAGAAAACATTGTACTGGGAAATCTCTGGCCAAGGAATGAGAGAAAATAATAAAGCTTTAGGCTTATTTGTCAAAAGTTACAGATAATCTTGCTGAATGAAGGGACAGGGTTCAGAAATACATGTGCAGGTCTCTCTTTGTCATCAGAGAAGAAAGGTCATTATTTTCCAGAAGTCATTTCACTAACCCCTGGAAGTCAGAAGTTTTCACTGCCAGATATCAAAGGTTGGGTACTCCCAGCTAGATCTTTGACCTTTGAATCCACAGATTCACTATGCTATCCCATAAATGCAGATAAATAAATGCAAGACTATTTAAAAAGTAGAGCATAAGAGGACTGACACAAGGAAATCATTACTCACAAAGTTATCCGTGAAAGTCTGTTATCATACAGAATAAGTCAAGAAGCAATTTCATTATCATAACTTCAAACAAATCTAAAATAAATCTAACCCTGAAAAACCTTTAATTCCATCAAATATAAATTAATTACCCTTCAATTTACACATCTAACAACAGGTTTGAGGTCTGCAAGGTACTAGTTCTTAAGGACAACAGGGCATTTAATGGGGAAACTTTCGAAAACTAACTGTAAGTAAGGGATCAGTTTCATTATGGAGTGATTAATATTTCAGCATGACATTTTAAGCCTGAGCAAACTTCCACTTAGAGGAAACATACTGATATAGTTCTCCTCAGGTTTGTGCATTATAGACAAGCAGGTAATATATCGGTACTCTTCACAAAAAGTAGGGGAACCTGAACTTTCAATTGGATTGGATTCGAAGTATAAGCGTTAACAAACTTTTCAAAGACAGACATGTTATGAACCCATTTCTCTTTATCACAACCCCTATACACAAAGCATTGGGATGCACGTATAAAAACTCAGTAGCCCCATACATGTGCACAGGGTGTCATTCTTGAATTTGACAGTTTTCAAGAAGGTCAACAAATCACTGTAGACCATTTATTTTGACAATCATCTTGCATGACAGTTGTTAGTGTTTCTAGCCGTTTTTTGTTTGAAAATGAAAATCTCACACATGTAAATTTCACATCATACAGCAATCATCTTTCAAGAGCGATTACTGTACAAACAACTATGGTCATAAGTAAGTGCAAATGGTGATGCACTCTCAAAACATTCATTATTATCATATCAACATTGATTGACTCTGATATCTCCCAATTCTTTCAATCGTAAATTCAAATTGAAGTTCCCCTACCTTTTGTAAGAGTATATAACACAGGGGCAGTGGAAGGAGACATCATGACGTGACTGGGGAGGGTGAACATGATGTCACAGGGAGTGGGCAACATGGAGTGGGCAACATGACGTCACAGGGAGTGGGCAACATGACGTCACAGGGAGTGGGCAACATGACATCACAACTGTCAATACAGCTACACAATCGATTCTTAAAGACAGGATGACTATCTTTCAAAACAAATAATCACGCTGTTAGTTTTATGCTGTAGTACAGATCAATTTAATTTCTTGCTTTTCAAAAAATTCCCAAACTACTTAAAGTTTTATGAAAGAAAAAGAAATATGATGGAGGGAAATTTTAACCAAACACCAAAAAGACTTCTAAAACAGGTTATCTTACCACTGGTTTACTATAAAACAAGCAAGTAAACTGATCTGTCCCATACTACATTCTAAAGGCAAGCAGTGTAAGTCATACCTTGGGTTGTAGCCATGGCCATAGTACTCGTCATAGTAACCTTGGGAGTAACCGAGCATCCCTTTGGTAGTACTGGTAATATCGGTCGTCATAGTAACGTGAAGATCGAGAGTTATAATAGTCATAGTCGTAACCTGGGGAAAGAAGAAAAAATTACTGGTAAATAACATCATTTATTATATACTATACATCAATATTCAACATCATCCACAACCATAGTATCATTGTTTATTACCTTTTATTAACACGAATAATCAAAATTTATGTCACAGACTCTAAGGCTTTTAAACATGTTACAAGATTAGTTCTGCTGCATCATAAGTACTGAATCACAGTAAATGGCTGGAAAAACCTGTTAACATCAAGTCAGCTAAAACTGGGCTATTAGCTTCATAACACTAAGGTAGGAATCCACACTACGGTGATAAAATGATAGACAGCCAAATGTGCACCATGACCATCTGATCCCCACTTTATTCCAAGTAAGGGCGGTAACCACGAAGTACTTGGACCCTTTTCTGACATGATATCTCTTGGTGGATGGCTATATATTCTCTGTATTGGAGCTGATTAATCTTTCACATATTAAGATTATGATAAGGACCATTGTGAAATTCCACCTTATATTAATCTTATCAACAGCTTGGAACACTTCTGGTATTTTGCCATTTGAGTCTGACGATTACGTGGATAAAGCTTGTGATATTGTGCAGTGTTTTTAGAAACATTCCTATCCCTAGCTTAAGTGCTGTGAGTACAAGTGCCCCAAATGGCGTGTGTCATCATCAACCAACTCACCTCGACCATATTTGTCCCTGTAGTATGCATCCTTATCATAATCCGTCCGTGACCTTGACCTTTCAGGTACCTGACCTCCTGACCTTGACCCTGGCCGTTCTTCTTCTGCAATCATTGAGTCACCTGATTTAAGAATGTATGAACATGGTCTTGCTCTCGTTACCATGGTTACAGTATTCACTGAATTTCAGACACAAATTTAATTATGTTCTACAACATTCATTTTTCAGTGAAGAGGTCACTATCAGCCTATGACATATTAGGTACTCTTGTTTATGATATTATAAGGGTAATGCTATCTTTGAGGGCATTATCATTTGCAGAAGCCAGCGGTCTTCCATTAACTGCCCGACGAAGGAGGGCAGTTGAAAAAGACCGAGGGCTTCTGCAAATGATAATGCCCTCAAATATAGCATTACCGTTATTATTGCTAAAATACATGGAATTAGTGTTGAAAAGAAACAGCAAACAATGAAGGAATTTGACTGTAAGATTACTCAAAACCAACTTCTGACGGGGTTGACTGACCGAATGCAATTACGTCATCGAACAATTCAAGTGACATCACAACAGAAAGTGACGATATTCGACCTTGGCCTTTGACAAGACCATAGCCTGCAACATGTCAAACTATGTCAGTGTTCGGTTTTGGTCCATCAACAGCCTTAATAGTGCAATTGTTAAGGTTAGCACCAACAAGAAAGCCAATATTACCGCTATTTAAAGCGGGAATTCGGGTTGCTTTGACTTGTTTGACCCAGAATATCTGCCAGTCGAAAGCCAATTACTGTCGAATGAACCGTAAGCCGTCACTTGACAACAGAACTGATAGTGGCCCGTTGTTAAGGTTGAGTGGTCCAATATCATTTGCAGCGGCCCGCAAATTTCTGATAATGGGAGGGCCGTTTCATGATAATTCCATGTATTTTAGCTTTAATTTGTTTTAACTTTGCATGAGACTTCAACGAAACTATGTGTATCAGACCTCTACATGTAGTTGGCAAAGAGCCAAGATGATTTATACAACGTTAGACAGATTGTGGTTATATTAACCCTCATTTACGAGTGGATGCATGCAAGTGCACAGGAGTTACGAGTGACCTTACAACTGACCATTTTGTCTGGAAGCTATAAAAGGGATATCACAGTTATCAGCTCATATCTCTCATCTCCATAGTAACCTTCACGACGGTATGGTTGTCTGTAATCCCTAGTTTTGTAGGCTTCACGTCTCCGACTGTCCTCATTGTAACTGTCACCTCTGCTCTGAGGCCTGTCATAGTCATACCTGGGATCATGATCCCGGTAACCATAGCGATCCTTATACCTCCGGTCCCGATATTCATCCCGGTCACGGTAATCAATTTGAGCATCAAGCTCCTCAAGGGAGTTTATTGACCGGTTGTCTTCTTCCTTCCGCCTAAATTCATCTTCGTGGCTCCTCCTCACATCATCTTCTCGGCTCCTTTTCACTTCATCATCTCGGCTCCTATCGTTTCTCCCATATCTGTCACTTCCACCTCGCACATCACGGTCAGATCTCCGATCTTTGTGGGTGGAGGTCTGACGCTCATCCTTTCTGTCATTACCCAGATTATCTCCCTTGTCCTTGCTGTCCTTTAGCTTGTTCTCCAGACTTGCCTGCACGGGAATCACAGGAAGTCCCGGACTCTTGCCCCGAGATCCTGCCGTCGTTGCTGCTGCAGTCCCGACCAGCATAGGAGCTGCAGGTGCCAGGATGATGTTGGTGGCGGGGGCGTCAATGTTGTCCCAGAGTGTAGTAGCCGGCGACATGCTGTGTTTGGCCCTGTGGCTCACTGGGTGGAAGGCAGACACGTGTTTCCGTGGTGACGAAGGTGCGGAGCGTCCTGGAGGAACAGGTGGCTTATTTCCTGAATCAACAACTGCATCAACTGCTGAAATTACCTCAGTCTGTTTAGCATCAGTGTTTGAGCTGGTTCCCTCAGGAACACTTCCTAGGGTTGTGTGAGTCTCATTAGTTGGCACAGGTGGTTTGAAAGCACTAATGTCGGTATTGGCTACACTGCTAGGTGTTGGCTGGGCATAATTTTTCCCTATACTGTCGAGTGATGGCCTAACGTCCATGTTCGCTACACCGCCAGGTATTGGCTTGGCGCCAATGTCTGCTGCACTAACAGGCACAGTTCTCGCGTCCACGTTTGCTACACTGCTTGACACAGGCTGGGGTATATCTCCAGAAAAGGAAGACATATTGTCAGTAGCTGTTTGCTGCACAATAAAGTTACCATGGTTGTCAGGACTGAATAACACGGGTTGGCCAGATGCAGGTACATCTCCTTGCAGTGATGGTAGAGATTGGTTAGACGCATTCCTTGAAACATTTCGGGGACTTCTTCTGTAGATGTTACCCCCTGCTGGTGACCCAGCGGGTGGAGGGTGAAGTGAAACTTCCTGTTGCCCAGGTGATGACATTGGCGGTCCAGTGATGGAAACTCCAGATGTGTTCACCTCTGGTTGGTTCTTTCCAGGATTTTGGCTCTGACTTTGGAAAGATTCACTGACAACTTCTTCACCCCCTCCTATGAAAAAGTTGGCCCCAGTTCCTCCTTGACCAGGCTGGTTGGGAACAATCTCCCAGTCATTCAAGTTTCCTGTTTGCTCATCCTCCACTCCAGGCTGAGGAGCAGATGGTGGCAAGTTCCCACCAGCATTCTGGTTTGTGTTCCCTGCACTCACTGGCATGGACCCTGGTTGCCCATATTGACCTGCAGCTACCATTCCAGAACCAGTTGTGCCTAAAGACACATTCTGGAACTGATTTGCTACATTTTGCACTAAATCCTTATTATCTATATCTTCCAGCGATCCTATAGACCCATGACTTGAATAATTCACAGTCTGCATACTTGCGTTACTAATGGCCGAGTCAGTTCTGTGAAATTCAGGGTTCACATTAAGGTATTGTGGTACACTCGTCAGTGTGGGTTCCACAGTCATAGCAGGTCCATCGAAAGCACTATCCCCATCATCTTTACCGAAGAATCCTGCCACAGTGCCACTGTCTGTGTTCATAGAATCATCAGCAACAAGAGCAGATGAGTCCGACTGGCTAGAGCCAGACGGATCTAGTTGGTGACTAGAGCTCGACTGGTCTAGACTTGAGGATGTGGAGTCATTTAATCCTCCAGACTGGGAGAAAAACGATGCACTACTATGAGAGAAATTTCCAGAAGTTTCGGGTGATGTCTGCTCATAAACCTGCCCTGATGCATTGCTGTTTGAGAGACTGGGCTGGTGCTCTTGTGCACTTGACACAACAGGAGAAGTAACATTTCCTGTGTGGGTGGTGGGCACCTGCTGGCTAGTTGGCCATGTCTGGTTAGAGTTCACCCATTGCTGGCCATTCCAAACCATATGCTCTTGACTTTGCTGCCAGTTCTGCTGAGCGTTAGGATCCCAGTTTTTCTGGGAATTAGGGTCCCAGTGCTGTTGGGTATTCGGGTCCCAATGCTGTTGTGTATTTGGGTCCCAGTTCTGTTGAGGGTTGTTGGGGTCCCATCCAGACTGATGCCATTGATTGTAGTACTGACTGTCATTCCCAGGCTGTTGTCCTATCACCTGACTCTGAACATGTACTCCTTCGCTGGACTGTTTCACCTCACTCTGACCTTGAGCATTCACACCTGGCTGCGAATAGCCTTGACTTGTACTTACAGAGTTGTCTGCCCAGCTATTACCCCAACTATTCCAAGAGTTACTGGCCCCTGCCTGGCTATTTTGCACATTAGCTGCTTGGTCTACATTATTGGCAGCAGATGCTTGGAACTTGGTGGGATCGTAGAACTGAACACCGGTACCCTGGGCGTTAGGAAGATCCTGTGTTTGCCACGGTGCAGACTGACTCATTCTGTAAAACAAAAGATTTGATGGTCATTTGAATTAAAAACTGCGACAGCATTCCGAATTCAATTAGTTCCTCAGAATCCATGAGTATTCCCCATACAATATTTTAATCTAGAGTCTGCAAACTCTTAAAATCAAATTTGTAACAACATGAACAAGGACACCTTGACTTTCAATCTTAAATGCAATCAATGTACAATATGAATCATTTTAATTTGATACAGGTATCAATAGTTTTCATTTGACAATATACCTACTTCACTTAACCTTAATCATGTTAATTTAACACTTAATCTAAATATTTATTCACTTCACTTCTATTCCAATATCCACATGATCTATGGAATCAACACAATATTGTTTTAAGTTTTGTATGTGGGGAAAATAAAAGGACTTAGCCTTTCACTGAATTATTGCAGTTAAACAACAATTTGTTTACTTTTGATAAACAACTGACAATGCATTAAATATTAACATGATTAAGTCAAGAATCACTTGATCAGTGCCCTTAACATGTTCAAAAGTCAAGAGGATAAGACTAAGAGAATGTATTCCCCAAATGTTTGGTCTTTATTTTTATCTCTCTTGTCATGATTGAATGAAAGACTTCAGTGTCTTACCGGCGTATTAACTACTTTTTGTATGATATACAGCCATATCTCAAAACACCAAAGATATAGTAAACTACCAGTATCAGGCCCGGTTACTTTTTTCCTAACAGCTGACATTTCGTTTGCCTGACATTTCGATGATGGATCAATGGCATTCAAGGTTAAGTTACTGATGATAATTGTCAGACGCTCAGTTTACAATCGATGTTAATGTGTCCCCAGATTTTACTGCAGTATTGACTGTAAATGGATCTGGTCAGCTTACAAAACATATGTCACTTGTGCGTCAAAAACAAAACACAATATTGCCCAAAGTGAAGGCTTATCACTTACCTAGGAAATATATAAGTAATTCCTTCGCCTCAGTTTCAACACCAAAAGAATATCGACATCACAGAGATGGTGTATCTTTGCATGTAGAACAAACCGGCTTCAAAACGACTAACCTGGGCGATTTTCAACAGGAAGAGTTCACTCGGAAGCCATGTTGCCGATTCTTGTGATTACGTGTGCGTTCGAAACTAAAATCTACGCTATTCAAGTTTTAACACTAGAAAGGATTTCTTGGGTCGTTGCTTCTTTTATATACGTTTTTAATCAATTATATACAAATCGTGACACCCAAAGCGTGCTGTACTTCCCTGTCAACGTCTGGTATACTAAGAATTTTCGTCTGAAAATGATACAACAAATACTACTTCCTGTCATGCGCAAAAAGTCATACAATAATACATTATATGACTAACAACTGATAATCTTCAATTCCAAATGCCCCAAGGCTGCAAACTAATTTAAGAAATAAACAAATATAGGTTTATGATGTCTCGGGGAATCGGGCCCGGGTCGGAGCCGGGGGGTTCGCCGTTACAGTCAATTGGTTTAATTGGATTTGATTAAAGATAAATTAAGCTGCCCCAACCGGTGATCCAGTCAGTGTTGTATAAACGAGCAGATCATCCTTTATCCGATTATCACTGATTAAGTAATAGACAATAGGCGTCACACGCGATTGGATAACACACTTTAGGTTCAGATAACAAGGAAAGTAATTCCAAATTTCTAAATCACATTATAAATACCAGTGGTGGTAGTATGCCCTTTTCCCATATTTACTCTCACTTCAACAACCGAATACCCCCAGTATCTGGTTAGAGAGTTGTCGGATGAAACAGATTTTCATGGCCCCTTGCAGTCTAAGAAGTGTGACTTGTTATGATGTGAACGGATATGATTCACTTAATCTGCAATCAAGGATCCGTTGAACAAATTAAAGCGATCGTAGCGCCAAGACGATCATGATCGGTTGTGTGAGTGAGTTTTTTGTTTAACACCTCACTCAGCAATATTCCAGCTATATGGGGGCGGTCTGTAAATAACTGAGTCTGGACCAGACAATCCAATGATCAACAGCATGAGCATCGATCTACACAATTGGGATACACAATTGATCTTCAGCAACCCATGCTTGTACGGTAAGAGGCGACTAACGGAATCGGGTGGTCAGGCTCGCTGACTTGCTTGCCACATGTCATCGGTTCCCAATTGCGCAGATCGATGCTAATGCTGTTGATCACTGGATTATCTGGTCCAGACTCGATTATTTACAGACCGCCACCATATAGCTGGAGTATATAGTTGAGTCGTAAAACTCAACTCACTCACTCCACACAAATGGAAGTCTTACAACTGGCAGCATATAGACCACGGACTTCGTGTAAATTAAATTGGCACGGCTCCCACGGCCGTAAGCTATGGATACTCAGTGCCATTTAGAAAGTGTTCAAGTGTAACACATGTTATATATACTACCCATTAAATGTTTTGACTCACTAGTGTAAATATAGCCACTTACTTCAGTCAACTGTTCTAAACTAGATTTTGCAAAGTATTCCATACTGTTTAAAGGTACCGTTTACACATGAACTGATGTATTGTAAAACAAATTCGTAACGTTGAAAAGATTATTGTCATGAGTTCAATAAATGATGAAACTCGGTGAAAATTGGCAAATTCTTAACAAAACTTTACACCAAAACGCAGCTGTTCACATGCACGATATTTGCACGTGCTTTTCAGCAATTTGATGCATGATCTACATGCAATTCATCTGCATAAGGTTTGCATTTGGTTGCCCCAAGTTAGGGGACAAATTCATCTTCGATGTATCCACATGCATATACATAACATATAGTGAATGCTTTAAGTGAGTCTAAACTTTTGATGGGTAGTATACTTCTCTTCAAAAGTTTAGACTCACTTAAAACACTCACTATATGTTATGTATATATATTATGGTTACGTCGAAGATTGATTTCTGCACTAACTTGGGGAACCAACTGCAAACTTTTGCAGCGTAATTGCGCGAGGATCATGCATCAAATTACTGAAAACCATGTGCAAATATCGTGCATGTGAACAGCTGCTTTGTGGTGTAAATTTTCATTGAGTTTCATCATTTACTGAACTCATGACAAATATATTTTCAACGTTACGAATTTGTTTTACAACACATCAGTTCCCGTGTAAACAGTGCCTTTAAACAGTATGGCATGTTTTGCAAAATGTAGTTTAGAAGAGTTGCCTGAAGTACGTGGCTGTATTGATATATACACTAGTGAGTCTAAACTTTAGATGAGAAGTATATTTGGGATTACACTGTCTCAGTAACGTTAATCATTGTCAAGCGTTAGAGTTAGTTGAGTGTTTGTTGTACACTAAATATACCATCAAGTCAAAATTGTCTTGATCATAGAATACCAACAGCACCACAATTTAGCGTTATGGATGAATGTTCTGTGTTAATGTCAGACTATACAATGTTACCTATACCGGGGTCTGTGCCGGGGCCAAAACCTTTAGTCGGATTAGACAGAATGTCTGTCATTTCAAGCCCAGGCGTATTTAATCCATGAAAGTAATAATATTTTGTGGAGTGAGTGAGTGAGTTTAGTTTTACGCCGCACTCAGCAATATTCCAGCTATATGGCAGCGGTCTGTAAATAATCGAGTCTGGACCAGACAACCCAGTGATCAACAGCATGAACATCATGAACTGATGTATTGTAAAACAAATTCGTAACGTTGAAAGATTATTGTCATGAGTTCAATAAAATGATGAAACTCGGTGAAAATTGGCAAATTCTTAACAAAACTTTACACCAAAACGCAGCTGTTCACATGCACGATATTTGCACGTGCTTTTCAGCAATTTGATGCATGATCTACATGCAATTCATCTGCATAAGGTTTGCATTTGGTTGCCCCAAGTTAGGGGACAAATTCATCTTCGATGTATCCACATGCATATACATAACATATAGTGAATGCTTTAAGTGAGTCTAAACTTTTGATGGGTAGTATACTTCTCTTCAAAAGTTTAGACTCACTTAAAACACTCACTATATGTTATGTATATATATTATGGTTACATCGAAGATTGATTTCTGCACTAACTTGGGGAACCAACTGCAAACTTTTGCAGCGTAATTGCGCGAGGATCATGCATCAAATTACTGAAAACCATGTGCAAATATCGTGCATGTGAACAGCTGCTTTGTGGTGTAAATTTTCATTGAGTTTCATCATTTACTGAACTCATGACAAATATATTTTCAACGTTACGAATTTGTTTTACAACACATCAGTTCCCGTGTAAACAGTGCCTTTAAACAGTATGGCATGTTTTGCAAAATGTAGTTTAGAAGAGTTGCCTGAAGTACGTGGCTGTATTGATATATACACTAGTGAGTCTAAACTTTAGATGAGAAGTATATTTGGGATTACACTGTCTCAGTAACGTTAATCATTGTCAAGCGTTAGAGTTAGTTGAGTGTTTGTTGTACACTAAATATACCATCAAGTCAAAATTGTCTTGATCATAGAATACCAACAGCACCACAATTTAGCGTTATGGATGAATGTTCTGTGTTAATGTCAGACTATACAATGTTACCTATACCGGGGTCTGTGCCGGGGCCAAAACCTTTAGTCGGATTAGACAGAATGTCTGTCATTTCAAGCCCAGGCGTATTTAATCCATGAAAGTAATAATATTTTGTGGAGTGAGTGAGTGAGTTTAGTTTTACGCCGCACTCAGCAATATTCCAGCTATATGGCAGCGGTCTGTAAATAATCGAGTCTGGACCAGACAACCCAGTGATCAACAGCATGAACATCGATCTGCGCAATTGGGAACCGATGACATGTGGCAACCAAGCCAGCGAGCCTGACCACCCGAGCCCGTCAGTCGCCTCTTTACGACAAGCATGGGTTACTGAAGGTTCATTCTAACCCGGACCTTGACGGGTATATTTTTTGGAAGTGGAAACACAAAGGAAGAGTTGTCAGATCGATACATTTTTAACGATTAGTTTGTTTATGTTAACTAAACGATTTTAGAAGAAGCCGTAAATATAGAAACGGAAGAAAACAGTTGCAATTATTTGCATGACTCAAACAACGGAGCAGAAATGCAGTATTTTGTTAATCAGTGTTGAGCATATTAAGGGCAATAACATATGCTTCCTTTCTAACAGAATTATTAATATTTTAGAAAAATTAAAGAAATTAAATAACGGTTCTTCATTTCTCCTTATTATCATCTTCCCTCTTTTCACGGACATTAATCCAGAGCGCTGTTTACCAGAATTTGACTGTAGACACAATAAGTTGTACGTCTACTAGTATATTTCTAGCCACGTCATTTTCTACAGTGCAGACAGCTTTCCAGCTGGATTGTGTACATTGACATACATCACGTTTACTCTTCTACACGTCAGCTGACGTGACCAGTTTTCGGATTTGAATCGAATGATGTTTTAAGCATCTCACAGTCAAAATGGTTTTGCTGACAATGATCGCGCGTGTTGCTGACGGCCTGCCACTGGCAGCGTCTGTCCAAGAAGATGAACAGGTAGCGTCTTGACTCAGTTTGTACCGGTACCTGTTTGGTCGTGACAATTGGGTCTACTGCCGGACAAATATGTAATTGCGCATTGCCAAACAATATAATGTTGGTATTCGGTTTAAAAGCATTCTTTCTTTCATTCCATTATCACAATCAGTGTCAATTACTCCATGTTCAAATCTGATGTGATATCGAAAGTGGAATCATGTGTTTCAGGCCGGTCGAGGAATGATGGAATATCAGAATCAAGCAAAGCAGCTATTCCGTAAAATCTCCACCGACCCACAGCCACCAACTAGATGCAGTCTGGAAACCGGACCTTTCATATTCCAGTAAGATGTTAATGCTCAGACATTTTACTTGTTAGCCTAGGCTATGGGCAGTTTGTAGTCAAACAATACAAATCATGTAAAACATATCCTGGTGTCAGGGGTTTTCGACGATGTAAGACAAAAACATAATTCTTATCTTTAATGTCATTTATAATTTTATTTTACTAACCTTGAGTGATAAATAATATATTCATCTATTTCACGCAAAAATATTAAGTGTTTCCTACAGAAATAGCGTAGATGACATCGTATCGGTGAAATCGCTGCCGCTCTCCTCATCCGGGTATTTTGTATGTGTTTTCGACGATGAGCCATATTTTTTGCTCCGCACTGCGAAGGAGTGAGGTCATCACGTGTCTTCCTATTTATATACTGCCTGTCAGTAGCAGACAACTGATCTTACCAAATTTTCACTTGCTATTTTTGCTATTTTTTCAAATTGCCTAAATTGATTTTGCATCTGAAGTGGTATACGATCTCGGGTAAATAATATTGATGTTTGTTTGCTTTTTGTTAAACTTAACTTCCGGATTTCCATTGTCAATAAAACTTCTTACGACAACGACTGGGCATCCGCCCTACTGATGAAACTGCTTGTGCACTCCAATCGCGCACATACTCCCCCGATATAGCGTGAGCCATGCAATCGTCTTAAATCACCAGAACGTCGAATTCAGCTAGCTTTGGGATACTTTTCCTACCTGCAAACTGACTGTTTATGATGTCAATCAGTTTAGCAATAAATGTATAGACCCAATGTTGGAATGACTTCTGCCTGTATCCGGGTAATCCCCCCTTAAATTTCATCCTCGTCAAATCATATCACCTGAACATATATTGCTCATCTGATAAGGATCTGACATGTTTCTTTAATTGTATCTGAACATACTGAAAGACATATCCAACTTCTAACGATGCAACTCAAATTTTTGTCAATATTCCATGATGTCATCTTGTGGAAATATAAGCGAATAGTCACCATGTCATCAGAAACCCCTAAGTATATACTGCAGGTCGAATATATTTTTTTTTATGCGGATTTTCGTTTGTTGAGAGATCAGTGTCAACGACCGGGGAAGTGAAATTTGTGTAAGTCCCGCTGTACCCTAAATAGTAGCCGTTGTCTGATTGGTTAAATCCGTTCAGCCGTCTCATGTTTTATTGGATGGTCATAGGTCGCTCAAAGGATAGCTGACACGACCTACTAGGGTTTGTTAGACTCAGTATAGCAGTGTAATGAATAATACTGAGCCTAAGTTTACTTAGACTGTACATATTCCATTTTGTCTGTGTTACCCTATAATGAGGTACTTAAGTACTGTCGGAAATGCTAGAAAAATGCTTTTTGACTTATATTTAAAATTCAGAGGTATTACAGATACTTAAATAACAAATATCACTTCAAGAAACATCTACCTAATGTAGACCGAGGGAATAAATTTTGAGACATGCTCTAAAATGTGTTTTTACTGATGAAAATACCAAAAACTTAGAAAAATAAGGGGTAGTGGGACGTTATTTGATACAAACATTAACTGCCTGTGTTACATCATCAGCATGCACGGTATCGACAGGTGAAATTGACACCTGAGCACACGCTCGGGTGAGGGGTCATCTCAATAGATGTTTTGTTCAAAATGTTGAATATGTGTACGTATAGTATACGTATCAGTTATGTAAGGGATCATTTGTGTATGTGTGTTTGTTTTGAAATAAACATACGAATTACTGTACATTGGAAAGAATCCTATCACTTGTGTTATCTTATCGATTGATTGTAGAAATGTGCAACGTTTTAATAAATGTTTTGCATGTCAACAGTATATTTCATTGAACAAATATGGATGTAATTCGATTTAAAATAGTTGTGAACATTGGCCAAAGACATAAAGTTTGTAGACCGCCCGTCTAAGCATTCCCTTGTCAAAGTTGTCAAGGATGGTTTTACGTCCCGGTTTGGCATTTGAGACGGTCCCTGTCTTGTCTGATTTGTTTACAATATTGTAAACTTGTTGGTAAGACATGCCAACAGCTCTACAAGTTCTGTAATAAACCCTTTCTAAACTCATGACAGTTTTACCTCTGTCTTTTTTAAGCAGAAAAACCTATAAAGCTTTGCAACACTCGACTGCAAATCGTTGGCCATAGTGGACGCTGTGATAAAGATGTGCATGCATGACGGGAAACTTGTTTATTAAGACTTAACATTTATATTAATATTTCTTCAATAAAGAAAACGATAATTAAGTAAAGTAACATGAACATTCAACATTTATTTGTGTAGGAAAAATGTTAATTTATATTTTTACACCACCTGTATTATTAGCATAAATGTAAAGACTATTTCAGATTTCTGTTGTTTAACTCTGAAAAAATCTTAAGTTGCTGTTTTGGTACCTAATTCTCTCCTGTAAACTGCCCTTTAAATGCATGGGAATGTTAAATCGATTGAAATAAAAATTAGGTAAACAATAGGCGAGTTGATATATTGCAGCATAGTACATTTATCACCTTTATAAAGATATTAAGGCTAAAAAGCATTTTTCTAGCATTTCCGACAGTACTTTAACAGTTGATACTTTGTTACAGCTACTTCTTGGAACGTGGTGTGTGCTACCTTGTGTTGTGTGAGAAGTCCTTTTCCAAAAGACTAGCATACACCTACTTAGAGGACCTACAGGGCGAGTTTGCAAGCCAGTTTGGCTCCCGAGTGGAAACAGTTTCAAGGCCTTACAGCTTTATTGAATTTGGTAAGAGTTAGCGCTGGAGTGATTGATCAAATAATCTGTTTCCTGACTCCTAAAACTGCAATGTAAACAACATACTTGTGTGCACGTCATTACAGGAAGTATCTATGATTGTTTTGATCATGCTATTAATTGGTGTTGTTTCATTTGCACAGTGTTAGGATTGTGTGCTGTTATTGCCCACATTGATTTTGTGGTGGGGTTTATGTTTACAAACGATTATTGATCAATTACTGAGCTTTGATTATTGATCTGCATTTTGTCAGCGACGACCAGCACTAGTAAGAGTGGTCGAGAAAGGCCAAATGATTTGTTGTGAATGTGTGATGAATGAAAAGCTGCTTTCACTTACATGGTATGACTGTATGATAAATATAATTGAAGCTTTCACCTTACCATATCAGTGTTAGAAGTTAACTTATAATGTTAGCCATAAAGGCTAGTTTGTTGTCTTTCACTGGGCTTAATGAAAGATCCCAGGCCCAGGAAACAGAAAAAGCAGAGAAAAAAGATGTTTCAAATGTTACACTGCACAGTGTATACCCATCTTCAAGCTTTAGCCGTTGTCTAAACCCTAACCAGAATTTTCAAAAAATGCTTTATGATCAGTGAGCCCTGACAGTGACACTGACCAATATCAGTTGTTATTGATACATTAGTGTCTTAGTAATTCTATAACTGTTCAATATAAAAAAAAATCAGGAGATCTGATGTGTAATGTGTGTCACTTACTCAAATACTTCAACTTGATCAGTTGATATATACCTCTCAAGACAGACTTTTTCCAAAGCAAAGGCATAACTGCAAAATTAAACATATTCACAGTATCTGGTGATATGTCATTATTGATTTAATATTGATTACAAAATCAAATGATCGCACCAGCTTGCTGTTATATGCAGCAATGAGGAACAGGTTGGTGTTGGCTGACCCATTTAAGAAAGCTCAGTGGTCAGAAAATAAATACATTAAATTGCATGTACATTGTTTTGTAGAAGTCTCAATTGTTGTTATTTGACTTCAGTTTGAGTAATGACAGGGATGAAGATGTCTTTGAGATTGTCAGTAATACTTTATTCATTCTATTACGAGAGATTGGTATAATTATCCAGCCTTTTACAGTAGTGCAGGACTATTGCAATAGTTGACAGTTGTCACAATCCTTTTTCAATAGCACTGACTACTATTCCAATACAATTGCAAATAGTGGAAATAGCCCCAGTAGTAGAATGGGTGGTCATTTCCTCATGGTTGTATCAAGACAATGTATCAAGGGGTAGATCAGATGGCAGGGATGGCAACAGGAAAATCTATTTTCAGCTGAAAACGTAATATTGTGTCATCGAGTTGAGGGTTTCTGAATGGATTTTGATGATGCACAATTGAACAATTTGAAATAAAGTCCGCGGATCAGCGGAAAATTGCCATCTCTGAGATGGTCATAATGACTGTGAAGTGAGGCATTTTTCAGGTTGCTTTCATTGTAGAGATCATTTTCTGGGACATGTAGTCTTTCAAATGATCAAGACTTTTATATCTATATGCTTGACATTGAAAGAGAGCACCTTGCAGTCTCTAATGTTGAATGAACATTATAGCAACACTTGAAGCTCCTCACACTATTGATTTGTTGTCTGCAAGTTACTATGGTTACTGATTCATTCAGTCAACACCTGTGACATTGGTGTCTTGTTCCCAACTTTTTGTTTGTTGTTTAACGCCGCACTCAGCAATATTCCAGCTTTTATGGCAGCGGTGTGTAAATAACAAAGTATGGACCAGATAATCCAGTGTTCAACAGCGTGAGCATCAATCTACAGAAGTGGGATACAATGACATGTGTCAACCAAGTCAGCGAGCCTGAATACCTGATTCCTTAATTCGAGCCCCATACGACATGCATGGGTTGCTGAAGACCAATTCTAGCCCGGATCTTCACAGATTTCCCAACTCTAGTCAGCACACAGCATGTAACATGTTGTACAATATTGTAATCCAAGACTTCTGATACAATACAGTAATGACTCATACTCTAGCAAAGAATGTAATAGGATTCAAGTAATTGAATTACCTTTGTGAAATAAGTCATGTTTATAAATGTCTTATTAATTTTTGAAATTGTATGGAATCAGGTTGGCAGTCCTGAGTAATCTCCAAGTTTCCATTAGATAGTGGAAGAGAACAGTGAAACACAAAGAAATGTATACACAGCAGTGTTTCCGTTCTCCGGTATATACCTGAAAATCGCCGGTAAAATTCGTTGGGGACCGGTAAATTGAAAGCCAACCAGACACTGTGTCCGTTAAATAATCATGCATTAAAATAAAAAAATTCATGGGTAAGCGAAATCACAGTCTTGGCTGTGCTTTCATGGTCGCAAATATTGTTATGTTTCGGTAATACCCAGGCTAAAAATAACTTTAAAATGAGTACTTACAGTATGGTAATAGGATATGACTGGCAAATTTCATTCATGACCAGTAAAATTTTAGGTTGCCAGACACAGTGTCCGATAAATAATTTAGTCAGCGGAAACACTGCACAGTGTATGAAATAAGCCAAAAATCCAACCAGACATCAGGTTTTAACCAGACCAAATATGGTGAATTTTCTCAGATGTATGGAACATCTAAATTTATACCAGACCCTCGGGCTGGCTAGCTGTTATTTAGACCGTCTGTCAGAAGTCTAGACCGTCTCGGGCGGTCGGACGGGCTTATTTTATACACTGGTATGCATATTGTATTAAAAACCAACTTGTCTTTTTTTATAAATTAAAGTTAACAAAACACTCGTACTTAATAGGTGTACTTGGTGTCTAATAGTATTAATGGTGTGTGATATACTATCTTATGTTCTTTGGTTTGATATGTTTTTTGAGCTGTGTTTATCTCTCAACTCAAGATTGCATTCTACTGTAATGTCTGCAGATTTTGCCTGTAGCTGTCCATTTTACAAAAAAGATATCTAACAATACCTGCCCCAGCTTGTTATTGATTTCTTTTCAGTAGCCTTCAATCTTCAGATAACAGGTTTTATCTTGAGTCATATTGCTATTAATAACAATACATGAATAGAAAAGATGTTCAATCAATGAAATTACTTCAGAGAGTGACAAGGGTCTATTTTCACTGATGCAAATTTTATTGCAATAGTACACCAAAAGTGCAATAGTACTGAAATAGTAGTGTGATCGTTGTGAAGTGCGGCAATGGTATTTAACCAACTTTAATGCTTGTTTATTATTTTGATCTTTGTAATAAGCAGAATGACGTATTGTTGACAGTGATGAACTCTGCCAATTTCTACCGTGTTGTAACAGAATCAAAGGATGTAGCTCCAGTCCTTATCCATTCCAATCAGCTGATGGCAGTTTTGAAATTAGCTTTTTCTGATGAATAATTTGTTTTATTTATGACTAGTTGTGACTGTTGAAAGTGTTTAGTCATATGCAGGTTATCAATTATAGATTTCGATTCCTATTGATGAAGCAGGTCATGACACGCATCGAAATGAACATAATCATAAGACATGAGATTAAGGTGTCCATAGATTAAAGTGACTAATGCCTTGCCATTAAACCACAGGAAGATGAATAGTTCTCAAGATGTTATTAGTTTCTTTCAAGATGTCCTGGGTTTGCTGAGTATGAAGATATCAATACAGTGTTAGAATAGTGTCTGACCCTCTTCACCTGGAAGTTACAACCCTGAGTGTATGAGAAAAGATATCAATAAGGTTCTGATAATGTATAATCATGGTGCAAACAGGAAGAAATTTCTGTGAAAATACTCAGAAGAACAAAAGGCAGTTGACTGTGACTGATATGTGATCGGTGCAAACAGGAAGAAATTTCTGGGAATGAGGCAGTTCATATTCCCCATTTATAAATTACACGAAAAGTCAAAAGAATTGTCTGAACATTTAATACACCAAAACTGAAACAAAACAATAAACCCAAGGAAAAATCCCCCATACTGCACATTCACCGATAGTGTGAATGATAAGTAAATGTCTGTATAAATGTCTTCCTAATGGAACCAATCTAATTAGCAATTTGTAACTCCAGGTTGGAGCTCTATATGGACGATCCTGTCCCTCAGCAATATGTCTAACAATACCGCCGACGTTAAACTGATTAACGCTGTCGTCCACTATAACCACAAAATACATGAGATTTTAAAACCCACGTGCATATACGCATAGCGACAGGTGTATTCGGGCGCTCTGAGTGACCCAAGCTAATAACGAACACATCTATTTCCTTCTTTTCAATCGGTCCTCTGCTAAGCCGTCCAATGCAGTCCTGTGCTAAGCGGATAATTACTTACATACAATAACATAGACTTGTAGTGCCATGGCTGCTGCTGTGTGGACAGGGGTCCAGGTCTGTACAGTGGCTGACTAGTTGCCATGTCGGAGAAGACACTCCCTGGGGAATTGATACCTGTAGTCATCTCTTGTGTACTTTCAGACACATTTATTCAAAAAACAAGGAAGTCGTACATGGATTCAAGAGCAAGACGGAACTTGACCAACATTAACACAGAACTTCAGGATGTACAGAGAATCATGGTGCAGAATATTGATGATGTCTTACAGCGAGGGAAGCTCTGTCAGGTACGTCTCATTGGGGCTTTGGATTGTTGCCAGTTGCCAGTTACAGCTCATGGCTAAGGGTGTCTTTTCTTTTTTTAATTTGTTTAAGTGAGTGCTTTAGTTAATGATGTAGTGATATTGAACAAATTAATACAGAAATTGGTTTAAGATACATATACATGCTTAGAAATTGTTGTCCATTGAATATGATGTGACTGAATGAAACAGCAAGGGGAATATGTTCATAGACCAATGCTGTACTGTTGATTTGATGGCAATTATCATCATCAGGACTATAATTTCATTGCTTTCATGTTTTATAGGTTTTCCAAAGAATCTTGGAAAAAAAATGTTGTCCAGCAATATGTGGCATGTTTTAGTAGAAGCTGTTTAAGGAGTGAATACAGCTGCATGCATTCTCATGCATGTTCAGTGTCTTTTGTACAGCAGACCCATGAAGATCCAGGCTAGAATGGATATTCAGTAACCCATGCTTGTCATAAGAGGCTACTAATGGGATCGGGTGGTCAGGCTCGCTGGCTTGGCTGACACATGTCATCGTATCCCAATTGCATAGATCGATGCTCATGCTGTTGATCACTGGATTGTCTGAATGAGACTCGATTATTTACAGACCGCCCCCATATAGTTGGAATATTGCCGAGTGCGGCGTAAAACTCAACTCACTCACTCTTTCATAGCACAGGTAGACAGCTATATTGGAAATCACTGTCTTTTGATTATGCAATTGACTTCCAGTGAAATATTGTTCCTGATGTCATATCATCTGTTTACTTTACAGTTCTCGGTGATAAAGCTAGCAACCTATCAACTTTGTCACAGAAATACAAAAAAGATGCGAAATATTTGAACTTGCGTTCTTCCTACTTCAAGATTGGTGTGGCAGTCATAGTTGTAGTGGTGTTCCTATTGTTCTTCCGCTACTGGTTCCTGTGATGATCACACGACCCGTGAACTACATGGAGCATCACATGACCACAGTTTGTGGCAAGGGGTCACATGACTTGACTGTGCTACACGATGTTCTCAGAAGCTTGATTGAGCAGGAGATGCATATTGTCAGTGCAGGAGAGGAGGAAGATTGTAAACACTGATGATGCTTAAATTCTGTGCCTACGCAGTGACAGTTTCCTGCCCAGGATGTGACACGTGATCGTCTACATGCTTTGCTGCATACTAATAATAATGTGAGCCATAACTGCATCATTAAATCAGACACTATGTACAATGTTTATGTATCTGGTTTAAAACATTTGACAGTCTCCACACATTGTCTGTAATAATTTACAGGGTTAATACGTCTATGGTATTGTTGACAGGGTGGAGACAATTACCGACATGCAAGATGCTACAAGGAGTGTTGAACTAAATAATTCAAAGAGTTACTTCCCTTCCCCAGTCCATCTACCGGTACTTATATGTCAGTGACTTACATTTGTTAACTAGATATGGAGGACCTTCATGTTCTTCACCTACTAATTCCTATTTACCTTTATGTAATTTGGTCGCCGACCTGGCCTGACCTCCAAAGTGATAAAATAAAGATATTAGTTAATCGGATGGGAAGCGAATACCATCGTCTATCTGTGCCACAAGTGACTCACATCTAGTCCTAGCACAGTCGTAGCGGATATCCTGTCTGATTTCAGTTAATTCTCTCTGAGCTAATTAGGATAAGGTATAGAGTAAAGTATTCTGGCATGGACTGATCTGTCATCACACTGATTGTGTCATTGAAACATGATTGCACAAATTCCTTTTTTGTCAGATGTACAAATGTATGCATGTTACTTCAGACCTTAATAAAGATGAAAGATCTAATATTTAATTACATCTTGAATTTAATGTCTTATAAATTTTCTAAGTTCATGATTGAATGGGTATTTGCTCAGCTGACTTCATCAGAGTTTGGTGAAAATGTTAATATTTATTAATACTTTAGCTGTATGCAATGTTTCTAAACAAGAAGGGCGGTGGGGTAGCCTAATGGTTAAAGTGTTGGCTCGTCATGCCGAAGACCCGGGTTTGAATCCCCACATGGGCACAATGTGTGAAGCCCATTTCTGGTGTCCCCCGTGATGTTGCTGGAATATTGCTAAAAGCGGCATAAACCCAAACTCAAGTCAGTCAGTCAGTCTAAACAAGAACACGAGTGACTGGTCAATTATCATAGGGATGGATCCAAATTTCACATTATATTCTTACACCTAGTGTAAGTATCACCTGTACTGACTGTGTGTGTGTATGTGTCTGTGTGTTTGTGTCTGTGTGTGTGAGAAAGTAAACTGAGACCACATTATGTAGACTTGAGTGAGTGAGTTTAGTTTTACACCGCACTCAGCAACATTCCAGCTATATAGCGGCAGTCTGTAAATAATCGAGTCTGGACCAGACAATCCAGTGATCAACAGCATGAGCATCGATCTACGCATTTGAGATATGATGACACGTGTCAACCAAGTTCAGCAAGCCTGACCACCCAATCCCGTTAGTTACCTCTTACAACAAGCATGGGTTACTGAAGATCAGATCTTCACGGGTCCCGTAGACTGGAACCATTGCATTTATGAAGATATATTAACACACACATCTGTAGACAAGGTTTAAGTTCAATGTCTAATTCTCTGACAAACAACAAACTCCTAAAGGTATTTTTATCAAATTGTTTTCAAATTTGGTAGTGATTTTGTACTATGTCCTATCTAAACTTCATTAGTGAAACTCCTACAGTCATTTGTCTCTTGCTAAAATCTGTGAACAGTAGTGAGTGGGTTTGGTTTTACACCGCTTTTAGCAATATTACAGCAATATCACGGGCGGGGACACAAGAATGGGCTTAACACACTGTACCCATGTGGGGAATCGATCCCGGTTTTGGGCATGACGAGCAAACGCTTTAACCACTAGGTTACTCCACCGCCCCTGTGAACAGGAACTTCTGAGACCTTGGCTTATTCAGGGGCTACACAGGAAATGACAGACTTAAGAAAGTTTGTCAAGTTTATTGATCAGTTCACAAAGACAAATCAGTCAGAAATTGGCCTTGTTATGTTAGATGTTGAATGGGAACACTTTTAATGGATACACAACTTCTTTATTGCAATAGATGCAACGTTTCGGCGTAGATCTTAACACCGTTATCAAGCAAATGATCATAACGTTATCAAGAAGTTGTCCATCCATTAAAAGTGTTCCTCTTCATCATAGCAGCTTCTAAATGTCACTTGAAGAAGTTATGTTAGATGTTACAGATTTAAGAGATTCCAACTTGTTTCACTTGCCAGATGTCCGCAATAATGTTTAACAACAGTGATGCATGTAGGTGATTGGAAAGGATGCGAGATGGATCTTAGATGCAGCCAGACTGACTGACTGAGTTTTGGTTTTACGCTGCTTTTAGCAATATTCCAGCAACGTCACGGCGGGGGACACCAGAAATGGGGTTCACACATTGTACCCATGTGGGGATTCGAACCCGGGTCTTCGGCGTGACGAACCACTAGGCTATCCCACCGCCCCTCGATGCAGCCAGAGGTTCTGGCACTTTAACATGCTTCCCCTGACTTAAGCAACTAATCCAAAGTCCTAATGTACCAAAATTCTGTTTGGTTTAGTCAGCTCAATAAAAGTCTATATGAAACACTAAAATGTGCTAAAGATGATGCTTAGAGCTAAGTTCAGGATGACAGACTCTGGTTTTTATCTGATTCTGATGTTACATATGTACAAGTTTGAATATTTAGTATTGTTTTAGAGGAGGAGGGTGTGTGTGTGTGTGTGTGTGTAGCCTTGTGGTTAAAGCATTCACTTCTCACGCTGAAGACCCGGGTTCGATTCCCCACATGGGTACAATGAGTAAAGCCCATTTCTGGGGTCCCCAGCCATGATAATGCTGGAATATTGATAAAAGTGGCATAAGACTAAACTCACTCTCTTACTAGTATTGTTTTAAGGTGAATATCAATTAACCCTTTGACCTCCAACCAGTATAGTATCAATCTCATCCCCAAAGATGTTTTTGTCTGTTATGGTTGAAATGTCAGACATGTTATGATTGATCATTCCTACATCTTGGACTTCAGACTTGAATGTAAGGTATCAAATCATTATCTTTTCAACTTCAGATTTGAATGTAGGGTATCGATTCAGTGATACATGGATTTACATGGAGTCCTGTATTTGAGGGTCCCTGGGACTCATACTCTTAATTTTCAGGGGTCCTGAACAACAAATTGGGGTCCCAGACACTTAAATATTATTATTAATACTGTTATTGTATTGTGTATCATGATCATCACATTGTTACAGTAATTAAATTGCAAATAATACCATAACCCAGCTAGTAGCCAACTCTGTGATAACGTATTGTCACTTGATTGGAATTTTTACAAAAAGTATTTGGACTTTTTCTGAGTCCCAGTGAATATTTTTGTTGTGTCCATTGTCAGAGTATAGGAGGCAGGAATTTGCGTCCTGTAAATCCCTGGTGATAGGATACCTCTGAATTTGAAACACTGTCTGTTCATCTGTCATTTTCTCCCTAACATGGAGGAAATGTGGAGACTATCTTGCAGCAGTTAAAAACAAAGACTGTGAATTGAGTAACATTTTTTTATCTGAAAGATGGGAACATGCTATTTGAACAATTTCCTTTATAAGGCAGATGAGTCTTTGCAACAGAGGGAATGTAGACAGGGAGTTAAATATGTCAACAGTGTCATCAGCACAATATTGTGTCATGACACATTATCACCACGTCCACTGTGAGCAACACCACCACGTCCAATGTGAGCATTCAACACAAGGTCCACCATGAGCAATACCAACACATCCAATGTGAGCGTCACCACCACATACTGAGAGCATCACCATATCGTCCAGTGAGGATCCCCACCACGTCTACTGAGCATCACGTCCACTGAGCATCACCATCACGTCCACTGAGCATCACCACCCATGTCCACTGCTAGCACAGCTACCATACACAAAACCATTTGGGACTGCCAAACCTACCCCTAGTCCCCTTTGATACTGATTGTATCATATCCAAGCATGTTTCTCTGGGACTATTTTATTGTGGTGTAAATATGTCCACACATTTGTGAAATAACCATACACAGAACAAATCTAATTACATGCCCAGCGTTGTTTCGAGAAGGAAGTACAGTCATTTATTCAAGGCATCTCCAGCTGTAATGACTAAACATTATCTTACTCAACATATTTCTAAACATTCTGATGGAAATTGATAAGGGAACAGATATGATCTAGGATATCCTGGGGAGAGTTGCTGTTGTATCTCAATCTGGATCTATAATGTTTAAGATTTCAGTCTTTTGTGCTTCATTTCAAATGCCAAAGGGACAAATTCATTTGAATCCTGAATATACTGTCTTGTTTTAATGACAAGGGTTTGAGAGTGCTGCAGTAGAAAAATATCTGGTCTCTCAAATCTTCTCATTGGTGTCGGTATGAATAATTCACCTGAAAATAATCTTGTTCTGTGTGTGTTCTATTGGTGTTGGTGAGCAGAACATCATAATGCCCTGTCTGTGATTATATATCAGATTTTTCTATGAAGCCAATGCTTTTACTTCTACAACATAATTTGACATTAAGCACTGGACACAAGGATTCTTAAACTGATGAAATGTGTCTTTCCGAAATGATGAAACAGCTAAAATAACTGTAGAAATGTCTATATTATTCCTTTGTGATGAATAATCTCAACATCATAAGTAATATCTTACATATACACAGAAGAGTAGTGTTACATTGTGTACAAGAGTGAAGTGGTACAAGGTGGACACTGCGGCACATCACAGTGTTCCACCATGGCTGATGCTACAGTGATATGGGGCAAGATCGTGGATGGTCTAAGGTAACAGTCAATAAAACATAATTTCTTGTCATACATGAATCATTGATATAATGGTTTCATTTAGAAAGGAATTGTCATGGTAACAAAATGGAGAAGGATTTGAGTTAAGTTGTATCTGACAAAAGGTACTTTTAAAGGTGGAAACAAAACGGACAAGGAATTTGAGTTACCGGTAGGTCGTATCTGACAAAGGTATTTTTAGAGGTGGTTTCTTTTTGAAAAAACAATGTCATGGAAACAACATAGACAGGAATTTGAGTTACCGGTAGGTCGTATCTGACAAAGGTACTTTTAAAGGTGGTTTCTTTTTGAAAATTTGAAAAAACAAAGTCATGGAAACAAAATGGACAGTGACTTGAGTTAAGTCACATCTGACATAACATATGTTTAAGGGCATATTTACGTGGTACACCTGCCTGACAGTAATATCCGTCACAAATACATGGTGATGTTGAGCTGGGGACACTTTATACAGTAACCCATTATACATACACAGTAAAACTGGCCTGTAAATACATCAGGACAGTACCTTTAATACATCAGGTATTGTCAGTACATCACTGACTCTATGCTATCACATCAACACAGGGTGAATAAATCGGTCGTATAAATACTTTAGACTTCTACTCACCAGTTGGTTATCACAGAAATTACTTTTCGACATGTTAGTAAAAGCCACTGGACAAAACGCAATGCACACATAAAACATTGAGATCATCGTTTAGATATGCCTCAAACAAAACAAAATCTGTCTTGTTTTGTTGCCTAAGCAACATTAACAATAACAACATTAAATAAACAAAATCACACATCTAAAACAGAAGACGGAATCACAGGGTTCATCTTTTCATTGACAATGAATCTGACAAATAATAAATAATTACTTCCAAGTCCACATTTGCAGGGAGTTTAAGAATATTTACAATGTATAAATATACAAAATATGTGCCATTTGAGGTACCAGGTATTACTGGCTGAAAATGTCTTGACTTCTAAATTCTAACATGGATTTTGAAGTAGATGAATACATCCAAAAATATCCCCACACCAACACTGACAGCATTATTACATATTATAGATTTTTCTCATGTCAATATTACTCTTACACATTCTTACATTGCTACATTCTCTTACAATGTTAATTTTGTGTCTCTCTGTTAAAGTTAATTTTTCTGAATATTGTTACATTACTGAACAAATAATCAATGTAACTGCAATATTTTCTTACATAACAGACCTTTCCGATGCTATGTTAAAGTTACATTTCCTCACTCTGTAACATTGTTGTACATATTTACCTGTTACACTTGTTATTTTCTTACAATGAACAGTGTCTTAATGCTTGATACATTTAGTTACAGTGTAATTGCTGCCCGCTGTTTAATGTCCACTGAAGGATCTCTAGCATGCTATTGTCCGTATCACCAAGAATCCTGTATAATATTGTCCACATTGGAGACTCCAGTTCCGTCTGAGTCTGCACAGATTCCATGCAGACCAGTCACAGGTCATGAACAATGGTGGCGATCTCACCACTTCTGGTTGTCCATGTACTTTTTCACCTCCACGAAGACGTCATCTGGCCCACTCTCCGCCTTGACCTGAAAGACACACATTGTTGCATGAGGACAACACTTTCTGTTATTGGCTTTTGAAATCTGCATATTGGGAGACTGATTCGGAAGTTGTACAATACTGGCACTGAACTAGAGCACATTAGAAACAGTAGTAAAAAAACAAGAAACATCAGAAACACCATCCGAACCACGAGCAGCAATATGGAAAAAAAGTCAGAAACTCTTGCATCAACAGAGAATCAGGAACACTACTAGGATTTCGGGACAATTCAGCAACACTTTCTGAGCTACCAGCAGCAATGTGAAAAACAAGTCACAAATACTAGCATCAACAGACAATCAGGAACACTACTAGGATTTCGGGACAATTCAGCAACACTTTCTGAGCCACCAGCAGCAATGTGGAAAACAAGTCAAACTCTAGCATCAACAGACAATCAGGAACACTACTAGGATTTCGGGAGACATCAGCAACACTTTCTGAGCCACCAGCAGCAATGTGAAAAACAAGTCACAAATACTAGCATCAACAGACAATCAGGAACACTACAAGGATTTCGGGACACATCAGCAACACTTTCTGAGCCACCAGCAGCAATGTGGAAAACAAGTCAGAAACTCTAGCATCAACAGAGAATCAGGAACACTACTAGGATTTCGGGACACATCAGCAACACTTTCTGAGCCACCAGCAGCAATGTGAAAAACAAGTCACAAATACTAGCATCAACAGACAATCAGGAACACTACTAGGATTTCGGGACACATCAGCAACACCATCCGAACCACGAGCAGCAATATGGAAAAAAAGTCAGAAACTCTAGCATCAACAGAGAATCAGGACCACTACTAGGATTTCGGGAGACATCAGCAACACTTTCTGAGCTACCAGCAGCAATGTGAAAAACAAGTCACAAATACTAGCATCAACAGACAATCAGGAACACTACTAGGATTTCGGGACACATCAGCAACACTTTCTGAGCCACCAGCAGCAATGTGGAAAACAAGTCAAACTCTAGCATCAACAGACAATCAGGAACACTACTAGGATTTCGGGACACATCAGCAACACTTTCTGAGCCACCAGCAGCAATGTGAAAAACAAGTCACAAATACTAGCATCAACAGACAATCAGGAACACTACTAGGATTTCGGGACACATCAGCAACACTTTCTGAGCCACCAGCAGCAATGTGAAAAAAGTCACAAATACTAGCATCAACAGACAATCAGAAACACTACTAGGATTTCGGGACACATCAGCAACACTTTCTGAGCCACCAGCAGCAATGTGAAAAAAAAGTCAAGTCAAACTCTAGCATCAACAGACAATCAGGAACACTACTAGGATTTCGGGAGACATCAGCAACACTTTCTGAGCCACCAGCAGCAATGTGAAAAACAAGTCACAAATACTAGCATCAACAGACAATTAGGAACACTACAAGGATTTCGGGACACATCAGCAACACTTTCTGAGCCACCAGCAGCACTGTGGAAAACAAGTCAGAAACTCTAGCATCAACAGAGAATCAGGAACACTACTAGGATTTCGGGACACATCAGCAACACTTTCTGAGCCACCAGCAGCAATGTGAAAAACAAGTCACAAATACTAGCATCAACAGACAATCAGGAACACTACTAGGATTTCGGGACACATCAGCAACATTCTGAGCCACCTGCAGCAATGAAAAAAAAAGTCACAAATACTAGCATCAAGAGACAATCAGGAACACTACTAGGATTTCGGGACACATCAGCAACACTTTCTGAGCCACCAGCAGCAATGTAAAAAAAAGTCACAAATACTAGCATCAACAGACACTCAGGAACACTACTAGTATTTCGGGACACATCAGCAACATTCTGAGCCACCTGCAGCAATGAAAAAAAAAGTCACAAATACTAGCATCAACAGACAATCAGGAACACTACTAGGATTTCGGGACACATCAGCAACACTTTCTGAGCCACCAGCAGCAATGTGAAAACAAGTCACAAATACTAGCATCAACAGACAATCAGGAACACTACTAGGATTTCGGGACACATCAGCAACACTTTCTGAGCTACTATCACCACTTTGGGAAAACAAGTTGGAAACACTGACAGGCAAAATCTAAGAAATTATGTCTGATGTTTTCACTCCAATCTATCTCCCATTAGGGTAATACAAGTGTATATGCACTTCCAAAAACATTCTACCAGGTGAGTGGATGGAGTTATCTCCCTACCTGTACAAGTTTCCCCTGATCTTTATAGTAGTCGATGACTGGCTGTGTCTGGTTGTGGAAGGTGTTGAGCCTCTTCTTGATGGTTTCTACATTGTCATCTACACGCCCACTGCTCTTTCCTCGCTCCAATAATCGCGATGTCATCGTCTCATCAGAGGCATCGAAGTACAGTACACTTGCACACTGGACAATCTGGAAACAAGGCATAAAGTTTACTAGGTGTTGTCTAATGATACAACTGTATCTCCACCACAGAAAGTCCTGGATCAAACTTGCCATACCCACTCAACATTGCGACAAATTGCTTGAAACGCATGTTATACCCATTCTTTAAGTCTCCAGGGCAAGGGAGATAACTGATGTTACCAGGTGGTGACATCATTGGTGTACCTAACACTGAGGCTGGTTTGTAACTCACATTCTGATTGGTTCTTTAGACTGAGTAGTATAGCCAATAAAATTTGCTACAGAAAATCAAGGTCTGCACTACCATAACACAATCCACAGCTTCATCAGCAACACACCCGTTACCACTATCTATTTGATTTAATTACACATATTTATTCACAGGAAATGAAAGGGATTGCAGAACAAGTTCTTCAGACTCTCCTCTGCCTGGTATGTGCATATTTTACTATTGCAGTAAATTACACATAACACTGAGGAAGAGACATAAGACTGACTGACTGAGTTTGGTTTTACGCCAGCTTTTAGCAATATTCCAGCAACATCACGGCAGGGGACACCAGAAATGGGCTTCACGCATTGTACCCATGTGGGGATTCGAACCCGGGTCTTCGGGGTGACGAGACAACGCTTTAACCATTAGGCTACCCCACGCCCAAGAGACATAAGAAGACGGAGGGGTAGCCTAATGGTTAAGGCATTCCACATGGGTACAGTGTGTGAAGCCTATTTCTGGTGTCCCTCGCCATGATATTGCTGGAATATTGCTAAAAGCAGTGTAAAACTAAACTCGCAAACAAACAAACTAATCTTTAGCAGTACACATATTATGTTGGACTGCCTTAAATAAATTTTATTTCTGTAACCATGAGAGGGGCGGTGGGGTAGTCTAGTGGTTAAAGCATTGGCTCGTCACGCCAAAGACCCGGGTTCGAATCCCCACATGGGCACAATGTGTGAAGCCCATTTCTGGTGTCCCCCGCCGTGATGGAATATTGCTAAAAGCGGCATAAAACCAAACTCAGTCAGTCAGTCAGTAACCATGAGCTCTGCATCGCTGTATAGTGCTCGATCCAACAGGCCTGTTAAGCACAATGTTTTTAAAGATGGTCAACATGAGCACATGCTGATGACTGAACAATGTACATTTCATGAGATAAGGCATTTTCACATGTATTTGAACATATGCAGTTCAGGTGGTCTTTGATACCAATCCTATATAAATCGTTATTCGGCTGACCACACATATATTTCTAAAACAACCTCTTAAAGTGACAAATTAAGTAAGATTATTGCAACACTAACAACAATATGGCCGCTTGGGTTAAACAGAGAATATAATAATGTCTGCACTTTGCACATAATTGGTCCTTAGCGACTGAGCATGTTTGAGGTGGATATTAAGTGCTCTACAATGTTGCACTACATGCTATATCCCATGAGATGTAAGACACCACTGCATCTCACCTCGTTCTCAAACCTCTTCCCTTGCTCCATCTCTCGGGGGTAGCCATCAATGAGGAAACACTTGGACTTGGTGAGGTTAGCGGCCATGGCTTCTTTCAGCAGATCAAGAACCACATCCTGGAAGTAGTGTGTATCGTCAATCATAATAACTAGAGGTGCTCATATTCTGGATGTCATCAGAAGTAAATAAGGCATTTTGAATTCTTAGTGTTCACTCACTCACTCCCAATGGCACCAAGTCTTCCCCACCCACCAGTGACACCACGTCTCCCCAAACCCACCAGTGACACCAACGCTCCCCAAACCTACCAGTCTCCCCAAACCTACCAGTGACACAAACGCTCCCCAAACCTACCAGTGACACCAACTCTCCCCAAACCTACCAGTGACACCACAAACCTACCAGTGACACCAACTCTCCCCAAACCTACCAGTGACACCAACTCTCCCCAAACCTACCAGTGACACCAACTCTCCCCAAACCTACCAGTGACACCAACGCTCCCCAAACCTACCAGTGACACCAAGTCTCCCCAAACCTACCAGTGACACCAGTGACTCCCTCTCCCCAAACCTACCAGTGACACCAACTCTCCCCAAACCTACCAGTGACACCAAGCTCTCCCCAAACCTACCAGTGACACCAACGCTCCCCAAACCTACCAGTGACACCAACGCTCCCCAAACCTACCAGTGACACCAACTCTCCCCAAACCTACCAGTGACACCAACTCTCCCCAAACCTACCAGTGACACCAACTCTCCCCAAACCTACCAGTGACACCAACTCTCCCCAAACCTACCAGTGACACCAAGTCTCCCTTCTCCATAATCTCATTCAGCTTCTTCCCGCGGGCTGATCCCGAGGACACCTCAGCCCGGAGGAGGTCCCCTGAGGACAGATGACAGAACCTCAGGCCTGGAATCACTTGCAGATGACGATCTTGCTACACTGTGTGCCCTTTCCACTGCCTGGCCCACCTGCATAAAGGAATGTAGAGGGCATGTCAGTTATAGAGACAGAGTGAATCACACAAGACCTATTCTGCCCTGGAATCCCCACAACCATTGGGGACACAGGACCTTTTCTGCCCTGGAATCAGGACCTATTCTGATCACAACCATTGGGTACTCGGTAATTATTCTGGCCTAGAATCACCACAACCATTGGGTACACAGGACCTATTCTGCCCTGGAATCCCCACAGGGAGTAAAAGCATGAAGTACTGAGGATCTCATCAGCCCAGGGTTACTGAGAGTTGCCGAGTAAACAGGACAACATGAATACACCATCGCTCTGCTGCTCCTTACCGACAACAAACACCACCTTGGCTTCCTTCAGTCCCTCTATATCTGCAACACAATAACACTAATGTAAGGACCAGTTACGTCAAGAAATAAAAGAAGTTGTTATCCCTAAAGTTTGTTCAATATTGTACGCCCCAACTTCTAAAATGACACTCAAAGAAGTCACTTCAACAAAGTATTAAAAAACAAGTTTGAACAGGCAAAACATTGTTTGGCCCTTTTCTACAAATTAAAATGTCCAATGTAAAAAGAAAAACATATTTGGAGATTTTGACAACCTTGAGTCATGGTTTATGCTGTTTATGACTTATGATCACAGAGTATGAACTGAATTTGTGAAGTGTGGAAAATCTAAATGGATGCAGTTATTAATTATCATTTCACTTGTCCCCAGGACAGATCTGCTACACCAAAGACCAAAGTGTATGGTCACTGTCTACAAAGTTACCATTTTCCTAATTCAAAACTTTGTAGTCCACAAGGAAACCTTCATGAATGTTCTACCATATTCTTGGACAAAATCACTTGATTATTTCAATTAAACCTTGTGATCAACTTATCCCCTTTTGGTAAAACGCTGACATATTTAAGATCATAATTGGTAAATTTTGGTTTCTAACCAACAATCAGCAGATCCTGATACACTAAGGGGTGCTATTTTACCATCTGTAAACTGATGGTCTGCCTACATGAAAGATGATTTCAATGAAAGGGGAACTTACTTGGTTTGAATTCAGCATCAAAAACTTTCTCTACATTACTGAAGATATCATCCACTGTTCCAGCAGCCTCAATCTGAAATACAAACATGGTTATCACATTCAGGTACATAAGACTACTTTCCTCACAATTATGTATACTTAAATGAGGCTACTTTCCATACAACTATAAACACTTAAATATCGGAAACTACTTATGTTCTAGTAACTACTTACCAGAAATATGTTCAATACAACTAGTTACATATACAAAAATATTTTCTGTTTTTCGGAAACAATTTACACATACATGAGACTACTTTAACGACGTCTAAGTATTAGACTAAATTTGGAAAATCATAATATTTCTAAAATAATCATATTGATTTATTTTGTGCATAACAAAATCACATAATGGCATAAAAAAAATTGAAACAAAAAAGAAAAAACGGTTCTCTATTAAGAATTCGTGTCTGACCTCTCGGACTTTGTTCTGCTCCTTGTAGTAATCAATGACAGGTGTTGTGATGTTGCGGAACGTCTGCAACCTTTTCTTGATCGTCACCTCATTGTCGTCCACTCGACCGCTCGTCTTAGCCCGTTCTAGGAGACGTTTTGTCATCACATCATCAGGAACATTGAAATACAACACAAACTTTGCCACAGCAATCTGGAAAAAAAGACAGTACATATATAGCAATCGACTTTTTGAAATGGTGTATAATAAATATAAAGTCTTAAAATGTATCACCCATTAACTTAGACTAATGCTTAATCTCTGACTATATATAATTTTGATAGAAACAAATAATCCGCTTTAGCCCCAGTGAGATGGGACATTCAGAACTTGTGGAAATCTAGACTTGCTTCATATAGGGCTTTAGTGAGGGATTGAGTGAGTATGGTTTTACGCCACTTTTAGCAATATTCCAGCAGTATCACGGTGGGGGACACCAGAAATGGGCTTCATGCATTGTACCCATGAGGGAAATCAAACCCGGGTCTTCAATGCTTTAACCACTAGGCTACCCCACCGCCCCCGTTAGGGCTTTAGCACTGCAGAAAGGGCTGGGCGGAAGGGAAAATAATGTGGGTCAGGGACTGCGAGACTGATTTTTGTTATCACTACCGGTGTCTGCAGCCATATAACTGATTAAAGGGAGACTACCCACCATGGCATGGTCCCTTCTCACGTCTCAGTCAAGGTGTTGTGAGTAGTGCCATGTGAGAAAGTGAGAAATGTTTCTGTTTAATTAGGGTTCTTATTAGTTGCTAGATCATCTAATTAACGCAACACATCATCCAGTTGGTGTTTGCAAAACAGTGTATGAATAAAAATTCTCAGGACTGACAAATAGCATCTCTAGGCCCTCTAACAATCTTTAGTACAAAGATCCTCATCCTATTTGTCATGACCCCAGCATCTCTATCAGTCTGTGGTCAAACCTCCCTATCAGACAATTGTCATCACTCCAGACCCACATCGGTCGGTGGTATGGACATCCTTATTATATAATCGTCATAACTCTTGCATCTCTATCAGTCTGTGATCAACCTCCCTCTCAGACAATTGCCATCACCCCAGCCCAACACATTCAGTGGTATGGACATCCTCATTGGATAATTGTCATGACTCTTGAGTCTCTATCTGCCTGTGGTCTAACTGCAGCTGCAGCTGCACCTGTCGGCACAGGTACTACAGATATGTACCCCAGGTACGTTTCTGTATACAGACATGTACCCTAAACAAAGTCAAAATACAGAAACGTACCCGGTACCCTAAACGACGGACGAGTCCATATTCCGCGACCCAATACCGAAACTGTATGTAGTTAATCAGTTCAGCTGATTGCCAGTGGTGTACGTTGTGCACCGTGAAATATTCGTTATACTGTGTATGCTCTTATATAACGCAATCAAATGCATCTAATACAACAGTATGACAGTTCCGATCAAGAAAACTCCACAATGCAGAATGGAATCATCCTAGGGTACCTTTCTGTATTCTCATTATGGCCAGGGTACATTTCTGTATACAGAAACGCCATCACATGAGTAGTACCTTTGCCGACAACGACTCTTTCAGCCTAACTGCAGCCCCATATACCAGTCGGTGGTATGAACATCTCCCTTGAACAACCAAGCATCACCCAGTTCATCAGCTGAGTGAGAATTACTGAACAAATCAACTATCCTCACCTCACTCTCGAACCTCTTCCCCTGATCCAGTTCCCGGGGGTAGCCATCAATGAGGAAACCTTTACTAGAGGCAGCCTTGGCCATCATGGCCTCCTTCAGCAGCTGCAGTACCTCATCCAGGGGGACAAGGTCACCTTTCTCCATGATGGATGTCAGGTGCTTCCCTCGTGCAGATCCTGACGCAACCTCTGCCCTCAAGAGGTCACCGCTGGACAGATGGGTGAACCCAAATCTTTCCACGATCTTGGCACTTTGTGTTCCCTTCCCACTGCCTGGGCCACCTGGTGGCAGGGAAACAAGGGGTGATAACTGTTAAATACTTAATTCAGTGAAACAGAATTGAATAAATTTACATGGCAAGGCTTCAACAAATGGAAAAAAGGTGGAACAACTTAAGGCCATATTTGTTTCAAGATGAGTGAGGGTAATTTTTGTAATGTCTTTTCAGGCCAGGATTTTAGTACAGTGCCGAGTCAGCCTAGTGTACAAGGAAAGTAAAATATAATGCAAGTCCAAGACTTTTAGCCCAGGCTATGGCGCTGACAAACTAAGAAAAATAAATCAGGGAAAATCTGGCATTTGAAACAGTGATCAACAGATTCTGCCATTGTTAAGGGAGGCAACCCTACCACCTGTGTATCACAGATTAGCCTACACTGGGATTTGTAAAAGTACACCCTAAAAACATTTTGATTAAAAATATTCTGATCTCTATAGCATTATTCTCATTTAAATCTCATCTCAGCACATTTTCAAGAAAACATTAGAACCTGTATGTTAAAATCAAACATCATGTTAACAAACATCCTAAACTGATGACATCATATTGTAAATGATGATGTAAAAAGTAACTTGCTCCAGTTTTAACTGGTTTCAATTTGGTCTCGCCATTGAAATCATGGATGCTAAATATAATGTTCATGTCAAATCCTTTCACTTGAGAACCTTTGACCTTTCTATATTTAAAATTAATATTATTATTTTACATGAAGAATTTCATCAGATGAGTTTTCATTGGGAAATACAAAGTTATATTTGTCCAGCAAGACAACAGATTCAGTATATAGAGAGCTTTAATGAGGAAAGACGACAGATCTTGGTCAAAAGGTCAACCATAGATGAGACAACTTCTTCAAACACAGCGATCATATCTTTTTAATAAACTACATAAACTAGTTTGATAAAAATGTAATTGATATAAGCATATTTCAAAGGAACTTTATGGACTCAAAACATGTTCCCATGTCAATACAAGACTTCTACAAAGGAGAAGATGAAAACTTCAACTCACCAACAATAAACACAACATTTGCATCCTTCAGTGCTGGGCCGCTTGTAGGTGCTGAAGACAGAGATTGAGAAACATTCAGGATTTATACAATCTTTCAGAAGAAATCATGCTTGTTGTGTTCATGAACGTATCAGTCGTCAACACTGAACAGGAACAGCTGTTGATGACCACGCTACACATGTCCCCATGCGAGATTGAACAATATTGACTTGATAAATCTGTTTCAGAACAGAAAACAAAGTTGCCATTGTTAATAAAACAGTAAAATATCAGCAAGGATATACAATATATATGCAAAAAGGGTATACGAACCCATAATATCGACTCCAAGTCCGTCACCTGACCCAGATTCAGCTATCTCGGTTCACCCGACTTCGACTTCGTTTTAATTATGTCAGTGCCTCTCTACTGTAATCTCATTCTGTTTTAGCTCTGTAGGTAACCTTTGTGTAACGGTTATCTGTCGTTTATCAACCAGCAACGTCAACTGACATTCACAGCCAATAAAACTGAACGCGAATGAAACTGTAACTGGTACAAATCGACAAAATTAATCCTGGACAGTGTGGTTGGTGAAGGTTTCATGGTTGTTGCCAGGTGCCGAGTGACGCATTCACTAAACACAAAGTCCTGATGCAATGTTCTAACATTCTGTATTCCTGAGGAATTTATGATAACACTGAATGTAATAATGTCTCCTCTTATCAGCTGACCCTGGGTAAGGTTATATAGGATATCAGTGTATTTATAGCACAAGTATTTTCATCATAGGGTTGATACGATGTAAATAGAACAACAGTAGACGCTGATATCAATCTGGTGAATGACTACTGAGATAAGGGGCCGATCAGGTGTTATAGGGTTTAGAGGTTGGGATAAGAGGTCAGTCAGGTGTTATTGGGATAAGAGGTCAGTCAGGTGTTATTGGGATAAGAGGTCAGTCAGGTGTTATAGGGTTTAGAGGTTGGGATAAGAGGTCAGACAGGGTTAATAGGGTTCAGAGACTTATAAAAGGTCAGTCAGGTGTTATAGGGTTTGGATGTTGGGATAAGAGGTAAGTCAGGTGTTTTAGGGTTTAGAGGCTGGGATAAGGGGTCAGTCAGGTGTTATTGGGTTTAGAGCTTGAGATAAGAGGTCAGTCAGGTGTTATTGGGTTTAGAGATTGGGATGAGGGGCCAGTCAGGTGTTATAGGGTTTAGAGGTTGGGATAAGGGGCCTGTCATGTGTTATGGGGTTTAGAGGTTGCATAAGGGGCCAGTCAGGTGTTGTGGGGTTTAGAGGTTGCATAATGAGCCAGTCAGGTGTTATGGGGTTTAGAGGTTGTATAAGGGGCCAGTCATGTGTTATGGGGTTTAGAGGTTGCATAGGGGCCAGTCAGGTGTTAAGGTGGTAGGGGGTGAGATGAGGGTCAGGACTTGTATGGGGTCAGATTTGAGATAATGGACCAGTCAGAAGTTATTTAGGTCAGGGGCTGAGATAAGTAGTTTGTCAGGACATATATTGGACAAGGCCTGAGATAATGGACTAGTCAAAATATATACAGGGTAGGAGGGAGTAGTGAGATGTTACATGAGACAGAGACTGAAATAATGGATCACTGGATCCTTTGTCAAGGGATCAGTCAGGTGTTAAACATGGTAGGGGCTAAGATATGGGATCAGTTGGGTGTAAAAGGCACGGAACCTGTTAGGGTGTTGTAAGTGCAGAGACTGAGATAAGGAATCAGTGAGTGAGTGAGTGAGTTTTACGCTGCTTTTAGCAATATTCCAGCAATATCACGGCGGGGGACACCAGAAATGGGCTTCACACATTGTACCCATGTGGGAAATCGAACCCAGGGTCTTTGGCGTGATGTAAGGAATCAGGAAAGTGATATTGAAGGAAAGGTGCAGTGATAGGTGATCAGCCTGTTTAATAGGCTAGAGATAAGTGGTTGGTCAGGTGTCACAGGTGATAATAACAAGCAACTGTGGAGACACAAGCAGCCCAAGATCAGCCTTCTGTATGATTCATCTCAACACTCACCTGTAAAGGCATCAAATATCTTCTCCACTTCCTTGAAAACAACATCAGGGCCAACCTCTGCCGCAACCTGAACACTGATGAATCAGATAACACAATCCTCAGACACAGACAGATGTGATCACAGATGAATGTGACAGATAGATGTAGCCTAGGACTACAATCCTCAGACTACAATCCTTAGACACAGACAGATGTAGCCTAAGGACTGTGATCCTGATGACTACAATCCTCAGACACAGACAGATGTCAGACACACAGACAGATGTAGCCTGAAGACTACAATCCTACAATCATAGGACAGACAGATCCTTGAGACACAATCCTTAGACACAGACAGACAGATGTAGCCTAAGGACTACTAAGGACAGACAGATGTCTTACAATCCTTAGACACAGACAGATGTAGCCTAAGGACTACAATCCTCAGACACAGACAGATGTAGCCTAGGGATACAATCCTCAGACACACACAGATGTAGCCTGATGACTACAATAGACACCCAGGACACAGACACAGATGTGAGACTACAATCTTCTGATGACTACACAATCCTTAGACACAGACAGATGTAGCCTGATGACTACAATCCTTAGACACACACAGATGTAACCTAAGGACTACAATCTTCAGACACAGACAGATGTAGCCTAAGGACTACAATCCTTAGATACAGACAGATGTAATCTCATGACTACAATCCTCAGACACAGACAGATGTAATCTGATGACTACAATCCTCAGACACAGACAGATGTGATCTGATGACTACAATCCTTAAACACTAACAAATGTAGCAAAGGACTTCATGCCTTAGACACAGACACAATATCACGGCGGGGGACACCAGAAAGGAGCTCCGCACCTTCTATCCATGAGGGGAATCGAACCCAGGACTTTGGCGTGACAAGTGAATGCTTTAACCACTAGATTACCCCACCACCCTAAAACAGGCAAAGATGAGATGACATTGACTGAACTCATCTCATCACATGTAGATTGGTTATGTTAAAGATGAAACATAAAGCCCTCTTCATCTACAGCATCAACTCCATCCACGTCCTCACCTTCCTCACTTTACCCTGTGACTGGTAGTAATCAATGACAGGAGTTGTCACATCATGGAAGGTCTTCAGCCTCTTCTTGATCGTCTCCTCATTGTCATCCACACGCCCGCTTGTCTTTGCCCGATCCAGAAGTCTTGCAGTCATAGTGTCATCAGCAACCTCGAAGTACAGGACAAACTCTGCTGGCGCCACCTTCAGGACAAACAAGGGAGATTATCAATGAATTCCAAATAATGCAATGGTGAGTGAGTGAGTGAGTGAGTTTGGTTTTACGCCACTTTTAGCAATATTCCAGCAACATCACAGCGTGGGACACCAAAACTGGGCTTCACACATTGTGCCCATGTGGGGAATCGAACCCATGTCTTCAGCGTGACGCAATATAATAAAATATCCAGGATGGGAAGATCTGGTTCAGGCAAACTAATAGCTGATGCTATGAATGAGGAGAAAATAAGTTTAAATACCATGACACAAGCATGTCAGGCTGCATCTGAAGCTTTGTTTTCACCGAACCAGACTATCTATCACTGCCATTGTGTTCAACCAATCCCTACATAGCAACACAATGGGTTTGGTTGCTGTTTGACCTGCACTCAGCAATATTCCAGCTATATGGAGATGGTCTGTACTGACTGACTGACTGAGTTTGGTTTTACGCCGCTTTTAGCAATATTCCAACAACATCACAGCAGGGGACACCAAAATGGGCTTCAAACATTGTGCCCATTGGGATACAATGACATGTAACCAGCGCTTTAACCATTAGGCTGTCAGGCTGCCCACACGCCCTGCGACGATGGTCTGTAATCATTGAGTCTGGTCCAGACAATCCAGTGATCAAAAGCATGCGCATTGATCTACACAATTGGGATACAATGACATGTGTCAGCCAAGTCAGCGAGCCTGATCACAGTTAGTCAGCTCTTACGACAAGCAAGTTTTGCTGAAGACCAATTCTAACCCAGATCTTCACAGGTCCAAGACATTGGGGATCTAGTTTGATGGGAATGCTGTGGAGGTGAAGATGAAGTTTGATGATATGTACCTCACTCTCAAACCTCTTGCCTTGATCCAGTTCCCGGGGGTAGCCATCGATGAGGAAACCTTTACTGGAGGCAGCCTTGGCCAACATGGCCTCCTTCAGCAGCTGCAGGACCTCATCCTGCAGACAAAGAAAACAGGTCATGTGACATACACAACATGCTGATTTGCTGTCATTGAATTAATTATGTCACAGAACAGGAACACTTTAGCCATATTTTAATGACAGTTTTGTCAAATTCATTCAGTCTTGAACAAACACCTCACCCACTGAATACAAATGAAAATTGACATGATGTCAATTTTTTCAAAAGTTTTTCTTCATGGAAATATTAGATCTCCAACTCACCAGGGAGACCAAATCCCCCTTCTCCATTGTCTCATTCAGCCTCTTGCCACGATCAGATCCAGATGCGACCTCTGCCCTCAAGAGATCGCCACTGGAAAGGTGCGTAAAGCCATACTTCTCCACGATCTTCGCACATTGTGTTCCCTTCCCACTACCGGGTCCACCTGGTGACAACACAAGGGGAGGTAATGAGACAGTTATATGACACCCTGTCAAATGAATGAGTCAGCTAGGTGACACACGTAGTAGATATTTACCCTCCTCAAGAATCATACTGACAGAACAAAGATGAGGCAAAATCTGGATTTGAACCCATGACCAGCAGATCCTGGCAGGAGATGTATCCAGAGAACTACAGGATCCACTGGGACATATTTCTTTTGTTTATTGTTCTTGTAATGTCCAATCTATATGACAGTTACATGTAAATATTAAAATATTGACAAGGACATCCAGTAATCGATATCATATGCAATGATCTGTCACAAACTGTCAACTTAGTCTCTGAAGGGGAATGATCAATCCATTTAACCTCCGCTTGGTTGGTGGAAACGAATTATTAATGGGCATCCACACAAGCGGATGTATAAATGTTTGATATGTAGAGTATAAGTAAGTGACTCACCCACAACAAACACCACCTTGGTGTCCTTCAGAGCAGCTTCTGTAACAAGAAGAAGGTGGATTAAAGGCAGGGAAAGAAACTGATAGGAATCCTTACAACATAGTCACACAACTTGGACTCATGAATTCAAAGAATCCTTACAACATAGTCACACAACTTGGACTCATGAATTCAAACCGCTAGTTTGTCTGATGATAATGCTGCTGAATCGCTGTGCACCTCTTGTGTCCAGAATGTACTGGGTCCATGTCTGTTGTCTATAGAGTCTTGAGCACTTCTTGAATGCATTGCATCCATGTGTTGTCCAATAATCCTGAACACTTCTAGTGTGTCCATGTGAGTTGCCTGTAGAGTCCTGAGCACTTCTTGTGTGTTCAGAATGCAGTGTGTCCATCTGTGTTGTCCACAGGTGTTGAGCACTTCTTGTGTGTTCAGAGAGCAGTGTGTCCATGTGTGTTGTCCATAGTCTTGTGTGTTTAGAATGCAGAGTGTCCCAGGGTTTAACAAAGCTCTTTGAAACTTGGGAGTCCATTTCCAAAATTGGGGGTCCATCAAGTTTCATGAAATCAATGATCATGGATGCTTCCCATTTGATAATGACTATATGATAATATGTGTTACTTTCAATGTCATTAGAATAATGATTGTAAACAGAATGTTTATATTTAATATGGGATACAAACTCAGAAGGTTCTTTCCCAGAAAAAATATTATATTGCGTCCAGAAGGATGCACTGGATTTTAGTTTGGGGGTACTTCATCAAATTTCTGCGTCCAATACGCAGGAATCACGCATCCTGTAAAACCCTGGTGTCCATGTGTGTTGCCTGTGGAATCCTGAGCACTTCTTGCGTGTCAATGTGTGTTATCCATGTCATGAGCAGGTCTTGGGTGTTCAGAGAGCAATGAGTTCATGTATGTTGTCTATTAAGTCCCAAACACTTCTTCTGAGCACTTCATGAGTTTATAGTTAGATCACATGTATAAGTCAACATTACATGGTGAGTCAGTGTGCATACAGTGTGTCAGCCTGTGTGTACAGAATGTCAGTGTGTTCATTTAGTGTGTCATCTACTATAAGAAAATCTCCAGCCTAAAGTAACAGGGACAAGTGGAAGAAGAGCACATAAAATATCAGTCCAGTCTGCCAACAATCCATGTACACATACAACAGTGTGAGGAGCTGAGTAAGTGTATACAGAACTGTCAGACTGATGAGCTGGACACATCTAACAGTGTGAGGAGCTATACATATGTATCTGCTGTATAAGGAGCTGTATACACATCTAACAGTGTGAGGAGCTTAGGAAGTGTATACAGAACTGTCAGACTGATGAGCTGGACACATCTAACAGTGTGAGGAGCTATACATATGGTCAGCTGTATAAGGAGCTGTATACACATCTAACAGTGTGAGGAGCTGTGCATGTTTAGGTGAATGAGGAACTGTATACCTATCAACAATGGTCAGCTGTGCTGTTTAGATGAATGAGGAGCTGTAACAGTGTGGAGCTGTGCATGTTTAGGTGAATGAGGAGCTGTATACCTATCAACAGTGTGAGGAGCTGTGCATGTTTAGGTGAATGAGGAGCTGTATACATATCAACAGTGTGAGGAGCTGTGCATGTTTAGGTGAATGAGGAGCTGTATACATATCAACAGTGTGAGGAGCTGTGCATGTTTAGGTGAATGAGGAGCTGTATACATATCAACAGTGTGAGGAGCTGTGCATGTTTAGGTGAATGAGGAGCTGTGTATACATATCAACATACATATCAACAGTGTGAGGAGCTGTGCATGTTTAGGTGAATGAGGAGCTGTATACATATCAACAGTGTGAGGAGCTGTGCATGTTTGAATGGGGAGTGAATATCAAGCTGCAGTGTGAGGAGCTGTACATAGCTGAATGGGGAGCTGTATACATATCAACAGTGTGAGGAGCTGTGCATGTATTATCAACAGTGTGAGGAGCTGTGAATGGTGAATGGGGAGCTGTATACATATCATGTTTAGGTGAATGAGGAGCTGTATACACAATATCAACAGTGTGAGGAGCTGTGCATGTTTAGGTGAATGAGGAGCTGTATACATATCAACAGTGTGAGGAGCTGTGCATGTTTAGGTGAATGAGGAGCTGTATACATATCAACAGTGTGAGGAGCTGTGCATGTTTAGGTGAATGGGGAGCTGTATACATATCAACAGTGTGAGGAGCTGTGCATGTTTAGGTGAATGAGGAGCTGTATACATATCAACAGTGTGAGGAGCTGTGCATGTTTAGGTGAATGGGGAGCTGTATACATATCAACAGTGTGAGGAGCTGTGCATGTTTAGGTGAATGGGAGGAGCTGTATATACATATCAACATGTGTGATGAGGAGCTGCATACCTATCAACAGTGTGAGGAGCTGCATCCCAGCAGTTTGACTGACTGACTGACTGAGTTTAGTTTTACGCCGCTTTTAGCAATATTCCAGCAATATCACGGCGGGGGACACCAGAAATGGGCTTAACACATTGTGCCCATGTGGGGAATCGAACCCGGGTCTTCGGCGTGACGAGCCAACGCTTTAACCACTAGGCTACCCCACCGCCCCCCCAGCAGTTTGAGGAGCAATACAAAAGTTTAGCAGTATGAAGAGCTGTGTACAAATCTATCAGTTTGAGGAGCAGTATACAAATGGCAGTGGAAGGAGCTGTATACAAATCCAGCAGTACAAGGTACTGCATGCACATATTGCAGCGTGAGCAGCTGTATACCTGTCTAGCTGTTTTCTAAAGGTTCACTCAGTAGGTGTGTCACATACTCAGCATGATGGGGATTATGTATTCTCATCATGCTAAGTTGCTATCAATTACTGTTGCCATGACAACTAGCTTACTAACACATCCCAGGTAAGTATGTCGACATTGCACACATATTGCAAACTGCTATGACATACCAAGATGAATTACACAAATTGGTCAACTTAACAAATAGTAAATGATAGAAGTTATCTCCTAACAGAAAAACATGACTCCGGTATGTATGTATTTTGTCTGTCTCACAGTCCCTGAACCACATTATTTTCCCTCCTGCTAGCCCTCCCTGCAATGTAGTCTGTCTCTCAGTCCCTGAACCACAATATTTTCCCTACTGCCTAGCCCTCCCTGCAATGTGTCTGTCTGTCACAGTCCCACAACTACATTATTTTCCCTCCCTGAACCACATGTACCAGTCCCTGAACCATTATTTTCCCTAGCCCTCCCCTGCAATGTAGTCTGTCTCACAGTCCCTGAACCACATTATTTTCCTACTGCCTAGCCCTCCTTGCAATGCTAAAGCCCTAAATGAGTGAGTGAGTATGTTTTATGCTGCTTTTATCAATATTCCAGCAATATCACCGGGGACACCAGAAATGGGCTACACACATTGTGCCCATGTGGGCAATCGAACCCGGGTCTTCGGCATGATGAGCGAACACTTCAACCACTAGGCTATCCCACTGCCCACATAAATGAAGCAAGTCTAGATCTAATTAATTTCCAATCTCACTGGGGCTCCTTTTCAATTTAAATAGGTATACTTGTTACTATAAAAATTATATACATTCTGAGACTAAGCATGAGTTTAGTGTGTATTATGTACTGACATTTAGAAAGATGCCAACTTTGAAAAATGACACCAGAAGCTGACAAAACTCAATTATCTTCAGTACAATACAGCCAACTCACTTGACAATTATATTACTCAGTTTTTATTTTAATAACAGCCATTGTGAGAGATGCCAACTTTCCAAAATGACAATTGGTATTTTGTTATGATCTTCTCATTGGGACACCAGAGGTCAACATTATTAATCATGTACAGTAGATTCCAGCCAACTCATTTTATAACAATATTACTTAGGCCAGACCAATTTTATTTCTTGTTTTACTAATTCGCTGGTCGTATTTGTCAAAAATAAGGAAAAAAAATGAAAAAATGAAATTAATTTTCCCTGCTCAACAAATAATATCCTAATATTAATGTGGTATAAGTGAAATACTCTTGAAATCAGTGTGAAACCTAAACTCACTCAACTTGTTTTTAGTTGATATAAACAAACCATAAGGGGACCGCCTCCGTGGTGTAGTGGCTAGAGCGTCCGCCCGGAGAGCGGAAGGTCGCGGGTTCGATCCCCGACCGCTTCATACCAAAAGACGTTAAAATATGGTACTTGTTGGTCCCTGCCTGGTGCTCGACATTAATGGGTACAACAAGGACTGGTTGGCTCGGAGTCAGTATAATGTGTCTGAGTGGGATATTCATGCTTCACTGCGGCATGGTATCTCAGTGGGCTAGCACTATAAAACCAGCTTCAGTCTGGGCTAGTACAAGCAGCCGCACAAACACATACACACGCATGCAAGGCGTCATATGAGCGAAATATTCTCAAGCACGACGTTAAACCCAATTTCACCTCACCTCACCTCACAAACCGAAAGGGTTAACATGGAAACTCATGTGGATTTTTGCTTTGACTGGTGATTTTTGTTTTGTATTACCCTCCTGCCTTTAGGTTTTCTGAGGACAAAAATCCCTAAAACAAGAAATATAATTGGTCTGGCCTTAGTTTCTATTTCAACAATGGATTCAGCTAATACAAGGTCACTGGAAGTTATTCAACACCACATATAGAATTCAAACCAGCTATTAAACACAATTTGTTTGCTACAGATAATGGAAGCCTAAACAGTGATCCACTCTTAACTGGTGTCTTTTTCAAAGATTGGCAGATCATTTGCAGGGTTTCAAAGGGACACAAAGCGTATATTTTAGGCATGCCTTTGTGAAAATATGTGTGCCCATTACTTTTGATGATCCAATCAAATTGAAAACATGATTACAATTTCAATTTATTGTTAATAAATCAGTAAATATTGTGTAAATCTATGAACTTGAGAGCTGGATTTCCTGAACACTATCATGACTATAAGAATAGTTAAGCTTCATTTGTCCTGGGCCATAAACTAACCCAGAAAATGTGTTATGATCAAAACAGGATTTCCTGTCAGGCACATTGGTATTCAAATTGACCAAGCCCATGTTAAGGTATAGGATTGAGATTGCCATTGAAAATAGTTTGATGGTGTGCAAAATTAAGTTCTGAATCATTTTAATTGGTCAGTTTGATTGCATGTTCCATTAAAAGAATCATGGTATTATTTGTATGATTTTAGGCATGCCATCAGAGCACTGTGAAAATATTTCATCTTTGCCATTTCAATATTACTGTGCCATGGCTCCCATTGAATTGAGCACTATCTCAGTCCTTGAAATTTGTATGAATTAAGGTAGGAATTGTGTTCTCCTATTCAGTGGCAAATATGTAAGTAATACCAAACATTTGGGACAGCTGTTAGCTCTGCATGCACTAATTACATAAATTATTTCACACACTGTGCACTTGGAGAGACTGACTAGTCTGTCAGCTATGCAATTAGGAAAGCACTATCCCTGAATGTTGCACGACTGGAATATTCAGACTGGAATATTCAATAAATGGCATAAGATAAGATATATAGTAGAGAAACTTCTTTATTACATGTTGGTTGACAAAACAGTGTCATTCTACTCTGAAATGTCACTTGTAGCTAATAAAGAAGCTGCTGCTTATCCATATATCTTAACCTTAATACAATGCCCATTTTCATCAGACAAGTTTTGTGAAATGTTAGATCCATTTTGTCAGAAATCAGACCATTTTCATCAGACAAGTTTTGTGAAATGTTAGATCCATTTTGTCAGAAATCAGACCATTTTCATCAGACAAGTTTTGTAAAATGTTAGATCCATTTTGTCAGAAATCAGACCATTTTCATCAGACAAGTTTTGTGAAATGTTAGATCCATTTTGTCAGAAATCAGACCATTTTCATCAGACAAGTTTTGTAAAATGTTAGATCCAATTTTGTCAGAAATCAGACCATTTTCATCAGACAAGTTTTGTGAAATGTTAGATCCAATTTGTCAGAAATCAGACCATTTTCATCAGACAAGTTTTGTAAAATGTTAGATCCATTTTGTCAGAAATCAGACCATTTTCATTAGACAGGTTTTGTGAAATGTTAGATCCAATTTGTCAGAAATCAGACCATTTTCATCAGACAAGTTTTGTAAAATGTTAGATCCAATTTGTCAGAAATCAGACCATTTTCATCAGACAAGTTTTGTAAAATGTTAGATCCAATTTGTCAGAAATCAGACCATTTTCATCAGACAAGTTTTGTAAAATGTTAGATCCAATTTGTCAGAAATCAGACCATTTTCATCAGACAAGTTTTGTAAAATGTTAGATCCAATTTGTCAGAAATCAGACCATTTTCATCAGACAAGTTTTGTGAAATGTTAGATCCAATTTGTCAGAAATCAGACCCGTTTTGTTGCACGTAAGATCCATTTGGTCATGTCAGATCTTTTCCAGGGTGCCTGAAAACACTGATTCTTTCTGCTCTGCAGTCATGAGTTCAATACCTTTGTCAGCCACAAAGCATCAAATTCATGCAACACACCTACATTCCTGCATCAATATTTATTTCAAAAAACGATATCATGACAGTGAAAAGATTTACAAAAAATATGGCTGCCAAAACATGATACATCTGGCATCACATGGAATGTGAGAAGTACATCTGAATACCATCAGATCTATCCACTCCCATGGAGTATGAATATATCACAGGACACAAAGCCTCATGGACAGCTGCAGAAACGACAGAGCAATAACCTTACTTTAATCCATGTACCAGCCACCAACAGTCTCATCTGTGAAATCTCATCATTATCCCATAATAAAATTGGAGTACTGACAGAGACCCACTATGAAACTGGAGTACATAAAGACCCTCCATGTAACTGGAGTACTGACAGAGACCCAGAATGAAACTGGAATATCAACAGAGACCCACTATGAAACTGGAGTACTATTAGACCCTCCATGTTATTGAAGTACTGACAGCGACCCACTATGAAACTGGAGTACTAAGACCCTCCATGCAATTGAAGTACTGACAGAGACCCACTATGAAACTGGAGTACTGATAAAGACCCTTCATGTAATTGAAACCGCCTCCTGGTGTAGTGGTTAGAGCGTCCGCCTCGAGAGAGGAAGGTTGCGGGTTGATCCCCTCGCTTCATACCAAAAAGACTTTAAGATATGGTACTTGGTGGTCCCTGCCTGGCCCTCGGCATTAATGGGTACAACAAGGACTGGTCGGGCTCGAGTCAGTAAAATGTGTCTCAGTGGGGTATTCATGCTTCACTGCATGCATGGTATCTCAGTGGGCTAGCACTATAAAACCAGCTTCAGTCTGGGCTAGTACAAGCAGCCGCACATACACATACATGCATGCACGCCATCATATGAGCGAAATATTCTCAAGCACGACATAAAACCCAATTTCACCTCACCTCACCTCATGTAATTGAAGTACTGACAGAGATCCACTATGAAACTGGAGTACTAAGACCCTCCATGCAATTGGAGTACTGATAGAGACCCACTATGAAACTGGAGTACTGATAGAGACCTATGATGAAATCACAGTGCTGAATAAGATCCACTCAGGAAAGCATCAGTTTTTGAATTTCTAGTATATAACTTAAGTAGAACCTGTATGGTATAACAAAATCATACCTTGAAGGTCTTATCTTCACATTGCCATATGTAAAAGTGAGTGAGTGAGTGAGTGAGTTGGGTTTTACTCCGCCTTTAGCAATATTCCAGCAATATAACGGCAAGGGACACCAGAAATGGGCGTCACACATTGAGTCCATGTGGGGAATCGAACACGGGTCTTTGGCATGATGAGCAAACGCTATAAACACTAGGCTACCCCACCGCCCCTATGTGAAAAGTGCAGGTGTAATGTATTCCTTAGACTTCCGAGTGAACCAAGGCTCCATTTGGTCCAAGCCCCTGCTGTCACAGAGAAGAAACCATGGCAACAGGTTTATTTAACCCTTTCTGGCTCTACCAGGGCAGTATCTTTCACACATAGGGATATGATGTCTACATTAAAGAATAATATATGAGTGAGTGAGTATGGTCTAACCCACATTTTAGCAATATTCCAGCAATATCACAGCAGGAGAAACCAGAAATGGGCTTAACACATCGTATCAGTGTGGGAATCGAACCCGTGTAATCGGTGTGATGAGCAGACACTTTAACCATTAGGCCACCCCATTTTGTTCAATAACAATAGACATTCCTCTTCTACAATCCCAAACAAAAACAAGGACCCTACAAACGTTTTCTATGAGCCATACCATTTATTAAAGGTGAGCACATATGGACAGAACAAGCAAGTTGCTTTTCGTCAAAAATATATTTGTATTTTTATTATCATAATAATATACACATGAGTACTATCACATTTTCTGGTCAAATTGGCCAGGAAAATACATAAAAAAGATATAGAATAACTATTACCCAGAATGCTTCAACAATGTGAGTAACAACCAGTACAATACTACTTGCTGACAAGTGTTTGTATATGTAAAGGACAAGACATTTAATACTGGTCATAATTTCATACATCTAAAATCTGTAATGTGAATGGATGGAGAAATAAAGCTCACACATATAGATATATATAGGTTGTATGAAGTATATATCTTATAAGAATAAAATGTATAGAATGTAATTTCTTGTACGTTCATCATCATCATCATCTCTACATGAAGAGTTTTTACATAATATACTGCATCCCTTCAACTACTTCTACCAATACAAATACTTGCCAAACCATAGTTATACATACAAAAATCATAATGGTATAGATTATTTGTCAATATTTTGATTAAAGTAATGCTAAGGTTTAAAAGCTTTTATATTTGGCTTTGTATACATCATGTCAATATTTACAAAAAATAGAGAAACCCTTTCACAGCCCTCAGATAAAAAAAAAGTGATCCCACTTGTGGATGTTTAATCCATTCTGCCAGCAACATTTATTCTATCTCCATGTAGATGTTTACTTATCTCGCTGTCTACATGTACTTCACCCCATATTTATCCCATTCCTTACACCAACATTTAATGTATGGGGCTGAAAGACCAACTGTAGCCCCCCCCCCCCCAGTTAGCACATCCTGGCACTAGTATGGAACACAACTCTTTACTTGAAATTGTTGATTCTCAGACCTTTGGGTAAACAAATATGAACTAAATGGAACACCAACGTTAACTTTGTTAACTTGACCATTTTCCTTTCCCTCAAATTAAAGAAAGACCAAAAAGCAGTAAACCCCTCATACAATTAAAAAAAATGAAAAAATATATATACAAATTTGTTCATCTTTTATATCACAAAATGACAAGAATGTCAAATATCACAGAAAATAATGTGAAGTTACCATGGCAACATAACAAGTAATATCTTAGAAGCTGCAACTTGAGACAAGCTTAATAACATGTAACAAATGTTTATCACAGATCACTGAATGATATAAACAAAAGTAACAAAGGTCTGGACGGAACATCCTAACAGAACACCCAGTTAGATGAGGACATATTTCTTTTATAATTGTAAACAATACTATATTTAACCTGAATCAGTTTGAAAACAATATCAAAGAGAGTATACAAGCATCCCCAAGAATATAATCATAAATTGTATTTGTTTAAAGACAAATGACAAACCAGTATTTTATACAAAGCAGCCATAAACAAATCAATAACAAAAGTTACCTATATTTTATAGAGGATTGTGGTTAAAATGGCTGACTAACAGCGTGAGTAGGTAACAAGCAACAGTGAGGTCAACTCCCATGCTCAAAAAACATGCTGTGAGAGTAGTGTTCTTCATAAAAATAATAAAACCCATTTGTAAAAAAATACTGACAATCGTATGAAACCAGCATCAAGATGCTGGGGAGAGGAGCTCCTCTTAGGTTTCCTGACAGGCATGGTTGTAGGATGTCATGGTAAATTTGGTAATGCTGACTCATCTGTAATACTGACAGACATGCTTCCTGTAGATATATAAGCATTCACAGTATCGCCATTCAAGAGAAAGGTCTTAACATAGGACTTAATCACATCACCCATATTTCCAGTCATGTGATAAGAATACAAGACCTTGGCAATACTGAAACAAATCACCCATGCTCCCTTCCGTAGCCAACTAACATTACTAATTCCATTTTAAATTACCCATCGTCCCTACTCAGACTTCCGCTTCCCATCACCATTGCAAGCAGTTCAAAGTTCAAAGGTCCCTCACTGTTATCCTTCTGGCTGTTTGACCTTGACACTTGTCCTGATTGTCACCTTGACCTCTGTGACCCTCTGAGCATTTGTTGATAATATAGTTTTTGGTTATATAGAAAGTGTTTTTCGCCTTGAAATCTTCGTCACACTCTTTAAATGTATGTCAACTTCTATGAACTCTGACCAGCATCTGCTTCTTGTTGACCATTTGTTTCTTGTTGACCATCTCCTTCTGTTTTCCCATCTGCTTCTTGTTGACCGTCTGCTTCTTGTTGACCGTCTGCTTTGTCTGCAGCATCCAGAACAGCAGAGTACTGCTGATTCCCATTACCCCCAGTTACTGTGGCGGTTTCTGCCACCATTTCCTCTACGACAGGTTCCCTTGTTTCTTCCTGTGTTGCTTGTCCGTCCTGTGTCTGAGCAGTCTCACCGTCTGTCTCCTTGTCCTCAGTCGTGTCTGCAAGTTATCAATATGCAATTTACTTCATGCACCAACACCCCATGCAGGATAAGTAATTCATGCAGCAGAAATAACCTATGTACCAGAAATAACTCATGCAAGAGAACCGACTCTTAGAGATCAATAACCTCATGGTCTGCAACTGTAAATCCAGTAAATATCTGATAAATCTAATATATCTGGGAACTATTCATGTCCTTAAAGACCACTCCTTCAAAACTATTTACACAACCAAGTACACAATAAAGTACACTGACTTCCCTCCTATGGAAGATTACTTCAGTCAGGAATGTAACCATTGAAAAAGATGACAGTGTTGCAAGAAGATAATATGGATCTATTAACAACACACAGAGAGAATCATGGGATACTGTGGACCTATTCTGCCCAAATTCCCACAGTCAGACAAGAACCAAGTACTGTTAAGACCTCACCTGCCTAGAAGCCCTACAGAGAGATAGGAGGGCAAAGGGTACTATCCTGACCCAAATCCTTTCAGTGAAACAAAAACTGACAACATATCCTGGCCCTAAACCCTACAAACAAGCAAGAATGGAGTATTAGAGACCTATCCTGCCCAAAATCCTAAAGACAGGCAATAATGGAGCATTGGAGACCCATTCTGCCCATAAACCCGACAAACAAGCAAGAATGGAGTATTGGAGACCTATCCTGCCCAAACACGCTACAGACAGGCCACCAAAACCAAGAGTTAGGCAAGAATGGAGCATTAGAGACCTAGCCTGCCCCAAAACCCTGGAGACAAGCAATAATGGAGTATTGGAGACCTATCCTGCCCAAACACACTACAGACAGGCCACCAAAACCTAGATAGGCAAGAATGGAGCATTAGAGACCTACCCTGCCCCAAAACCCTGGAGACAAGCAATAATGGAGTATTGGAGACCTATCTTGCCCAAAAAACCCTACAGACAGGCAAGAATGGAATCTTGGAGACCTATTCTACCCCCCAAAAAAACTACAGACAGGCAAGAATGGTGTATTTAAGACCTAAACTGCCAAAAAAATCTAGACACAGGCAAGAAACAGACCTATCCTGTCCAAAACCCTACAGATCAGTCTTGAATAGAAGTTCTGTAATCCTAAACAAGAAAAACCCTTGTTAAAGTTCTGAAAGTTTGAAGTGGGACTGAACACAGAACAGGGGGCATCCTGTAACACAAAGCGGATATCTCAGGAGCTATGGCCACGCCAGACTTATACATATAACAGAAAACTATAGTAAATGGTTATACTTATATATTCTCAATTCAAACATATTTGACATATGTAGAATATAAAGAAATTCTTTTCATTTTAGAAGTTATTAATATAAACATCATATTAGGATTAACCATCAAATTAGTAATTAACCAGGTAATGCAAGCAGAAGGGATTTCAGTTAGTTCTGACACACAAAGTACTTGTCAGTACCTGACAGTATACAAACTAATGTTATAATTCACAAAATAATGTTTAGTTCTGTTATAGTATATCATGGTTATATATCTACAAAGCTGAGGCAATTAAACACTGCAAGCAGCAAGCAAGCACACACAAACACCAGCCCTGTGGTAGACTACAATACAGTCATGTTGGGAATTGGCTGAGAGTTCTTCATGGGATCACACAGAACAGAACACAAGCATCTATGTAGGTATGACTTAATATGTTTCTAAACACCAATCATGTATCACAAGCAGACGCAGAAACTGTCCTGATTGTATGACATTCAGGAATTTGGCACCAGACTGGTCACACAGATTACAGACAAGTTGTTTATGTTTTCTTGACAAGATCTGGAAGAAATGAACTAGTTCCTCAATATTTTCACTTGTCTCAGACAAACTGCATATAGGTGATGTCTGTCCCTAACTGTTATATGTGATCATGTTAGATCAAAACTGTCTGCTCAACATACCAGCCACTGGGCCACTGTAATGAGTGCACACTTGGGCCGTTTGGGTTGATGTCATTCTGATGGACTTCTGGTACTTGGTATAACACTAATGTTGATGTTAATCTGTGTTGATTTTCAGTTTGGCACCTGTGTACAGGTAGGAACCCTGGATTAGCAGACAAGTGCTCAGATACAACAAATGTAGGTTCCAGCTGCTATGGCAATCATGTATTTTCTGTATACAGTATCTTGGAAGAGACATGTTACTAAAACCTCCAATAAGCCCTTTTTCATTCACACCTTCTAACAAGAGGCTCAGTGATGTAAGATATGAACATCAGTCTGTGGATAGGTAACATGTCATTAATTCATCCTTGGGTTCCCCATCTGCCTGGGAGTTTTGTGGGACAACATCTTCTTCCCTACACTAGCATCCTGGGCCTTGATTTTCGAAGCTCTCTTAGCCCTAAGATAGTCATAAGTACCATACATTAACATTAACTTGTACCTGGCTAAGAGATACCTCTTCCTTGTCTGCCTGGGAAAATCTAGGCAATGGCCTATAGTGTGAGTACTGCACTTAAAATATGTCTTCCTTGTCTGACTTAGATGCACCTAACCTATAGTGTATCTAAGTGATGAAGTGGTCCAACAAACATCCCAAGTTGAGCTTCTATTTTCCTATCATCCTTGATTCAAAATGCTGAATCTGAGATACAATCAATTACACTATTGCCAAATGAAATAAATCACCTGAAAGTCAATATCATTGTAAGATTACAGTCAGATGAAGAGTGGTGGTACTGAGGCAGATATTGACCATGTGTTCACCAGCTGCATAGTTGTTTCTGTAGGGAATTGTTATAAATACTGAGGAAATGCAACATCTTGGCCAGACTATTATTGTATGGAAAACAAGCATATATATTTTCTTATTATAAGCAACATTCAAACAAGTAGGTAAGCTGTCTGGCAATAACTAGACTAGCACTTGGTCTCTGAATATACATAATTTTGATAGTAACAAATAGATCCATTTAAATTGAAAAGAAGCCCCAGTGAGATGGGAAATTCAGAACCTGAGGAAATCTAGACTTGCTTCATTTAGGGCTTTAACATTGCAGGGAGGGCAAGGCTGTAGGGCAAATAATGTGGTTCAGGACTGTGAGACAGAATAGCCAAATACAGTTAAACAATGTTAGTGTGGAACCTCAGTAACTGTCAATACTAGGTTTATTGTTAAGACTGAACAGAAGGTTTTGCCAGTAGAGTCATACAGCAGGTTTGGTGGTATTTTGTAAGCTTGTTACACACTTAGTATCATGATACTATTATAAAATACAAACAAATTGGCATGAATATGCCTATGGAGGTGGCATGGTTTGATTGCCAGTTGATGATAACGTCATCCAAGAGATGTGATCTTCTGTGATGTTGATTCAATAATGTAGGCTTGAAAATCAATTTCCTAGGGTCAAGCATATTTCACTTTTGAGATCCAGACTTATTCAGGGGCAACCAGGCAGTGACAGGCAAGAAATAAAGTAGAAATGAAAATCTCCAAGCAGCAATTGAGGTTAAATCAATAATGGCCATGACTGGACCAGACATCATGCAGACAGGAATCCATGTGACTTGCATATGGCCACATGTATTCCCAGGGTTACAGACATTTTGTTTTGTTTTCACTCGTCTTGATTTCCTTCAGAGTTGCTATCAACCTAATAGTAAAACTGGTAGTATTCAAGGAAATGACACCAGTCCATCCTTTATTTTGCTTGTCACAAACAAGCCAACCTTTGTTAGTTTCAAACCTTGGTACAGTCTGTGACTTGGATGATAGTATTTCATGTGGTGTGGCTAGTATTGTAAGTGTCACATGGCTAGTATTGTAAGTGTCACATGGCTAGTATTGTAAGTGTCACATGGCTAGTATTGTAAGTGTCACATGGCTAGTATTGTAAGTGTCACATGGCTAGTATTGTAAGTGTCACATGGCTAGTATTCAATGTCTGTGGCTGGTATTCCAGTTGTGCCATGAAAGGTATTCAATTGTATGTAGCTAGTATTCCATGCATATGGCTAGTGAGTGAGTTTAGTTTTACACCACACTCAGTATTATTCAAGCTATATGGCAGCAGTCTGTAAACAAACGAGTCAGGACCCGACAATCCAGTGATCAACAGCCTGAGCATCGATCTACACAATTGGGAACCGATGACATGTGTCAACCAAGTCAGCGAGCCTGACCACCCAATCCTATTTGTTGCCTCTTACGACAAGCATGGGTTACTGAAGATTAATTCTAACCTGGATCTGGTATGCTAATCACAGAGTGAGGTAGACCTGAGTTAAGAGTACAGAATGTCAGCCCATATTACATGGAATACAGCTGTAATATAGGCATCACACATCACGGCAGCACCGTGACCTTGTTACAAATACTTGCACTGTACAACAGCGTGATGAGCTAATCATGCTAACTCCTTCATCATTTGCAGCTTTGTGCCTGTGCAGCATACATGTATCTATATCAGCATCACAAAGCTGCTTGTCTGAGTAACTCCTCCCACAGCTAGCTCCTCTGGTGTTGTGTTGCTGTACTGTGCCCTGTGTACCTGCCCTCTCTCATCTTTATTGGCTTGCATCCTCATCTGATAGCCTGAAGTGTTTGTACTGGCGGTGCACCTGGCTGACATTTTACAGATGAAGTACCCTGTATGTGAGTGTTGGCTTACCCAGGGCACCAGTGGCAATGCTTGTTACCTCTGGGGTAAAGGTTGTATCATCAGGTTCCAGCCAGGTGGGAACACTATGTTTTATAGTATCATGTAACTGGTACCAGCAGACCAGGAAGAGGTGTTATATGGCTCACTAGATACACTCTAGGCCAGGTCCGCCCAATGACAACAGACAACAAACACTGATTATAAAGCTCACAAGATACACCAAAGGCTAGGCCATGTAGACAAGGAAAAAGTATTATAATTTAGCGCACAAGATACACTCTAGGCCAGGTCCGCCCAATGTCAGCAGACAACAAACACGGGTTATAAAGCTCACAAGATACACCAAAGGCCAGGTCATGTAGACAAGGAAGAAGTATTATAATTTAGCTCACTAGATACACTCTAGGCCAGGTCCAGTAGACAAGGAAGTATTATATAGCTCACTAGATATGCTCTAGGCCAGGTCCAGTAGACAAGCAAGAAGTATTATATGGCTCACTAAGATACACTCTAAGTGAGGCCCAGTAGACAAGGAAGAAGTATTATATAGCTCACTAGATATGCTCTAGGCCAGGTCCAGTAGAAAACAAGGAAGAAGTATTATATAGCTCACTAGATATGCTCTAGGCCAGGTCCAGTAGACAAGGAAGTATTATATAGCTCACTAGATATGCTCTAGGCCAGGTCCAGTAGACAAGCAAGAAGTATTATATGGCTCACTAAGATACACTCTAAGTGAGGCCCAGTAGACAAGGAAGAAGTATTATATAGCTCACTAGATATGCTCTAGGCCAGGTCCAGTAGAAAAAAAGGAAGAAGTATTATATAGCTCACTAGATATGCTCTAGGCCAGGTCCAGTAGACAAGGAAGTATTATATAGCTCACTAGATATGCTCTAGGCCAGGTCCAGTAGACAAGCAAGAAGTATTATATAGCTCACTAGATACACTCTAGGCCAGGTCCAGTAGACAAGGAAGAAGTATTATATAGCTCACTAGATATACCTCTAGGCCAGGTCCAGTAGAAGTATTATATACTACTCACACTTTGCTAAGGATCACACAAATTCACAACTTTACTTAAAGCATTAGAGTTATGATTTGAAATTGTATCTATTTAAAAAAGAATAAATAATAATATGGCAACCCTTCTTTAGGCAAACAGCCACTGTAATATAACCTTATGCACTTGGTTCATGAGTAACCATAAAAATGGTTTCCATGGCACCAACCAACCATTTTGCAAATCATGGAATGAGTCATTGACAAGTACACACCACCTTTCAATAGCAGGTATAGGCTCCACAAGATGAAATGACATACTGAAACCTGGGATCCATGCTTACAATAAGCTTAGATATTTACACCAAATTTGACCCCACATGATAGTTTTCTGTTGAATCCATGATTTGATCCTTAGCAAAGTGTGAATAGTATATGTCTCACTAGATACACTCTAGGCCAGGCCCTGAGACCAGTTGACAAGGAAGAGGTATTATAAAGCCCACTAGATACACTCTAGGCCAGTACCAGTAGACAAGCAAGAACTAGAAGTATTATATGTCTCACTAGATACACTCTAGGCGAGGTTGGGTAGACAGGCAAGAAGTGTTACAAAGCTCACTAGATACACTCAAGGCGAGGTCCAGTAGACAAGGAAAAAAGCTCAATAGATATGCTCTAGGCCAGGCCCAGCCTAGCAGACAAGGAAGAAGCCTTATGTGGCTCACTTGACACACTCTAGGCCAGGCCCAGCCCAGTAGACAAGGAAGAAAGCTCAATAGATATGCTCTAGGCCAGGCCCAGCCTAGCAGACAAGGAAGAAGCCTTATGTGGCTCACATGACACACTCTAGGCCAGGCCCAGCCCAGTAGACACTTAGGAAGAAGCATTAGATGGCTCACTAGATACACTTTAGGCCAGGTGAGGTATACTCCTAGCAGACAAGGAAGAGCTATTATATGGCTCACTAAGACACACTCTATACCAGCTCACCAGTGTGTTTAATAACTTTCAAAACAGTAGCTATTTGTGCTTTATAATATACCATTTCCAATGAACAAATAGACTAGAGGGGATTGTTTAAACAGCAAGACAGAGGTTGGAACACATTTCAGATGAAACTCAAGCTACACCATCTGATAGGAAAAGGAGTCTCTGTTTAATGGACAATACACAACCTGCAGAATACAAGATTTGCTTTATAATAGGCTATAACATCATGGTAAAGACTGGGCGGAACTGTATGTATCTTCATTCAGGAACTGCTAGAGAGACTAAAATCGGACGTCTCACAATATCCTTTTGACAAGTCGAAACATAACAGCTGATCACATCAACTGATGGACAGGTGTTGAATCATCTGCTGCAAGTTCCATCTTGCCCTCAGCCATGTAAAGGAGAAGATGGTTCAGTGAGGTAATTTTACTGTTGTACAATTATACTACAATATTACTGCTTATTAAGACCACTTCTGATGCCCACGTCTGTTGCAAATACCATGGATAATATCAGGTCATATCTCCCGCAGTGTAATATCAGGTCATATCTCCCGCAGTATAATATCAGGTCATGTAGCAGTTCATACCTCCTGCAGTGGCAGCTAGCCATTGTTTCTGTGTTATTAATATCCTAATCACGCAATGAATGATGGGGCAGTAACATTTTCAAGCTGACCTATGTAAAACAAATCCCGAAAAACATAGAATTCCACAAATGGAAAATAAAACAAAACTTCTAAGACCTGTTTCTCTTCTCCCTGTTTGGCAACACATTGTTTTGTTATAATAAAAAGTAGAGCAAAGTAGCTCAACTGCTTCAAACATCAGTGCTGAAAATCTGTACACTAAGTGATACAAGAACCTGGGCCTAGATTTTCGAAGCTCTCTTATCGCTAAGATAGTCGTAAGTTAATGTTAATGTATGGCACTTACGACTATCTTAGTGCTAAGAGAGCTTCGAAATTCTAGGCCCTGGGCTTCATCTAAAGATGGCATATCCTTGTAAGCTCTTATAAATTCCACCAGACACACATAATACAATCACTTATACAAGTCCAGTCATAATTAATACAAGTTCCTTGATCATGAATACAAGACACGTTTTATGGATAACAACTTCTTTTTTATCCATAAAACATGTCATGTATTCATGTTCGTCCAACTGCTAAATGCCTTTCTTTATCACCAATAAGAGTCCCTGTGATCAATATAATTCCTATTGTTGTCATTCATACATTTCCATTGTTATCATCAATACAAGCCCCTGTTATCAATTCAATCTATCCTGTCATTATCAACATATTTCCCATTAACAATAAAGTTCCAGTAGTTATCACCAATACATTTCAGCCTATTTTCATCAAAACAGACTTGATAAAGTCATTAATATATTTCCCCTTATCGATACTGTTCCTCATATCATCACCAAAACAAGTCCCTATTATCAATACAATTCCCCCCTTTTTTAACGGAAACAAGTTCTTGTTAACAATACAATTTCCTCTCATCATCATCATCATCATCATCATCATCAATACATTTCCCCCTGTTATCAAGACTTTACCTCCTGCTATCATCAACGCATTTCCCTGTTATCATCAAAGGACCTCAATGTGGTCATCAATACAAGCACCCTGTCTTAATACAATTCCCCCTTTGATAAAAAATACAACAATACAATTCCTCTCATCTCAATCAATACATTTCACCCTGTTATCAAGACATTTCCCCTTGTTATCAATACAATTCTTTCTGCTGTCATCAATCCATTCCCCTGCTATCATCAAAAGAAGCTTAATACAGTCATCACTACAAGCCCCCCTGTAGTGGAGCGGCTATGCAGATAAATTGTGCATTTAATGATAAAAGCATGCAACTTTGCACATTTATAGTTTGATGGATAGTGAACATTTCAGGATATGGAGGCACTTAAAATAATTTCATTTTGCGCATGCGCAGTAGATACTTAATATTTTGCCTTTTCTGGCTACCGTTATAGCTTTGGGGCTGCCATCAATACACTAATGGGATGATTTGTCCCGAAAATACTGACCTGAATTACTGGCTAAACATCTTAAAAATATAGCAGGGTCAATGTTATGAACACCGGCCCTCGCACCAACAGAGTCTAGTGCATTTAAGTGAAGACTGTTTGCATCGGTTGTTACAGCCCTTTCTACAGCCACGAGAGACCAACTCCTGACAAGATTGTGATGCTTGGTGTACTCTGTTGTCCAGTAGGGAACAAACTGTCCACTTTCCTTCTGTGTCCAGCCCCACTCTGTTGGAGATGGGAGTTCAGGCTGTGGAAGAAGTGACTGACCCCATATGTGGCCTGCCTGGTAAGCAGCCCTTTTGACATGTTGAACAAGAGCTGCATGTGTTGGTGGGATGGCATGAATAGAGTTTTTCTTTGCAAATAGTCTCTTTCTGGCTTGATCAACATTTGTGCCAAGGCTGGTCCTGTCATACATCAATATGATGAACTTCTCAATGATTTTCATGACATCATCTGTGATGCTTCTTGGAGCACTAGACAGAGCAATTAGAGCCTGCGTCACCTCTGGAAAGATTTCCCATGTAGTCCAGGCTGTCTTCTTGCCGTGTCTTGCAAATACTGATACAGTATCACATCCTGTCAGAGCATGAAACATTGGAAGAGCACGCGATTTCTCAGGTCCAAGACATGCTTTGATTTCATGAGCTGCCAAGTAACGAAGAGTTTTTCCTGTCCCAAAGGCAAGCCACAGTTCGGAATGAATTGGCAACAAGATCTGGGGAACCATGACTACAAGCACGACAACGTCTGT